TGCAATGTGATCTTATTATGCGGTCGGCTCCCGGACCGGTCGGGTGGGTGACCCCGTGACTTACTTCAAGGAGCTTATTTCTCCACTGACTCTAATGGCTCAACATTCGCTCAACTTGTATAGACTGCAATAGGGATCTAATTGTTGACCGTTTTTCTGTTGATCTAATTCACAACGGTGGACTTGCATCATTGAGCGACGACCCTTGCTTCCGCAGCAACAAACTAGTCAGGCTGGCTCGGCTGAGCCGCTGAGGTGTGCATCTGGTTAATTTGAGTGCTCTGTATTAGCCCATCTCGGTCCCTTTATTGTTGACCAAAATTACCGGTAATTATAGGCTGTGGAAAGGGCTAGGCCATGCTCATTAGAACCTATACACCTTTCCTAATCACTTCCTGTAACGTCCCAATTCACTTTACGGGTTGACACCTGTGAATTCTTCCTCTGACAGACATCATCAACCCGTCGCTCCCATAGGACTCATTTCAACCTCAATTTTCCTCCACATATTTTCTATATTTTGTTTCTTCTAGAACTTGTGCCACGAAGGTGCCGGCCCGCCTTACCAGGGAAGGAATTAGCCAGCCTGCAGCGGAGGCGAAAGCCCGAGAGCATTCCGCGGTACGTCCACCAGTTGGGGCGGATGAGCAGTAGAAGAGCCGGAAGATGAATGGTTCGATCGTCGGCCAAGTGGACGAGTCGTTCTTCCTGCCACTCGCACTTCCTCTGATTGTTTCACAAACATTAACCATGAGCCGAAACTTGCCAACTTCCCTCCTACATAAGCCCCAGCCGGCTGGCCGTTTGAACCGCCCCACGATACCACCACCAGATGGGGCTGTCTTGGGTATGTCGATCCCTCGCTTGGAAGGCGGACTGGACTTGTCGATGGGGAGAGAATGAGGGGACATGATACAGACACAACAGACAGTAATCTAGATTAATTTCGTGAAGGAAAGTGGTATGTCGAAACCATAGGTTTCCTTGTAATTCCAACCCGTAATGGAAACATAGCACTTCTAGTCTTGGGGACCGTGGTTATAAAAAGTAAAAAATTCTTTACGCCGACCCGAATATCTACCAATGCCGTCTAGAAACCCTTTATAATACACATCATTCAATCATACACACATACCTCTCTCCCTTAGTCAGTAAAACTCACACCCCTTCAAAAGCCTCTTTCAAAAACCCACAACACTCCTGATACAAGTCCTCCGAAAACTCCGCCACCTTCGTCGGATCCGGCGACTTATCCCACGCATGCGGCACCCCCTCCACCATCTTATACCTCACATCCTTGCCAATCGGCTCCTTCCCCAGCCGTGTCGCCAATTCCTGCCCTTCCTTCATGAGCATATCATACTCACACGTGTAAAAGATCACCATGTCCGGGATTCCCGCAGCTAGCTGCTCGTCTGTGGCTTTGGAGGGGGAGAGGTATGGGCTAGCGAGCGGGAGGCTGGGAGGGTGGAGGTAGGCGGCGTCGAAGAGAGAGGTGAGTGTGTCTGGGAGGGTTTGGTCGGGTCGGACGGAGGCGGCGCGTTTGGCTGCGCGGGGCTGAGTGTAGTCTGTGATGGGATACCAGGTGGCGACGGCGCGGATTTTGTGCGGGGGTATTGGTCCGGTGTTTTGGGGTTGTTGTTGAAGGGTTCGGATGTGGTCGGTGAAGAGGAGGGTGGATGTCAAAGCGAGGTTGGCGCCGGCGGAAAAGCCCGAGGTTGCGAGTTTGAGGGGGTCGATGTTTAGGTCGTGTCCGGAGCGGACGAGGTAGAGAAGGGCATCGGCGGCATCTTCGACGGCAACGGGGTGGGGCGCTTCGGGACTGAGCCGGTAGTCAACGCTGACGAAGACGGCGTTGCATGTCTCGAGCACGAAGCGGGCGAATCGAGCGTCGTCCGTGGCATTGCCGATTGTGAAGCCACCGCCGTGGAAGTTGACAACAGCGGGGAACTTTGCCCCCGACTTTGCGGCTGTTGCGTACCCATTTGGTGTGTAAAATTGGAGTGTAAATTCGCCCTTTGTTTTGGAAATCGTTGATCGAATCGTCTTAGTAAATGTCGGACTTGGTGGCCGTTCGGGCGCGAGGAAATGCAGTGTCATGCCGACGTACTGCAACGATCTCCACCAGGAGGCCGAGGTGCGTAACCACCACCGCGAAGGCGCCGGATTGACCACATCGGCTGCGGTTTCGAGACATTGTGAAGAGCCGTCGCTGTCGAGAGCTGGTCGCTCCCCGGGGCCGGAGAGCTTGACGACGGGGATGCCGTCAACGTTCGGTATTACGTGGGCCATTTCGCGGGGCACGGTGCAACAGCAGAAGCATCCCCACATATCACGATGTTGAGAGTAAAGGCGCAATGGTTGGTCGAGTCGTGATGGTTGAAGCTGTAACCAACCAATACTTAATCGGCGCAGTGTCGCCAGGGACCGCCAAGGAAGCTGACGTCATCCTCGGGGGTTCGGCCCTGTGATAACGTTATCGAAGGGCTTGTCGTTTCACGTGCAAGGCCCCATTAACCGGGACTTTGCCGTTATCAAGGTCGAATATCTGCCCTCGCTGTGGCCAAAAAAAAGCGATAGACTGAAACAGGATAGCCCGATTTACTCTTTTTTATCCTTTTTTCACTTTTTTAATTTATTCTTCTTCGTCTTCTTTCATTTCTTGGGCTTGATTTTCTTTTCGTCTTCTCCCACTTTTGTATTTATTCTTAAAAAGCGGAGTAACTGCAAGCTGCCCCGCGACATCATGACGTCATTCCAAGTCTTGTTTTGTGGAACGCTCAGGAACACAAAGTGATGACGCCTCGACTGGGAAAACACTGCCAGCAAACCGTCCAACGCCGGCCCATAACGGAAAAACGCGACCATTTCGGCACCTGCTGGCAGTTGTTTTTCCCCTTTATGCCCCTGCCAATGCCGTTGGTCCCGCCCCGGAACGAACCGAGGCCGCGATGATCAGCTTGAGTTTACCGCGGGGCACATGCCACTGACCGCATAAACATTGCCGGTCGATGACCGTTTGAGATTTCAAGTTTCCCGTCGACGTGGCCAAGGAACCCGATGTTTAAACGGTGGTTCTAGAACCTTGTGTTTCCCTGGTACGCATTGATGCAGCCGTTTCCAATGCCGAATAAACTTTAAAAAGATTATTTATTGCCACCACGTTTTGAGTCTTCGAGTTCTTCAACCGCCATCGACCTGACGTCAGTTTTTTTTTTCTTTTCGGCCCCATTAAAATAGCAACAACAAAACCCAGCGCCCCGCGGACTTGACTGAGTTTTAAACTTACCACCATATCACTCCTCTGGCATATTTCTACGGTTCGATAACATCTAACCGGCAGGCATCATGGTGCCCGGCTCCCTAAAGAAGCCAATCCTGGCTCTGAACCGCCTCATCGGGCACTCCACAGCCAAAAACCACATGACCAAGCCGCACATCGGCAACATCGCCGCCCTCGAAAACGACACCCAACACGAACGCAAAATCGAAAAGGCCCAGAACCAACTGGCCAAAAAAGACGAGCGCGAACACGAACGCCGCTCCTTCCAGCACCGCCGACAAGAACGTGAAGAGCGCGCACACGAGGAAGACCCGCCCGAGATCGCGGCCCGGTATGGCACTAAGACGGACGATGTGCTTGAGAAAACCCAGGCGATCCGTATCGAGGCGGCCGACCGGGCGCATGCCGGGAAGGAAGTGTGCTTCATCGCGCGCGTGCATCATGTGCGGTGCATGAGCTCCAAGTTGGCGTTTATTATCTTCCGCGACCAGATTGAGCTGGTCCAGGGCGTGCTGGCGTACCGCGAGGGGGTCGTCTCGGAGAACTTTGTGCGTTGGGCTGAGCACCTGACTACGGAGGGGTACGTGTTGGTCCGGGGCACACTGCAGGAGCCGCCGGAGAGGATTAAGGGGTGCTCGATTCACGAGCTGGAGGTGCGCATCGATGAGATGCATTCTGTCGTACCGGTTCAGGAACACCTCCCCGTCGACCCTGTGACGATGGACCGCGTAGAGGAGGACGAGGAGACACACCAGATGGAAGCCATGGCGTCAACGCGGGTGCGGGTAGCCAACCGGATCGCGTACCTGCGAACTCCTACTGCGCAGTCCATCTTCCGCATCAACGCGGCGGTGTGCAGCATTTTCCGGTCGGTGCTGGAAGGCAAGGACTTTGTGGAGATCCACACGCCCAAGCTGATGCCGGGCGCGACGGAGTCGGGCGCGGAGGTGTTCCGGGTGAATTACTTTGGGCGCACGGCGTTTCTGGCGCAGAGCCCGCAGCTGTGCAAGCAGATGAGCATCTCGGCGGATTTTGGAAGGGTGTTTGAGATTGGGCCCGTGTTTCGTGCTGAGGACAGCAACACCCATCGGCATTTGACGGAGTATACGGGGCTGGACCTGGAGATGGCTATTAACTACGACTATCACGAGGCGATGGGGATTATCGATGACCTGTTGAAGAGCATCTTCCGTGGGTTGTACTCGCGCTGCCGACGGGAGATCGACACGGTAAAGACCAGGTTTCCTCACGAGGATTTGGTTTGGCTGGACGAGACGCCGGTATTGACGTTTACTGAGGCGGTGGAGCTGCTCAACTCGTCGGGCTGGACGGATGACCACGGCCGGCCGGCGTCGGAAGTGGAAGACCTCAGCACGCGGGCGGAGATCCGCATCGGCGAACTGGTCAAGGAAAAGTACAAGACGGACTACTACATCATCGACAAGTTCCCCGCGTCAGCACGGCCGTTTTACACGCACCTCGATGCCAAAGATCCCCGCTTCACCAACTCATTCGACATCTTCCTACGCGGGCAAGAGATCACCACGGGCGGGCAGCGCATCCACAAGCCGGAGCTTCTCAAAGAGCGGATGCTCAAGGCAGGTGTCGAGCCTAGCGGAGTGGAGGAGTACATGCAAGGCTTCGAATACGGCGTACTCCCCCACGCCGGCTGCGGCATTGGCCTCGAGCGGATCCTGTTCCTCCTTCTCAACCTCGGCGACATCCGCAACGCCTCCTTATTCCCACGCGACCCCAAATCCCTCCAAGAACACAAACAATCCATCACCCGTCTCCCGCACCCCGACGCCGACACCATCCGCTACGCCTACGACTACGAACACAACTATCCGGACCTCCAACTACCCCCCGTGGAGAAACTCATCGCCAACTACGGCGACGCCACCAACACCTCCTGGCTCGACGACCGCTACACCGTCTGGCGCCACGAGCAAACGGGCGCAGCCGTCGGCTACGCAGCCGACAACGGGTACGCCCTAGTCATGGGCAACCCGCTCTGCGACCCGCACCAGTACCAGCCCGTGATCCAGGCGTTTCTCAAGCACATGCGCAAGCGCGAGGATTTACGCCCGCTGTGGCTCCTAGTCAGCGCGGATATCGAAGAGATTTTGGGGTCCAAACTCGGCTGGCGCAGTCTCAGTTGTGTAGCCGAAGAGCGGGTATCTATTGAGTCTGCGAAGAAAGTCGGGAAAAAAGAGCGTCAGGCCGAAGAAGCGGGCGTTAGCATCCACGAACAACCCCTCGATGAGCCGGTGCCGCAAGAGCTTCGAGAGCGATGCGATAAACGCATCGAGGATTGGAAAAACAACCGCAAGGGCAGTAAGCAGGTGCACATCACTGAAGTCCGCCCGTGGATTGATATGGAACACAGGCGGTATCTATGGGCGGAGACCAAAGACGGGGAGATTGCCGCGTTGTGTGTGCTGCACCGGTTATCGCCTGCCAACGGGTACCAGATCAAGTTTGCGCTGGATTTCCCGGGGTCGCCCAGCGGCACGATCGAGGCGTTGATTTCGGGGGCGATTCAGAGTTTGGCGAAGGCTGGGGTGCAGAATGTTACTTTTGGGGCCGGGGCGTTACCGGAGATGGTTACCGGGGGGAATCTGGATGGGGTGCGAGCGAGGATTTTGAGCAAGACGTATAAGGCGATTGCGCAGCAGTTGAAGTTGGTGCAGAAGAGTGAGTTTCGGGAGAAGTTTGGGACGAGGAATGATTTGGTGTATATTTGTTATCCGTTTATGGGGTTGGGGGTCAGTGGAGCGAGGACGTTGATTAAGTTTTTTGAGGATGAGATGTGATTTCGCAGGACTCAACTTGGTCTGTTTACTCTCCGGGTTTTTTTTTCCTCTTCACATTTTCGTTTTCGTTTCTTTTGCCTTGTTTTCGGTTAGTTTCTTGGTCGAGACTTGTCAGACTCGTCAGACTTGGATACCTCTTGTGATTAATCTACTAGAGAGATTTCAATTCGTCTTATTTCCCACGTGTGGAATTTTTGACGTTTGCACGTCGTCCACTCATGCTTTCTCCGTTCATCTCCAGATTTCTCCAGGTCTTCGTCTCTTCCCCTGCTGACTGTGTCCGGAAATAACGACCATCAACCCACTTCTTGGCAGCCTTCTGGCTGCCCGCTTCCCCCACAGGATTGGAGCTTGGCGGATTTTTCGCTTTCAGCTTTGGAATCTTTTGCTGTTATGCTCTCTTCCTCCGGGAGCAATCAGTGCTGTCCCCGTGCCGGATTCTCCGTCTGTGCCTTTCTCGTTCTGTGCCCTGGAGTTACGTCCCGCCACTGCCGAGTACCACGGTGTGTTTCATTGTTTTTTTGTCCCCGACAGAATACAAGTTCGCCCCGCTAAAGGATCCGAACGCACTGACGGAACCCAGAGTCTCGATCCAGCCCTAGCCGCGAACCCGAAAACAATTGGACGGCACAAGCGAGACTTGTCGAGGCTTGTGGCCGGATTGGGAGAATTGCCCGCAGCAGTGGGACGGATGTGGTATTCTTATGGATTATCCCAGGGATATCACAGCCGAATGGGTGACTTTGAGAACGGGGGTTCGACTGCAGAGTAACAATGACAGTGGAGCCTGGGAAGAACATCGCGGCTTGGGATGAGGCACAGCAGGGCCTGGTGTGATCTTGGCGCGTGCCGATGGCTTCGATGCGGGAGGCGCGGAGGGCGGGTGTGAGTGGGCAGTGTTGGATTCGTGCTACGGGGATAGGAGTTGGGGATTGTTGATGAGCCGGGTTCTTTTTGTCTTTTGTCTCGACGTTCTCCTCAATTCCAACTTCAACCCGTTGCACCGGCCACTTCCACGGTCTTCAATCCAAAGACCATCCCATCTTTTAACACCAACACCACTAGCTGAACAGGGAATACCATCACCAAACCGTCAACACCAACAAAACACCAAAACACCAAAACACCAAAACACCAAAATGCCCAAAAAACCCTGGCCTCACGACTCTCCCCCACCACCATCCAACCCCCCCATGACCCTCCAATCCCCTGAATACTCTCACCTCCCCGAAGTCTCCTCCGCCTGGACGGGCGTGCAAGCGCCCGAACCACTATCACGCCCTCCACACCATCCCCATAACAATATCCACCACAACACCGGCTCCCCAAAGGAGATCTACACCACTGGTGTCGCTGCCCTTCCACCGGGAGCCGGGGAAGGGGGACGGCAGACGGGTTTGCCGTGGTTGCCGCCGGGGTATAATGCTGCTGTGCTTGCTGCGCAGCAGCAGGCTGCTGCAGACGGTGGTGCTGGGGGGGATATCCCAGACAATGGAAGTGAGAAGGGGTCACGAAGGAGCGGGAGTAGTAACAACAACAAGCGAACGATTGTTATCCTGTCTGTGCTTGTCGCGTTGCTGGCAGCTGCGGTCGTCGGGTTGGCCACGGCGGCTGGGTTACTCGCGAAGAGGGTGAATGAGGCGGAGGCGGAGGTGGCTGCTGCTGCTGCTGCGACAACGGGGGGCAATACAGCGACGAGTGAAGGAGTTTGTGTGGGGGCGAGTGATGGAACTGGAACTGGGACAACAGGGGATGTGGCGACGACGACGGTTACGACGACGGTGCGGGCGACGGCCACGGGAACGGCGCAGGGGTCACCGGTGGTGGATGTGTCGAATGGGTGCTCGGATCGGGATGAGAGGATTTCGGGGACGAATTATAAGACACAGAGTATGTTTTTCTCTCTTTTCTTTTCTTTTCTTTTTCCGCGATGTTTTGTGCTAACAGACAAATAGTCTTCCATCAAAAAACCTTCACGCGCTACTGCAACTCCCAACCCAAAGCCTTCCCCATCTACGGCATGCTGACCCTCGACTTCGAAGCCTGCATGGACGCCTGCGCGGCCTGGTCAGACCACCCGGAGATCCTGGGCCCCGGCAACACCAACGCGACCTGCGGCGGCGTGCGGTTTGTTCCTGCCTGGACAGACCGCGCGGTCGCGTACAAGTCGAATGCGCGCGGGAACTGTTTCTTGCAGGCGGCGCCGCAGACGACTAAGGATTTGATGAAGCCGGATTTGACGGATCGTGTGACGTGCCACGCGGCGATTTTGGTGAAGTAATCTGGCATTTATGTGTGGCATGGTTGATTATCAGTAGCTCGTGTGTTATTAGTATTATTAGTGGTTGTATCATTCTAGTATATAATTTGAAGCAGGGTTTAATTACAGTTACTGGACTGTGAACAAATGCCAGCAGGGAAATATGGATTCTTGAGCTTGTCTACTCCCGGAAATATCCAAACAACTCCCTGCTCTGCCGAGTCCTGCAAAGAAACATTGACCAGGCACCCCATTGGACGGGTATTGCCAGACAATAACATCTTGTGTGCGGCAGGAGCGCCAAGAGCATTACCCCAACTGATGCGACAGGCCGGCAGGTGCACTTGCATTTCCTGATCTCTTCATGAGCATAATAAAGCGGTCTCCCCTTCGACATGATCCGAGCGACGGAGTAGTTGGTCAACAACCAAGATGACTCGTCTAACTATTGCTGTGACCCTCCTGGCTTTAGCAGCAACCTGCTCGGCACGAACACACTCGGCCGGAAACCTCTTCCTCCATGCCCGCGATGTGGACGAGCAGTATGATTACATCGTCGTCGGAGGTGGCACAGCCGGCCTCACTGTTGCTGACCGGCTGACCGAAGACGGCGAGACCACTGTTCTTGTGGTCGAGTATGGGGAGCTTAGTGCGTACCCTAACCCTTTGACCTGACTCCTGAAAAATACCCAGACTTACCACACGACTAGGCTCCGACGACTCCATCAAAACCGTCACGGGCGGTTTCGCCGGCATATCCGACCCTTCCCACCTCTTCACCATCCAATCGCTCCCGCAAACCAACCTGGCCAACCGCACGATCGCCGTGGTCGCAGGGAAAGTTGTCGGCGGTTCCAGCGCCGTTAACGCCATGATGACTATCCGGGGGACCGTTGACGATTATACCCGCTGGGGTCAATTCTTTCACGATGATGACGACGATGAATCCTCGCACTGGAGCTGGGATGGGCTGCTGCCGTATTTCAAACGGGCTCTGACATTTGCGCCGCCTGGGGAGGCGGTTACGAAGGAAGCCGGAATTACGTTTGATACGGCGTTTTGGGGGACTGCTGGTAATGATACCGATGGTACGACCCCTGTGTATGCCGGGTGGCCATCATTCCAATACCCCGGCACGACAGCGCAGATAGAAGCGTTCCGCGGGATTGACGGCGTACCGTTTGTCAATGACAGCGGCGCCGGCGAGGCAGGCGTGTACTGGTACCCGACATTTATGGATCCTACCTTGGTTGAACGGTCGTATGCCCGGACGGGACACCACGATCGGGCGGCGAACAGGGAGAACTACCATCTGGTGACAGGGTCGAGGGTGCTGCGGGTTGTATTTGATGGGACGACGGCTACCGGGGTCGCGGTTGTCCCTGTTTCTCCCGAGGACGGGGATGAAGCGACGGAAACGATCGTGGGAGTGAGAAAGGAGGTGATTATTGCCGCTGGCGGGATTCACAGTCCGCAAGTGCTGCAGCTGAGCGGGATTGGGCCGCGGGAGTTGCTCGAGTCGGCGGGTATCACGACGCTTGTGGATTTGCCGGGGGTTGGACAGAACTTCCAAGACCATCCCATTCTCCGGCCTGCTTTTACATGTAAGTCAACCCGTTTCCAAGACGGTATTATTTGCATAGATACTAACCCTTTAAAAAATAAAGACAACAACTTCCCCATCCACCCCAACCCCCAAGACCTCATCCTCGACGCCAACTTCTCCGCCTGGACCGACACCCTCTGGAACACCAACCGCACCGGCCCCAAATCCCTCGCAACTGGCAACGCCGCAGCCTGGCTGCCCTTCCCCATCATCTCCCCGCGCGCGCTCAACCTCTCCGACGCCCTCACCACCCAAAACCACTCCCTATCCCTCCCCCCTAACACCCACCCCACCGTCCTGGCCGGCTACCGCGCCCAAATGCTCTCCCTCGCCTCCGCCCTCGCCAGCAACGGCACCGCCTTCTACAACCTCATCCTCACAGGCGGCGCAACCAACGGCATCGTCGTCGACCTCCACCCGCTCAGCCGCGGCACAGTCAACATCAACACCACCGACCCGTTCCATACTTCCCCCGTAGTCGACTACCGCGCGCTTTCCAACCCCCTCGACGTCGCCATCATGGCCGATCTCATCCGTTTCACCCGGCGCTACCACCTGTCCAACCCGCTCACGGCCGACTGGAACGCCACCGAGGTCTCCCCGGGGGAAGCAACGCAGACAGACGAGGAGTTTGAGACCTATTTCGCGGAGTCGATCAGTCCGAGCGAGTATCACCCGTCGGGGACGTGTGCTATGCTGCCGAGGGAACTGGGTGGCGTGGTGGATGAGGAGTTGAAGGTGTATGGGTTGGAAGGGGTGCGAGTGGTGGATGCGAGTGTGTTTCCAACGTTGGTGGGGGGGAATACGTGTCAGCCTGTGTACGCTGTTGCGGAGAAGGTGAGTTGTTTCTTATGCTTACATGATTACCTCCTTTTTGAATCGGGTTAATTACTGACTTACTGACTACAGGCGGCGGATTTGATTCGGTTTGGGCCACCTGAGGGGTATGAGAGGGCTTGAGTTTGATATGTCGGTTTGTGGGAGATTATGACCTAGAGAGGCATCTTTCCTGTGTGGTATCAGCTACTCCTGTACAGTTACTTGACTCCTCGGGGCTAAAAAAACAGCGGCATGCTGAAGCAGTTAGCGTGAGTTCCCTTTGTTAACATTCGATCAAATCCTAGTGGATTGTGACAATGATAAGTAGAGATATAAAAGCCTGGTATCTATATAACTAGTCAATCACAAGTATTGTTATTTGACGTTTTGCTTCAAATTACTGATAGCTCAATTTATTCCTTTTTGTCCCGTTTCACCTCTTTGTATTCTCTGGCGTGATTAAATGTTTGGGGACTGGGCTTGGTCATAAATCTCTAATTCCAGAACAATAACCCAAGGGAGTGGAAGGGGAGATATTCATCTTGTCTCGCAAAAAAAGAAAAACCAAAGAAAAAAAACAAAAGAAAAACGAGACACGTGGTCATTGAGAACGAGACCATGGTGTATCTACATTTTGTGGAGTGTTCATAATTACCAGACAAAATCTAATTTCATGTTACAAAGACACTAGAGTTTCCTTTCTCCTAATGTTAACGGTACACCGTATTGACTCACAGCTCATATCATACCTCGTCCAACGCCGGAAAATAAGCATAATATCAAAACAACACCTACACCCGCGCATCCGCCGCCCAATGCGGCTCTGGCAACCGAAACTCCGGCATCGCCCCCCTCTCACCATGATCCACCCCTAGACCGCGAGGAACCTCCCGGTCACTTCGACCTATGTCCCCATGCACTTCACCTTGAAACCCTCCATCTTCAACCTCCTCCCCACTATGCATATGTGGATGTGTATGCCCCATTTCCTCCTCACTTCCCTCCAGACTCTCCGTCTCGGCTCTCTCTTTCACCGGCCACGGCGCAATCTCCTCCAGGCTCAAATTCTGCAGCTCCGGCCCAAACCCTTGCATTTTGCCCCTCCGGTGCTGCACCCGCGGCAAGGCCACGCCGCCGGGTTCCCACCACGCGAGGATCGTCATTAGTGCTAATGCCCCGGTGAAGCCGGCGAGCAAATTCACCAGGTTGGTATGACTTTTGCCCGCGACTTCGGTAATCGGCCGCACGATGATGGCCCCGATCTTCCCGGCAGCGGCGGCCAGGCCGTAGCAGGTCCCGCGGAACTCGGTGGGGAACGCCTCGGCCGCGAGGATGAAGGTCAGTGTGTTGGGGCCGAGGTTGAAGAGGAACTGGGTCACCGCGTAGAAGACGATGCTGGCCCAGTGGCTCTGCTTTGCGTACGTCTGCGAGACTGAGACAGTCGTGGCGGCAAAGAGGACGGTTAGGGCGCCGGTGGTCAAAAGGTAGTGGGTGCGGCGCGAGAGCCGGTTGATGAGCAGGAGGATGGCTAGGCTGCCGAGGATGGCGGCGATGGAGGAGATCTCGAGGGTGCGGACAAGGTTGCGGTCCATGGTCTCAGTGATGGTGGCGTTCGGGTAGGCGTAGTCGTCTTTCCAGACGCCGAAGCCTTCGTACTTGGCAGAGAAGAAGGCGTCGTTGCCTTCCGGGTCCTTCTCTAGCCACAGCGCGGCGAGGGTGCCAGGGCTGTCGAAGCCAGTGCCGTAGAAGACGATGTCGAGGAGCAACCATTGGACGGAGATGGCAACTAACGGCTTCCAACCCTTGGAGGGCCCGAAGAAGTAGGCATACGCCCGCCGACCCCAGGACGGGCGTGTTGCGCGGGCCTCATCGCTGTCGTCTAGAACGTCGGAGTTGATTGACTCGGCGTTCTCCGCGTCAAAGCCAGCGCCCCCGGCCGCACCGATACTCGGTGACCGCGCCCCGACCTTAAGAACGGCCTCGCGGGCTTTGACGAGGTCACGCTCCACGGCGGAGTAGTACCGCGGGGTCTCGGGGATGAAAAGACGCAGGAAGATGGCGAATATGGCGGGGATGCCGGCTAGGCCGAGCACTAGACGCCAAAGCTTGTCCATCATGATCCTGTCTGCCTCGGTACCGATCAAACCGGGGGTCATCGTGGTCCCCTGCAGACCGTGGAGCACGCCCAAGCCGAGGCCATAGGCAAGTACGCGGCCGATGGCCTGGGCAAGGAAGACAGCGGCGAGCAGGGACCCGCGACCGGCAGTGGACGAGAACTCGGCCGCGATGACGGCCGACATAGGGTACTCGGCACCGAGACCGAAGCCGAGGGCGAAGCGCCACCACGTCAGCGAGGCGTAGATGTCCATCGAGCTGCTGTAGACGGACGAGTCCTGGTTCCTCGCGACCATGTACCCTTCCGACGAAAAGGCAGCACCGCCGACAGCGGACAGAACGATCAGCAGCTCGAAGCCGTACAGCGAGCTGCGGCCGAAGCGGTCGGCAAGATGGCCAAAGATGACCATGCCACAGACGGTGGCCACGAGCGTCACGATGTCGAGGATTTGGGCCACATCGCCGCTGTGGCTGAGCCGGCCTTCGGGGGGGTAGACAAAGTAGAGCGCAGGTGACACGATACCGACGGCGATCAGGCTCCAGCTCGAGGCCAGGAAGCCTAGAAACGCAACGGCATAGACGCGCCAGCTGAAGCCGATGCCATCGAGCAGGCGCAGAATACGTTGCTCGCGGCGTTGGCGACCCTGAATTGTTCAGTATTTTCGGGACTTATTTAGTAGCAACAAGCCAAAAACTTGATGTGGAAAAGCAAAGGCGACGTACCCGGACGTGCTGGATGTCCCGACTGATGTCGACGGGGTCCCAGAACCTGCGGACTTTGCTGGGTCCTGGCATGGCCACAGAGAAGTGAACAAATGAACAAACGAGTGGATTGACGACCCCAGTCCCAATGGGAAGTTGGGAAGACGATCAGTTGGTCGGGGTTCACTTTCTTCGATGTCGACAACATCCACCTCCACGTTTCAGCGAGACACGCGGGGACCCATACTTTTAGCAGATTCCATCAGCAATTGAGCCTCATGTCGGCCCCGACCATCAACCGCAATGAACCGTCGCCCGGTCACGCTGGGCGGCTGGAACGCACCCAAGAAGCCCAGGAAGCCCAGAAATGCTAATGCACACAAATGCGTTGCATCAAACGACGCCACGCCCAAACGGGCAACTTTTCGTGCCGTCCCGACGACCACGGGCTCTAATGGCGCGCTGCCATTGGTCCCGCGTTGCCTTCCTTGAACGTCCTCCAGACTCTCCCAAGCGCGAAAGTGCTGTCACACAGGGAATCAGCCCAGTGCTCAGCCCTTCCACAATATCAATAGTCGATATTTAGCGGTCCGACAGGGGCACTGTCGGTGCTCCCCTTCGCTTCGGGATTCTCGAAGCGAATCAACGTGGCCGTGCCCACTCCCATGTGGCAGCATCGGCGGCAAGGGCCAGACAGCGTGTTTTGGGAATTGGGACCGTGTTGAGCGTGTGACCCCGGTGAGTATCCGTAGTGTAGTCCATTGAGGCTGAGACGGAGGCCGCCCTTTCTGGTTCGCTCGTGGGATCCGTGGGGGATCTGAACTGTCTCGGGTCGGCTAGCCGAGGAGAGTGACTCGACCAGACTGCGGCCTGAGCTTTGCCTTGGACGCCTTTTGGCCGCTTCTTTTGTTCTCTGGTTGTGTGTCGATCGTCTTCCCCACATTCAACGTCCGACATCACAGGTCGTGTGTGGTGTTTAATCTCTTTCCTTTTTCCTATTGATGGTCTCTTTCTTTTATTCCAAATCAACACGGGGAACAGCACGAGCAACGAGAACAAGAATCACCAACAACTCGTCCCAGCATGTCCGGCCTCGAAGTCATCGGCGTCGTCATCAGCGCCGTGCCCATCGTGACCGGTTTTGTGAAGCACTTCGGATCCCCGCGCAATGCCCCACGGCAAGTTGATCGACTTTCTCGCATGCTGGCAGAGCTGCGAGATGAACGCCTTCTCCTCGCTGCCATGCCCGCCGAGCAGCGTCACATCCACGACATGATCAACCGATGCACCGACGTCCTCGAGAGGGAGACCGGCGCGCCAGGGACGAGCCAACCTAACAAGATTGCCAATCGTGCTTTTAAATTCTTTTGGCCGGCCGAGGCCGAGAAGCGGTTGAAGGAGTACAATGACGAGTTGGATCGCGAGTTGGACCGTTTGCAGAGGCGGGTGGATAGGTATCGGCCGCCGGCTGCAGAGGGGGGGTTATTACCATCAGCACATACGCCGTCCGTCTCGCCGCCGTCGTATTCACCGCCGGATATAAGGGTGCCCGGGGGTGATGGAGATGTTACTGGGACTGCAAATGCGCCCGCAACTCTGTCTCCAACTGTGGCATCCAGGAGATCGATTCCGATGTCTCCTCCAGGTTAGTGTTCCGTGTTGACCACATTCTTCCAAAATACTAACGAGTCAGCCTCCCCCCGCTTGCCATCGGGACAGCCATCCGTGGCAGCCATCAGCTTGCCAGTCACTCTGTATGTGCATTCCCTACCATCAAGAGCCCCCGTACTGACAACACAGCACCTTGCAAAACTCGTACGGCGACCCCATTGGCGAGAAGCTCAAACTGCACACCCTCACCATCATCGAGCGTGACGACGTTTGGCGGCGTATCGAGTATGCTGGCCGTGCGGCCAACGGGGCGGTTCGCATCACCCATCGGAGTGCGTGTTTTTCGTCCATCGTTTCTTTTTTCTTTTAGGTCATGGTTAATTTTGTTCCTTTTACCCGTTGCTAACGTCCCGCAGTCCCCCGCGGCAGTATCTGGTTCGAAGACGAAGACCTCGACGACCGCTCCGTCTCGTTTCTGCAAGCCCACGACATCACAATCGAAAACACCGCCGGCTTCACCGTTTACCGGTGCTTCTCTCTCTACCGTTTCGCCTCGGTTGCCGACCGCGAGTCTTTTCTCGTGAACGTGCGGGAACGCCAACTGCTTGGCCGGTTTCTAGTGGACAAGATCTCCGCGCGCGGTGAGTTGGTGGCGCAGCAAAAGGTGGTGAGACTGTGGAAGAAGGTTACGACGGCGGTGGGTGCGCGGGAAGTGATCAAGACGACGGTAGCTTTTATTGGGCGCGATGGGAAACCGTACGAAAAGGGGCTGGGCGAGTTTAGGAGGAGTGCAGCGCTGCCGAAGGAGAATCGGGTTGAGTTGGTGGAGGTTACGAGCGGTATGAAGTTGACGTTGGAGTTTCGCCGTGCTGCCAAGGGAACAACTGAGAAAGAGAAAAAGGGGTTGTTTGGCGGGAGAAGGGGGTCGACAGCGTCTTCCCTCGTGGAAGCGGCCCCCGGAAAAACAACAGACGCGGCCCAGTTCAAAAAGATCTTCGAGGCGAACCACCCATCCACGGCCGGCTTTTCGCCCCTGGTACTTGGGTCAGTGGGCAACCCGTTCGATCCGGATCTGGGGAGTATCACGGGCGAACCGCTCGCCGAATCACACGCCGAGTCCACGCTCCCCGCTCTGAGCCCGAGCACATCCCGGGCGCCAACGTTGTCGTCCATCAGCATCCCGTCGGGGTCGTTTTACTCGGCCGTGGAAGAGGTGTCGCCAAAGAGCTCCCCCGTCGGAGGGGGGTGAAATACCGTTATCTCATGTTGCCTGGCGTAACAGAATACTACCCTGAGGGCGCAGGAGGGCAAAGCCGCGGAACAAGCTGGTCCCAGGTAAGTCGCACCTCCGCCTCGCTATTCGCCGTCAACCCCAAGTTAACTCAGGCGTTGCAGATCCAAAATGACCAACCATCCGTGACAACCCCCGGTTCATATGACCTCAGGCTCGCCAATCCCCTCTCCAAGGAGTCAGAGTTGGGGGTAGGATAAGAGGTGGCGATTATAGCATCGGGAGACTTTGATAAAGACGTGGTCTGTCGGGGGAGACCGTCGTTGGAGGTACCGGCTCATTCAAACGTCCCGCCCGCGAGTTCTGATTCCATCGACTCTATTGTTGGGGAACTTGATAAACCGTCATTTTTGATTCCCCGTGTTTTAAGCCGCAGGCAAGGTGTCAGGGTGGTAATTCTTGTGACGAAACGAAGTACTAGCGCTAAAAAAGCCCACTTGGCGGCCGCTGCCGCCCAATTCGTGGGATATCATCGCGAGTGGTATCCGGAAGGTGCAGCCGCTTGCCCGAGAGCTTAGCATTTATTAGTTTGAGGACTGGGAACACATTGACCCAAGCGAGGGTTGTGATGGAATCCGTGACAGTTAGCGTGGTCGGAAAGCAATATATAGCTGGTTGGCGAGGATTTAAAAAACCTCGGTTTTGTTGGGAAATTGGCAACTCCGAGCAGAAGGTGCAACCCGAGCCGGTGAATTGGAACTGCGGAAAGTGAGACGATGTGTGGAGTCAAACTTCCGAGCTCCCGAGGAGAACCGGCAAGCCCCGAGGGTTAGGACTTCCAATCTTCCTGGGGGTTATGTTTCTAGTCCTTGGCGCAGGTAGAAGCGAATGAGCTTAGGTCGCTGAGATACATGTCGGAAGAATTGATGGAGATGAAGAAATTCGGCACAAGTTACAACGGAGCAGCGATCTTGGCTTGATGAGCCTTGAGGTTGTGATAGCCCCAGTGTGGGGCGCTCACTGTATATGGTGATTGGTGACCTTCACATGTGAATCATTGAGATCGGGAATGTCAAGAGTGTAGGTTCATAATTATTCCCAGTGCCCGGCACAACAACTGATGCCCTCATGCTCTGAGCCCATACGGCGTCCGTTGCGTTCCAAAACTGTTGGGATGCTGTCACTCCAGGGTTAGGGTATCCCAGCCATTGTTGCCACGGATAGTGACGTCATAATTTGACGCACGCCAAACATGCAATCGGCGCGCCTTCACGTCATTTTCAAGATTGAAACCGCAGCTGTGCCATCCGTCCGTCTCCTCTCGTTTGTTCTCCTGATGCATTCTGAGCCATGGCATACATCATGCCGAGTACCTTCCAAGCGCAGTTCCAAATGTTAATAAACTGTTTTTGCCGCATTTCTCTCGCATCTTGACTTGATGCCGGTAAATCAATTGATTCAATTCTCAACCTCGACAAATTGAAGATCTCGAAAATCAACAAATCGAGTTTACGAAGGTAGCCGCGACACATGATGGCTCAACAACGAAACGACGAACCGAAAGAGCCGCCACCGCTTACCACCGCGGACAGGCCTCCAAGTTCCGACAACAAAGAACATGACACTTCCCGGCCGTCTACAAGCCCCCGAACATCGACCGCACACAGCCCACACCCACGCCCGCGCCCGTCGTACAGCTCGCATGCCGAAGCCGAGGTCGCCGGCCCCGTCGACTTTTCCGAATTACCCGGCCTCCCCCGGCTACGATACCGTATCCTCGAGTACAAATTGAAACTGTTCACTGTCGTCTCGCTGCTCGTCCTTGAATCCAGCATCCTCCCGATCGCTCTCTACTACGGCCTCATCCTCGGCACGACCCTGCGCGCCGGCATCGTATTCGCCATCATCACATCCTTCTTCGGCATCGTGACGGGGATCGAGTTCGCATTGCGATGCTTCAAGCTGATCTTCAGGGGGGACACCTACCGGCCCGTGGGGGGCACGCGCTGGAGCTTCGACTTCACACACTGGACGCTCTCGTTTGGGTACACCATCATGACGGGCGTCCTGATCGGGGCATCGATCCCGCACAACCCGCTTGTGCGCCCGCTCGCGATGCCGGTGTCGTTCTTCTTTATTCAGATCGGCTTGCAGCTGGTATGGAGCGGGTGGATGAACCGGACGGGCCGTGCCGCGCCGTGCAAGATCAGTTCGGTGCCGAAAGGCGGGCGGGTGCCACCGTTGGTTTTTACGCTAGTGGAAGACGTGGTCGGAGTGGACGGAGCCGGGGGCCGGGAGTATCGGAATGCGTTGTTGGCCCGGTACGAGGCGAGCCCGCGTTTCAGGAAGATGATGGCGCAGCAGAATTGGTTTTGGGCGGTCGGCGCGTTGGTCAATGGGGTCGGCACTATGGCCGTCATCTGGACGGTGCCGGAGCGTGTGGCCTACGGTGTTGGTGCGTTTTACTTCCGTGCCCCCTTTTTTTGCTCGCTTGTGCATCCCATCCCGTCGTCCCAACACCAACCCCAAATTTCAGTGACTGCGCCGCAAACAAAGCTAACAAAATACACTAAAAAAACAGGCTGGGGAAGTCCTCTTATTTTTGTCATCATTTGGGCGACCATCTCAGTTCAGTGGGCGCGGCACTCGCTCAGACGCGAGAAGGAGCTGTGGAGGGCCGAGCACGAGCAAAGTGACAAACAAAGGGACTCGGACACGCAACAAACCAACATGACGACAAATTAGGCGCCAAATACCACAACCAACCGCAAGAGCCAACACCATGTCAGGTGTCTTTGTTGCCGGCCCTCCCCGGCCGGATTTTCAAGGGCCGCAACCGTCCTTAGCCGCCGACCGGCCCATGCTGCAACAAAGAGTCGAGTCTCAATGAAATGGCCCGACTGCGCTAAGGGCCAGGCCGAAGGGCGCCAAACGATGGTTAGTATGTATAAACCGTTGTGTGCCTTCCCGACGGCCGATTCAAGGAGTATGTTGACTGCCTCTGTCGTTGTAAATATTGCAACAAACAGATGTCATCAACATCAAAACCACCACCACCACCCATCTAATTAACTCTAACACCACCATCATCACCACCATGCCCCCAACCCTCGGAGCTCTCCCTCCTGAACTAATCCTCCACATTGCCGACTTCCTCGATCTCCCCACCCTCGCAGCGGCCATCGCCTCCGCCCGCTACCTGCACACCCTCCTCTGGAAACGCCTCTACCAGCGCGATGCCACCCACCACAACTCCAACGGCCTAATTCGCTGCATCCGCTCCGGCGTCCCCTCCGCCCTCACCCGCTTCCTCACCGCCGGCGGCGTAACCGACATCAACGCCCGCATCAACATGTCCCCTGACATCCAGGACTTTTACGGGTACACCTTACCACTGGCAACAGCTGTCGTCCGCGGCCGGCGGGACATGGCCCGGTTACTCTTAGACCACGGCGCCGATGTCGCTGCGCCGGTAGAGGGCGCGTGTTGTTTTTCTGTGCCTGATCATGCCTGGGCTGATGTAGTGTCCAAAACACCGTTGTCGGTAGCAATCACCGAAGGGCATGACGCGATCGCGGAGGACTTGGTCGAGCGCCTCGGGCCGTCGTCTACGTCCCCCGACGAAGTCGTGTCAGAGGTGTTTGGCGTAGCGTACACCGCGTTGGAACAAGCCGCACTGTTCCTGCGGCCGGGCGTAGTCCGACGGTTGTTGCAGCGCGGAGCGAATCCGAATCGGCGACAGAGGGGAGGTACGGACGGTGGCCAGGAGCCGTCGAGTTTGCTGTACATGATCCTTACCAACCATGTCCTTCGGGCGTGGACGGACGAGGATCCCGATGAAGACGACGACGCTGACGGCAGCGCCGGGCCGGGGAGGTTGACCGAGACGGTTATGGTGTTGTTGGAGTATGGCGCCGACCCGTTTGCGAAAGAGGAGTGTCCGCTGCATTCGGGTGAGGAAACCCTTCCCGGCGGGGAAGGGGAATTGGAATGCCGGTGTGGCGTGACGGCGTGCTCGGTGGGGATGGTATCGCCGTATGTGAGGCTGCAGAGGCATTTTGTGGAGTTGGAGCATCGGCAGCGGTGTCCGAAGTTGGGGTGTCGGGATAGTCAGATGCGGTACGGGTTAGTGAGGGACACGGGATGTGTTCCACCACGAGAAGGGGCCGGACGGGGGAAGAAGTCGTTGGGGGTTGGTCAGGAGGTGCGTGTGAATTAGGCGTGGGTTGATACCATTTACTGCATGATATGACGTTATGATACACGTTGAATTCCCCTTGAAATACACTTATACTCCCCAAATTCCCCTCACCATGAGCAAGTAAAGTCAATGATAAAAGAGGTCAACACGGAATCACCCAGGCTTAACAGCGTTACAGCGGAGCAACCGGGAGTACTTGACTAGTTGCACGCCTCAACACAACCTTCTGAGTGAGTTCATTACCGGCGCAGATCAACAACTCCTTTAACTAGTTAATCGTCAGTAAATTTTACATCTAATTACCCTAAATCTTGTTCCGCAACGGCTGCTCCGCAAAGAACCGCCTCAGATTATCCACAATCAACGCCTCCGCCCCCTGCGGCCGACCCCCTGCAGCATGCGGCGACAGGACCAAGTTCTTCGCCTTATACAACTTATCCCCTTCCGGCAGGGGCTCCGTATCAAACACATCCAACGCCGCACCCCCAATCTCCTCCTTCTCTAGCGCCTCAAACAGCGCGTCCTCATCCACCGACGAGCCCCGACCCACATTCACCACCCACGCATGCTTCGGCAGCAGCGCCAACCGTTCCTTATTCAGCGCGTGTCGCGTGGACGCATCGCCGGGCAGGATCATGACCAGCGCATCGGTCTGCGGAAGCAACTCGGGAAGCGAAGCGTCGTTGAAGATCTGCACCCCGTTGCGCACGCCGGGGGTCCGGGCCACGCCGCGCACTTCGGCGCCGAGCGCTTGAAGGCTCGGGGTCAGAGCCTTGGCGATGTTGCCGAACCCCCATACCAGCACACGAGCGTCCCGCAACGTGCGGAAGGTCCCCGGTTCACGGTCCGGTTGGGGCCCGCCGAGGTGGATCGGCCAGCGGCCCTGGACTTGGGAATCGCGCATTTCGTGGAAGCGCCGGGCGGCGGTGAGGAGGAGGCCGAGGGTGTGCTCGGCTACTGTGCGGTCGTGCAGCCCCGAGCCGGTGGTCACTTTGACGCGGGCGGTGTCGAAGCCTGCGGAGAGCACGTCGTTGGGCCCGGCGGCGAGGGATTGGATCCATTGGAGCTGGGGTAGGTTTTTCGCGGCGAAGGAGAGGTTGGCGGCGCTGTTGGCCCAGGTCACGAGGATGCGGGCATCGAGGAGGTCGTCGGGGATTGTGGGGGCGCGGGCGTCGTAGGCGTGCAGTGTGAGTGTTGGGAAGCCCGCGATGAGCGCGGGGTTGAACCGGAGTGTGGTTGGGTAGAGGAGTTTCATCGTCGCGGCTGGGGGTGAGTTGTGGTGGTTGGGGAGTTCACGATGTCGAAAACCCTCATGTCATGAAGAAAACGCGTGATGAGGGGTCGGTATTACCTTTTTGTTCTCTCTCGGGGAAAGTTACCCTCTAGCGCGGGGCAACAGCGGCCGAGAGATGTGGGGCATCAGAGCTTCCGGCCGCCGGGGACAGGGGGGTTCCGCTGTCGGCAGGCCAAACAGCTCCGTTAACCGCGATGTACGTACGGTGGACCGATTGGCTTCACCAGTGGCCTATTGGTGGAAGAATCCAAGCTGGCCGGTTTCTCATCTTTGACACCCGAAATCATGGTCCACCTCGCCCACTCTGGCCTCCATCATTTTAGCGGGCCTACTCATTATCTACTAATTAGCATGTTCGATGCGTCTGGGTTCTCCCAGGTTCACTTGTAGAAACTGGGTTTGAGACTGGAATACTCCGGGACTGGGGTCACTAGGTTCACCCCATCCAACGACGTTCCGGCCCAGTCGAAACGGAAAACACGATCATGTTCGAATTACGCCTCGCGAAAAGAGCATTGGAAAAACTGGCGAATTTTTGAGTATTTGCTGAAAGCTAGGGCCCGAGTGTACCCAAATGTATGTCGCAAATCTTAGAGGGAAACAGCCATTTCAGAGTGGTTCCCCGGAGCCCCGGCCATTTTGCTTCACTTCCTTGATCCGTACCTCCTTTCTGTTCCCATCGGTTGACGCAACCTTCAGATCTCAGATCTCCACGCTGATGGGAAAACCAACAGCAAACTGACGATGCTTTGGCAAGGGTGGCAGTTCAACCCAATTGGTGACCTGCAAACATCTCCAGGCGTTGACTCAGAACGGCGCCAACAACTTCCATTGCTTGCACGGGTTCGTGCTTGTGTTGGGCTACCGGAAGGGGGAAATACATGGCGTGCGGAAACATGTCCAGGGTGCTGGTGCCAAGATGACAAGCATCCGGCCAGCCATTCCTCCACGGTGGGATCGTTTGCTAGATGATTGTGTGTGTGCGTGTGTGTCTAATACATGGAGAGCTAAAAGTAAAGGAAATTGTTATCATCCAAACAAATTCGTGACCCCAAAGGTGTAACCGGGAAGGTGCGTTGTTGACCTTCCTGCTCAGGATTTAAGAGACGGTGGGGTCCCCCTGCCCCGCGCCCCGATATCGCGTATCGCGTCCAGCAGCGCCCCTCATTGAGATTTTTCGTCCCACACCCAGGCGGGTCCTTGCGAAGCTTTTCCCGTAAGAGTCACCAAGCTGCAATAACACTGCCGGTTTGTGTCTGAGAGACTTTGCACTCACTTTGCTGTTCTTTTGCCTTGGAAGAACCCTTCTTTTGCCCATTACTTTGCTCCTCACATTGAATTGCTCCATCTTGCACGCTACTGTAAATCCGCTCCGTCCATCATGGCAGCCGAAGCTCTCTCGAGCATGCCGCTCACTTCGCTCCCCCGGCTCTCTCAGGGGAAAGTCCGGTGTGTATCCTTTTGAGATCCTGTGCCTATTTATCCACATTACAGAAGCGTTCCATCCAGTCCCCTCTTCCCAGTGCCCATTGGAACCACCCGACTCAAAGCTGCATACCCCCTCCACCTAGACCCTTACTTACGCCCTGCATAGTGATCTCTTCGCTCTTCCCGAGGCTGGTAAACCAACCTTGCTCTTCGTCACTTCAGGTGTGTGTTCATTCCTATGCCGTTGAGTTCTGCAGCTCTACTCACACCCAGTATCCTAGACCGCATCAGCGCCTATGACGTCATCTTGAAGGTTGTCTCGCATATCGTGACCATTATGGGCGAGACACTGACACTTCGCAGAACGGGATCCCGTCCAAGGGTGCGATCCTGACTCTCATCTCGGCGAAATGGTTCGAAGTGTTGTCGTCTCGCGTTCCCGGTCTGAAGCACCACTTTCTCCACCTCGGACCTCCCGCTGGGTCGGGTCTGAGCCAGGAGGAAGAGCAGTTGCTTCGTGGCCGTTCCATGACTGTCCGGTAAGCACTTCGTAGCGGCCATTCCAAGGGAGACGTGAGCCTGCTAATGTCAACTTCACAGCCGGCTCAAGATCTTCCCTATTGAGGCGATCGGTAAACCCTCCCTAGCCAACTTCTTGCTCTCAGTAACTAACACCGTCAGTCCGCGGATACGTCACCGGCAGCGCCTGGGCCGAGTAAGCACCCACCCCCTTATCCCCGTTTACCAACGGTCCCCTAACCCTTAGCAGATACGAAAAAACCCAGACGATCCACGGCCTCCCACAACCCGCCGGTCTGAAACGCTGCGAGCGTCTGCCAAAGCCGATCTACACGCCATCTACCAAAGCTGAGCTCGGAGACAGGGACATCAACATCTCGCCTAACGAGGCTAGGGGCATCGTCGGCGACAAGTATGCTTCGCGGATTGAGGAGTTGGCGTTAGCGTGTTACAACGCTGGGGCGGCGTATGCCGAGGAGCGGGGAATTATTATCGTATGTTGTTTGCTGCGCGGTGTTTCAGGAGGGGGCGGCTAACTGGTTTGTGGTGCAGGCGGATACCAAGTTTGAGTTTGGCCTTGACGAGGAGACGGATGAGATTTACCTCGTGGATGAGGTGTTGACGTAGGTGGTAATGTGTTTTTTAGGGTTATCATGTCTACTAACAATTGCGGTTAGCCCTGACTCTTCCCGCTTCTGGAGCAAGGCGGATTATCAAGGTATGTCGCCTGAATTCCAGCTTTCCAACGATGTGCTAACTAACAATGCAACAGTTGGCCGCGAGCAGGACTCCTGTAGGTCATCCGCCCCTGACATGCTTATCATCTGAACAACTCGGAAGTCTTGAACGCGCCATACAGTCACTAACAACACCCAGTTGACAAACAGGGCCTCCGTAACTGGTTGACCGACAACGGCTTGGTAGGCTGCATTTCCTTCACCTTCCATTCAACAGCTCAGAGCTAACGACCGCCCAGAAAGGCAAACCTGACGTGGAGATGCCACCCGAGGTGGTCGAGAAGACCAGGGCCCGTTACGCCGAGGTGTTTAAGCTGATGGTGGGCGAGAGCTTTGAGGAGGCGTTCAAGAAAGTCGCGAACTAAGCGATGTGTGTGGCAGCTTTATCCAGACGGAAGTGTGGAGTTCTGATTGGTTTATTTGGATATAACCCTTCCATAGCCGCCCAAAGGGTCCGGAGTTAGTCGCTGTGAGGGCAGGAAACCGCCTCCCTTTCAACAACAATGAAGCCAATAAGATGCAACTATTGTAGAAAAAGCGAGACCGTAGATATCACTGATTCTGCTGGACCAAGTCGTAGACCCTAAGGTTATAGGCTCACTGGGTGTTGTACCAATACTGTCACAGCCCTATGGGCCGGTTACATGTTGATAGGGGGGCATTGTAGCTATTGTTCTACTCTTCGACGCCCTTTGACCTCCTCTCCACTGACTTCCAGAACTCTGATATGCTGTAATTTATCGTCATGTTTCTGGTACTCCTGACTACTCGCTTCGGTTTCTCAATCCTATACGACGAGGCCGAGGGGCCGGGTGGATGGGGCAGGGCAGGGGTAGTGCCGGCCACGGCTAGCGCTGGTAGGGTACCCGTCCGGTTCTGCGCCCGGGACGGGGTGGACGCGACTGTAATCGTCTGGTTAGCCGGGGGATCGTCAGCAGCGCTGGCCACCTCTGCACCCTCAGTTTGTCGATCGAAGCTGCCAGCCGAGACGAATTCTGCCACAGCGTTCTCCGTTGTGGCACGGCTTTCCTTGCGTCCTCCCATCCGGCCATCCTTACATCCTTCCCTGAAGTTTGCCTTGCGTTCTGCTTTGCACCCATCCTCGTAACGGTTTCCCTCTTGGTCGCCATCCTCCATTGTGAATTGTTTCGGACAGTGTAAATTGCGAGCCTTACGGACGATGGCCCGAAGTCGCTCATATGTGAGTGCGATAGCAGGGTTTCTATTAAGATGTTAATTATGTCAGATTTGTTGCGTTGCTGAATGCAGAGCGGCAGCAAACCTTTTGATCCCAGCGGCTACCTCAATGGCCGAGGGGCGGCAAAGGAATGTTGGTATTCCAGGTGCCAGACCGACAAAGTCAGAGAGATAGAGCGCGACTTGACCGATGGGTTCTCGATCGAGATCGTCGTCGTAAAAGAGGATCCACGGGCTTGAAAAATCGTCGATACATAAGAGTCTGAACCACGCCTTCTTCATGGTGGGGTATTCAATATCGATGATAAGAGCGACTCGAATTTGACTATCTGACGACTTGATGTATTGACGCGACTTGCTTGTCACGTGTTTGCGAGACTCGGCCTACAAGACCTCGCAAACCACGGACGGTAGCTTACCCATCTGACCAAATGAGATATCAGGCTGTCGATAAAAGCTTGTTGCCGTACTCGATGACGGCTGTCCCTTGTTCTTTGATTGACTGGAGCAAGTCTCGAACTCTTGTATCAATAGTGGTGGCACGCCACACGAGAATCTGGTTCTTGATCTCGTCGCGGAGATCCATTTGAGCCTTCAAGTGCAATTTAGAGTCGCCCATAATGTCGATATAGACCCTCTGGGATTCGTAATCGTACTCCAATCGGCGGAGTGTCGGCTCGGAAAGCTCCACCAACTTGCCATCGAGTCGTCTGGAAAGGAAGTCTACGGCGCTTGCCTGGTCTGTCTGCCAGTGGAAGCCGATAATCCACTCACCAGAGAGTTCTGAATCGCGGGCGCGCAGGCCCCGGCGGGTTTCGACGATATAATCTATCATCTCTTCAAATGTGGACTGGTTTTGAACAACCTACGAGCGCGGATGGTCAGCAGGGGGCCATCAGCACGAAAGAGAGTGAGGGGCGGGAGAGTAATACAGGCTCAAAGCGAGGCTCGCCACCCGGCGGAGCAGTCGGTACCGGCAAGGCGGGTACTGAGGGTTGACTTTGCGATGCCATCGTTGGAGCAGGCGATCACGAAAATGTTGAAGGAGGAAGAAGAAGAGTAAAAATTTCTGGGAAGGGAAGAAGTAACATATGTCCTTGCTCGGGGTTTTAGGCCCCCTGTTTACACGATACACGTGACTCGTACTTCCTTCCAACGGGTGCCATATGTGATCCAACCGTAAATCGGGGTTGGGCTCGTTCACTTTCCGTGGGAAATAGCGAGGGTTCGTTGGTGAGGAAATCATCGAGAGTTGCAAATGTCACCGCGGATCAGTCACCTCGACTAGAGAATCTTGATCGAATAGTAATTACAATTTAGTTAGGTCTCCAATAATACAAACTATCATTGAGCAAATGCTTGGACAGGATCTCGAAAGCCGCGGATAAAATGCTTTTAGCACGAGACGGATCCCGCAACTGCCTCGATTGTGGCTCTGTCAGTTTGGCAGAAATTGGGTTGGGGTTGTCATTCATGTGTTCGAGGAACGGAGTTTACATTTGCTTCAAAATCCCATCACACTCGTTTCTTGGGGGCACACGGCAAACTTATCCCCGATTACTGAATGTTACAGGATCGACTTTACCAAGTAAGTTGAGCGTGAATGGGATCAGGAACGGCTGAAAAGGGGCCAAGTTGCTACCCCGAGTGTCCTTATCAGGTGAAGGGCGACCAGGGCATGGGGGTCATGAGCTGGAATAACGAAGCTTAACAACGATGCCCAGCATCATCCTCCCCATGCCAGGGCGCCGTGAAACGCAGGGTTTAATACCCAATAATCCTAGGTACCTTTCAAAACGGAGGTTGGAAAGCCGGGCGTACTTGGTTTATATTCGAAACTCGGAAATAAAGTTCAGGCACCGAAACCCCGCGCCATTCCGAATATATCCGACACCACAAGAAGGAGTTCATAGGGCAGGAAGGCAGCAGAATAAGCGACGTCTTCCGGCCTTCGTCGCAGAGGTTGGGAAGAATTAGGTAATCACTCGTTACGGAGACGGCCTCACTCCGGGATGTCGACGGGTGCTTGTCCTGTCAAATCCAAGAGTCGGAGTTTGGAGTTCAAACGACATTACTCGGCCAAACCTTGAACTCCAATGGCATTGTCGTGACCTCGTGATCAAACAACTTAACAACAATTGCCGGCACATGAATTGAGGCGCGGGGGGCAGAAGGTAAGTTTGGAAAAAGTGAAGGAAAAAAAAAGCGAAGGAAAAAAAAAGCGAAGGAAAAAAAAGGTAAAGGGAAATAAAGGTGAAAGCCGAAGGAAGAAAACATCAACATCGCCAAGAATTAACAACCTGGGTTCGGCCCGCCTTGAAAGCCTCACCTCTATCCGTAGCCCCCATCAAGATCTTTACGCGTACACGCATCCCCATTACCAACGGCCCCGCTCAGCCCCGTCAAACCTCAAATCCCAAAATCAACTTCGAATATTCCATAAGTGGGCCCGCCGTGCCGGAACGATGTGTGATTGGCCACGGAATGCGAGACCGACTTATACGCGTATACGGCTGACTCCGGTCCCGCGGTCGAGACCCCTGCAGCATGGCCCGATATGGGTTTTTGGGACGGCGCGAGCCATGCAATGCGCCGTGGCGGAGCCGCAAAGCTCGTTTCCAGGGTTGGTTCTGCCTCGAAGTAGGTGTCCGTGGAAGTTTATTTGGGGATTGGATCCGATTGTGGACGCGCGTCGATTTTGGGGGGTTGTTTATAAAATATTTAGATTCTCAAGTTCCCGGGCTTGTTAAGTTGTTGGTTTCCTCATAGGCTCATACCTTCACTGGGGAGTAACGGTGATTTACGACACAGCATTTAGCAACTATGGCCGACTCCAAACCCTTTGCGAAGTTCAAGCTCTTCCAGTATGACCCGAATCTGGCCGCCAATGTGGTCTTCGCCGTTCTCTTCGCAGTCTTGTCGATATGGCACACGGTGGTTTTAATTCGGAAACGGACGTGGTATTTTATCCCTTTTGTTATCGGAACGTTGTGTAAGTCAACTCGTTTTCCACGTCCTTCGTAATCCGGGTTGCACGGCACGAAATGACTGTATCGACCATCCTAACAATATTCACAGTCGAAACAATTGGATACATCGGCCGAATCCTCGCGGCCAATGAAGCACCCGACTTCACGCTGGGACCGTACATCATGCAAAGTCTCCTAATTCTCCTGGCGCCCGCTCTGTTCGCTGCGTCCATCTACATGATCCTCGCCCGTCTGATTCGGCTCCTCGGCGCGGAACAGTACGCGTTGATCCGTACCAACTGGATGACGAAGGTGTTTGTGACGGGCGATGTGTTGTCCTTTCTCGCGCAGGGTGCCGGTACGTCCCATGTTCCCCTCATCTACACCAGCGAAAAGCAAAACGAACTGAATCAACTAATAATCAACCCTCTGCAGGCGGCGGCCTCCTCGCCAAAGTTAAAACCCTCGACGACCAAAAACTCGGCGAAAACGTCATCCTCGCCGGCCTCGGCATCCAAATCCTCTTCTTCGGCTTCTTCATCGTCACGACCGTCCTCTTCCACCTCCGGATCACCAAGAACCCCACCCCACTCTCCTACTCTTCCACCACAGGACCCTGGCGCCGTCTCATCATCGCTCTGTACCTCAGCAGCATTTTGATCCTCGTCCGGTCCGTGTTCCGCATGATTGAGTTTGGCATGGGGTTTGACGGGGTGTTGTTGTCGAATGAAGGGTATTTGTTGGGGCTGGATGGGGCGTTGATGGTGTTGGTCGCTGTGGTGTTGCTATGGAGTCATCCGAGTAAGGTGGTTAGGGGGCATGTGCGTGGGGAGGAGGGGCTGGCGAGAGTGGAGGCTGGGAATGGGGGTGTGACGGCGGAGGGGTTTCAGATGATTCCCAGGCATATGGAGGAGGAGAGTGGGCAGGGGCGGATTGGGGGCACGCCGGAGAGGTATGATAGTGATTCGTTGAGGGCTTTGAAGGGGAGGCGGTAGTTGTTGGTTGTTGGTGTGAGTGTGAGGGAGATGGGTTACAGCACTGGACGACGGAGTTAATGGGGGGGTTGGTGTCAAAACATCACTATATTTTGGGGTAAACCGTAAAGAGATAGCATTGCACATCAGGGCTTTGAACAGATCTGGTCGGGCGTGATCAGATACCGCGGTGGTTGAAGATATCCTTGGTAGAGATAATTAGAAGGAAGCAGTCGGATTTTACATTGCATATCTCTCCATTGAGAAGAGGCACTAAATGCTATCTTTCATCTACCTTCCCCTATCTCTAGTTCGCAACATCCCATCAACACCAAACAACCAACCAACCCTAACCCCACCCCTAACCCCCATCACCCTCCAGCTCCACCCACGTGTAAGGCCTTGCCTTAGGGTTCAACCCCCCTTTAAAAACACCACCACCCCTCAAATTTCTTCAACAACTCACAACATCCTCTCGGGCGTGTGGCTCAGTTGGTAGAGCGTTCGCTTAGCATACTTACCCCTCCTTGGTGTATGCGAAAGGTCCTGGGTTCGATTCCCAGCTCGTCCAGAATACATACATAAACCTGAACAGATAGGAAGTATCTGGCTGGGTTGGTTGTGTTTTTATCTTTTGGTTGTATTTGCGTTGTTGTCGTTATTGGTGGCTACACTCTATCCACGTTTCCTGGGGTTACGGGTGCGGTGGGGTGCGCCTGTCACGGATGTTTTGGGGGTGCCTTGTAGCTGGGAGCTAAATGTTGCTGTTTGTTCGTCACGACAGCAACATATGCAACAGAGGATTTGTACTACATCCTTGAGTCCAGCCACACAGGAGTACACCCGAGAGACAAGATCACGTCTGATCTTCCTATAATGACATCTCGAACAGTCGATACGGTTTATGGGTGTAGGATCTGCCACTCAGCATCACAGCACGCGGACAACATGTGATCAAGAACATCAATTCCCGGAACATATTTAAGGCCCAAACCAGCCAACAAAACTTTTATACCCGCAAAATCCCAGCCCACCACAGCCCATGCACCAAATTCCTCGTTCGTTGTTTGTATGTCATTAGTTCGGAACTCATCACTCGTTGTTGGTATCAGCATCCACAGAAATCCCACCAGCTCCTCACACAACACCAGCCAGCTTTAGGACGCTAGGGTTACTGCTGAAGAGGCCCTGGTTGGCGTTGTACAGGAGGAACACCGTCTTGCGGACGATCGCGCGCGTCTCGTCGTCGAGCTGGTCGCTCGGCGGGCTGAGAACGGACTCGAAGACGGGGACCAGCTTGGGGGTGAGCTGTTGGATGGTGGGCTCGTTGTTCTCATCTGTGAATTGTTAGCACAATGCCGGGAGTTGTTGTAGTTGGGGGTAAAACTGCTTACAGAGCTTCAAGATGCACTCATAAACGGGCGAGTTCTCTTCATAGTCGTCCTTGAGGGGCAGAAGCCCAACAAGAGCAGGAAGGACGTCACCAAGCGGGATCTGATCCGGGTGCGCCAGTGTAAGCCGCGAGATGCAGCCGGCGGCGTTGTCCTTGATGCGTGCTTCCTGGACCTGCAGCATCGGCTCCAGCTTCTGGAGGATGTTGCCGTAGTGCGGCAGGTAGGTGTTGGTGTCAGTCGAGTTGAGGATGAGCTGCCCGGTGGCGTAGGCCGCGTTGCTCTTGGTCTCGGGGTCAGTGTCCGACAACCGCTTGAGGAGCAGCTTGAGGAGCTTCTCCGTGTATGGGGTGATGGCCGCCTCCATGTTCGCAGCGCACTCGGCGATGACGCCGACACCGGTAGACCGCTCGATGTTCTCGGATTCAGAAGAAGCAAACCGGATAATAGGCTTCTCAAAGATCTTCCAGAGCTCGGCGAAGCCGGGGCCAAGGGCAACAGCAAGACCGATGATGGCATCAAGACCGGTGTCAATAACAAGCCAGTCGTACTCCGAAGTACCCTCGACTTCCTGATCCTCGTCCTCATCGCCCAGATCTTGTTGGCAGGGGTGCGAGCGGGTAATGATCGTAGACAGAACGGTGACGACTTCCGTGACAAAGCTCTGCTGGGCGAGGATGGCTGGGCCGCAGGCCTTGAGAGTCGCCGCAACGTTGCGGTTGATTTCCGTGACGACGCCACTTTTAGCAGTTAGTGCATGTTTTAACCGCATGAGCTGTTCAGGAATGTACAGAGGATATAAAGGGAGTCAGGAGTAGATATGCACGCTTTCTCAGCATCCGCAATAATATTGCGTTTGAGTGAGCTGGGTAATAACGCTAGGTGGTCATCATGCAAAGGATTTAGAACAGGAAAAACAAAGATAAACGTACCGGTCAGCTTCCTCGTGCCACAGCTGCAGGGTAGCCTTGCAGACAATCTCGCCGAGCTTCACAATCGTCGTGGTTGGCTCCTGCTTGAGGGGAAGGCCAGGCTCCCAGTTGGTGCCGGTCTCCTGCTCCATCAGCTGCCAGACGCGGGCATACGACCGCCAGAGCGTGGCGATAGCAGCCTTACGGCAGCCCTCATACGAGTGTTCGGCCAAGGGAGAGATGCATTCGACGGCCTTCTCGAGGTACTCGGCAATCTCTTGCGTGCCGCAGGCGTATGTGATCACATCGCCGAGGATCTCCATAGCAACCTCCTTCTCGAGCGCCTCAATGGAGACACCGAAGTCGTCGTACTCGTCATCCTCATCATCGTCGTCCATCCAATCTCCGTCCTCGTCAGAGGTATTCTTGATGGTGACCTTCTTGCCGGCCGTGATGACCTCGTTGTCAGTGCCCACAATGCCCTTCTCCTCCTCGGTGAGTTGAAGCTTGATCTCGGTCTCCTCGAGCTTGAGGCTTTCGAATAGCCCCTTGAACACACCAGGGAGGAAGGGCGCAAACTCCTTCTCGTACACCTTGGCAAGGGCGCTCCACAGAATGAAGCTGCTCTCCTTGAGTCTGGAGTTATCGAGATGAAGCGCTTCCTCACTGGAGCGCATGAGGTCGACCACGTAGGGCTGGAAGGCCTCGGCCCCGACGGCCGTGGCGATGCGACCAACGGAGTCAGACACACCGCTGCGGAGCGCCAAGTCATCTTCAGAGTCCTTGATGGTCAGGTAAGCACCCAGGGCATGCATGGTCTGCTCAAAGTAGGGCTTGAAGTCCTCGCCAAGGCATTCGGCAATGGCACCAATGGCACCAGACGCGGCCACCTTGACTTTGTAATCATCGTGGGTGATGAGAGCGCCAATGTTACTGACGAGCTCGCTGGCGTTCTGCTTCATGAACTCGGCATCGAGACCCTCCGACATGGAGTCCAAAGCGCCGCACACGGAGCGGATGATCTCAATGTTCTTCTTGGCCAGGGCCTCGTCCGGCGTAGCCTGCGTCGCGGCCTGCAGGTTTTTAACCAGGGCTGTGATGATAGACTCGTTGAAGGGGGAGAGTTCCGAGGCGATGTCATCAGCCAGGCGGGCGAGGCCGATGAGGGCGGTGTGACGGACGCCAACGTCCGCGTCGTTGAGCAGGTTGATGGCTAGCGGCATGATCGACTTGACCTGCGTGGCAATGAAATCGGGCGCGCCCTCGACGACGGTGCCCAGGGCGAGGATACCAGCCTTGCGGTAGCCGGGCTCGCTGGAAGTGGCAAACTTGGGAAGCGCTTCAAGAAGGGGGACAATGACTTGGCGAGGCGGCAGGTCGCTGGCGAGCTGGTCGAGAAGGGCGAGCGCGGACCGGGCAGGGCCCATATCGTCGTCATCCTCATCGTCGTCAATCTCGGTGAGGATTAACAAACTCTTCTGGGTGAGCTCCTGGCCCATGTCCTTCATGCCCTGGATCTTCATGCGGCGGTAGCGGACGGTCTGGGCAAGGAACGCAAGCGCCTGGGAGCGCACATCCTCCTCAGCCTGCTTGTTGGCGGCCAGGTCGATCATGAATTGGACAAGGTCCTTGAGGTACTTGCCGAGCAGGGCCGACTCGTAGGCAAGGAATTGTTGGAAGACCTCGAAGGCCTGGCCAGTCTTCTCGTCATCCCCTGCGCTGACGGCATCCTTGAGAATGTCAACCATGGCCGGGATCAGAGTCTGGAGAGTAGTGACGGACTCCTCGTCCTCCAGGGGCTCGAACATGAGCAGCATAGCGCCGATGGACATCATGGAGTTGATGCGGACATCTGCGCTCTGCGGGTCCCGGAGGGTGTGGCCGAACAGCTCGAGGAGCTTGGGCATCTCCTCGGCGAACGCGGTAGGGTTCTCCTCCAGCAGGCTGAAGATGATGTACGAGCCCACCTCGCGCTGGTTGACATCGCTGTTGGTGGACAGGTTGAAGAGCGCCGGGATGAGGTCGGGCCATTCCCCATCCTCAAGGTCAATTGCAGCAACGGACGCGACGAGACGTGCATTCGCGTGACGCGCCCGCGGCGTCTGCTCGTTCATGGTCGCCTGGACCACATGCTGACGCACAGCCGCCTTTTGCTCCTTGGGGATCTTCTCCCAGTGCTTGACGACCAAGCGGGCGCCCTGCACCGCAGCCTGTTGCCGCACATTCACATCTTGGTGGGTTGCGACGATCTCGACGAGGAGAAGGAGAGATTCGGGGTGAGAGTAGTAGTTCTTTTGGAGTTCGGCAGTGACCGCCTTTAAGTTCTGGGTGTCGGCTGGAAAGAAAAAAGCACCGGGTCAGCACGGACAACAAATCCCAGGCGGGGGAAGAGAAGCGAAATGAGTGTCCGGCACGCCAAATAAACGCGAGTTAAACCTGGAAAGGGCAAGCGGTAAAACTTACGAACTTGAGACTCCTGCAGGAGCGCGGCTAACCGTTGCTGATCCATGGTGCTGTGCCCGGATGTCTAAAGAAGGGGTATCACAAGAAGAGAAAGGAAAGAAAGAAACGAAGGAGGGCGTTGGGGGTTGTTTGCAGCAACAGAGGGCCTCAGCAGCTTCGGAAAAAATTTGGATTTTTCAATTTGCAGAGTGGAACTGATAACAGGCGCTTTGCCCGATCTTGCAGCGGGGCAGGCGCGAGGAGGGGTCAGCAACAAGTGCGGGGCACTGCTACGGCTGCAGGACAGGCTGACAGTTGCACAAGCTCTCACCGCTCAAGCGAGGGTTAGGGTCTGATGCAGGGCCTGGTGCTCGTGCATTCCTTCAGTTTGGGATCTGCGTTGCAATGTTCTCCAATTCACAGCGTCTTCTCGGTTTTTGTTGCATCTCACAACTTGTCGTTAAGTTATCCAACGTTAAATTCCATCAAAAATCCCACTCCACCAACCATTTCCGCATCAAGTCCCCTTCAAGAGACCGCAATCCAGCCATGGCGCTACTCCGTGCGCTCCCCTTCTTCGTCGCGAATGCCAGCTCCGGCCCTTCAATATCCGCTTCCAACCTGAGGCCCTCGTAAAAGTCGAGAATCTTGACACCCGGGAACTTTGCGACTTGCTCTGGTGTCTGTGCCGCATCGATGCTCCGCAGATCGCTCAACCACTCTTCAAACTCGACACTGATGAGCTCGTTACCTTGCTCTGCGTAGAAATCTTGCACGGTTTTCGCCAGGTCGGCCCACTGTGTGACCTGCGGGTTCATAACATTGAAGCAGTTGAGCGATGCCGGGGTGGAATCCACCTCCTTTTGGGTCCCGATGGGCAAGAACTCGGTGATCACCTTTGCTGCGGTGTCGACGGGCACCCAGATGATGTTGTCGTTGGAAGGTCCTAGCGATCGTGGGATCTTGCCTAGAGACTTTGACGTCTTGATGAGCGAGGGCAGCCATTCTGCGGATTGTTAGTCAACAGGCATTGTACCGCCGTAAAAAAAAAAAACAAAAAAAAAACAAAAAAAACGGGGAGACACTCACCATGTCGATTCCAAACCCCCTTCGCCTCAGCCGTCCCCGCGAGCTGGCCAACCCGCAGCACAGTCCCGCCAACGAGCCCCTCCTTGACCGCCTTAGCTAGGATTGAGCTAGCCACATGCTTCGACTCGCCATACCCTTGCCGTGCCGGCAGGCTGTTATCGGCCTCAAACTCCTCCGGCACGACGAGCACCTCGTCGCCCTCCCGACTGCGCACCGCGGGGAAGTTGAGCACGCTGGCAACCGACGACACGAACCCGATATGGGCTTGGCGCGCCGAGCCGGCGGCAAAGTCCACGCAGCGCTTGACTCCCACGATTACATCCTCGAAGCTGTCGAGGGTGCTGTTGAAGTTGACGGGCCAGGCGTTGAGAAGGATGGTGTTGACGTCACTTTGCATGTCGGCGTACTCGGTTGGGCTGAGGCCGAAGTTCTCATGCCGCGTCTCGCCGGTGAGGAAGCGCACCTTGGGGTGAGAGGCCACGTCGGGGATGCCTAGGCCGCGGTCGGAAAAGGCTTGGACTTGCCGTTCGGCCGCGTTGTCGGAGCGGTTGAGGCAGTAGACGCGCTCGACGGCCGGGTTTTGGAGCAGTTCGTAGAGGAGGTGCGTGCCGAGGGCCCCTGTAGAACCGACCAGCAGGACGGCGAAGGTGGAATCGGGCTTGACGCTCTCTGTTGCCCGAGGCGCAAACTTGGTGTACTTGTGGATCATGGCTGACATCTTCTCTTCCCGGGAGATGGTGATGGTGGGAGCGACATTGTCGGCGCCATTCCCGAGCGCCCGGACAAGCATGTTGATGCTGGGGTTCTCGTAAACCGCACGCGTCAGGCAGTTGATCCCGGCCGCACTGAGGGCCTGGCGAATCTGCATGACCTGCAACGAGTCCGCGCCAAGCTTGAAGAGGTTGGCGTCGTCTGTCAGCTCGCTCGCCCGACCGGCCATCACCGACTGCACGGCCTGTTGGATGACGGTGCGTAGCTGGTTGTTATTCAGCAACCCGGTCTTGCCCTGGCTACCGCCTGTCTCCGCAGGGCCCTCATACAACACCTTGATCTCGTCCTCGTACAACGTATTTGTCGCCTTGCGGATGATGGATCCCTTGGGCGCGCGCTCAAACGGTTTCTCGGGCGAAGCCAGCGCCACCATCGTCCGCCAGACTTGGGCATGTGCAGGTGACTCTGCGTTGGCCGCCTCCACCGCGGGCCACACCTCCTTTAAGAACGCCTCCAGCGTCAGATGGGCCTGTTCCGGCTGCGGTTCGAGGATCAACCCGGCCTGGAGCTGTGCGGTACCGACGACGATCGCGCCCTTGACCCACGGATGGCCCTCGACGGCCTTCTCGAACGACACGGGATTGGTCTTTTCGCCATTTCGCAGGACGATGATGTCGTCTGCCCGGCCGATGTACTTCCACAGGGCTGGCTTGGTGGGGTGTTGTTGATAGAGATCATGCGGGCGGTACTCGTCGACATCCGGAAAGTTGTGGAAGACACTCTGGAAGGGATTCCCTGGTTGGCGCTTGATAACCAACTCCGCGACGCCCTCCTCGCCCGTGGGCTCCATCTCGATGCCCACTTGGGGATTCCACTCAAAATACTCCCAATCCGCCGGGTCGACCGGGTTCAAGTTGGGGAAGTTAAACGTCTCGGTGCTGCCGATGGTATTCACCAGCTGGGTCACCCGCGTGATCTTGTCTCCGATCGCTTTCGCCAAGGGCGCACCACCGTAGTACACCGCATCCAGCTTGCCCAACTTCTCCAGCCCGCCGGGAATGTTGATGATGTCCTCTAGTATGGACGGGGGGAACACAGCCGAACGGGGCTGGACCTGCTCGAGGGCGTGCAGGATGAGGTCTGCTGTAGGTGGGCGGCCAGAGGGCAAGATGGTGAGCGGGCCTTGGTTGTAGAGGGAGCGGTTGAACAGCATCATGATGCCATACACGTGGAAGAAGGGCAGGGTGCAGAGGAGGAGCTCGCTTCGGATGATGGAGATGTGCACGTTGGTGCGGCCTTCGGGGGCCGGCATCGACAGGCTCTCGGCGCCGACGCGAAAGATGCCTCCTTTGAGGTAGATGGGCTTAGGAAGGCCTGTTGAGCCGCTGGAGTGGAGGATGACGAATGTTTCTTGGTCTTTAAGGTACTTGGACCCGCGGCCTTGGTCTGTGGTGCCTTCGGCCGCTGAAAAGATGTCGGCCACTTCTGGGATCTGCGCGGTTTGGAGGTTGGGTGTCGCTTGGGCGAGTCCATTGACCATACCCTGGAACTCGGCGCTGTGGACGAACTTGACGCATTGTGTGGCGTTGAGCAGGGACAAATTGCCCTCGAGGGAGTTCCTTGGGGAGATCAGGAAGCTCTGCGATGTGTCAGTAGCTTTGGTTCAGGGCCGCGCATGAATAGCCCTACTCACCTTATACCCCGCCTTCAACGCCGCCATGACTACGACGGGATACCGAAAGTCGTTGACCGCGGTATACGCCACGGGCTCCTCCCCGTTGCCCGGGCCGAGTTCCTGTTCCAGCCATCGCGCTGTGAACTCGACCGCCCGGGAAAGCTGCGACCATGTGATGTCTCGCCAGGCGATCTCCGGGCGAATCGAATCACTCTTCCCGATGACCTCGGGATACTTGGCCCAAACTTTATCAGGGGTCTCGGCGGCCACCTGCTCGACGAACACCGCAGGTGCGAGAAAGTCCGAGGCAAGAGAACCCATGGTGGTGAGTTGTTCGTTGATGTGAGGGTCGGGCTTTCAGTTCAATGGCTGAGTTGAAGACACCGGTGGAGGAATTCCAGAGATGCGTGGCTAGGAGGAGAAGAGTCTTTTACTTATACCCATCTGCTGCTGCCCAACTCCGTAGACCAGCATCCCATGCGTTCTCGAGGCACCTCGCGCGCATCACTGCATCGTGCCGCACACTAATCAGCTAGAGCCAGCATTGCATGATTTGGAGCCCCCAGGTCTCGGATTTGGGCTCGGTCTTGCATCACATGCGTCTCGACACCCGATCTCCCAATCGCGCGGCAAGGGCGCCTATCCCGGGGAAACCTGCTGTCTCATCACAGTCCGAAGTATTATTTGTCACCTCACTCCCCACGAGATGCGGGTACCAACAAGCCAACCTCTGCTGCTGACTGTGTCTCGTAACTGAACCCATCCGAGGCCTATGATTGGATCACTAATCCCACGACAAGAGCGGCCTCCACTAATAGTCAGCGATTTGTTGGGACCGCGTACCGAGGTTGATGGACGACTGCATGCCCTTTCTGTCCTGCGATGTGTATGTCGCGGTTCAGCTGCCTTCATGCCTCGGGTGGCGGCCAAATCGCCCAAATGGGCTTGACGTGGATGCCGTGATGCCCAAGGCGCGAGACTGTGTCGGAGCCGAAACTCCGGGTTCGCAATCATCCCACGGATTTCGGGAGGAGGGGTTTTTGTGAAGTCCGCTCATATCTGGCTGGCGGTCGGTGGTCGTTTCTCACAATGTTGTTGCGATGCCCCGCCATGCCCCGCCATGTAAGATGTTAGTTTTGACCGACCGGGATGGCATGTCGAAGACTCGAAGCAGGAACCAATCTGCGTTGAGAATAATCCTTGCAGTGCTGGACTGAAAGTGATGCCTGCACTTAAAATAAGACCTTAAATAAAAGCAATTGCCCAAACCCCATTTCTTGCGAAGCCTTTTTTCCCAGAATTTGGAATTGCACATTCACACTTCGAGAAGTTCTTAAAGCCCTCGATTCTAGTCTTGGCGCCCAACGTCAAAACCGGAAGCACCTAGAGCGAGCCTGGGAGGAACGACACCAAGGTACGATTAATTAGGAGAATAGAGTAGCCACTGAATAAATACGGGAATTATTTAAATAATGATCAAACGGGAATCAAGAACGGCAGTAACAAGGCGGGAAATGAAGAAAAACAATTTTGTTTTTTTAAGAAAAAAGAAAAAAAAGAAAAAAGAAAAGAAAGAAAAAAGAAAAGAAAGAAAAAAGAAAAGAAAGAAAAAAGAAAAGAAAGAAAAAAGAAAGAAAAGAAGAAGTAGAAAAAGAAGAACATAAGAAAAGTAGCAAATAAGGCAAAAAACCTAGAATGCACGGAACATAGGAATGGTCATAGTATAACCCAATGTTAGGGACGAGTTCCCCAGGGCCAGTTCTTTTGTAGAACCACTCTTAAGTATTGTCTATATGTAGAGCAACTAGCTAGGAATTGATGGTTCTTTCTCTAACAATTCGCCCCTGTTTCTTCATTCCGGCGAATCTCAGTGTTTCTCCAGCTGTTAGCCTCTAAGTTCAGTTGTTAGTTAGTTGTTCTTAATAGCGTGGGTGACTGGGCGAACGAGGATTTGTACTACCTCGCGAGCCTGTTTTTAGTTAATGCCTGTAAAATGAATTTGGCGGGATTTAGCTTTTTGCCCTACTGCCTGCCCGACTTATCAATAATCATGATCAATACTCACCTCAGTTGCGCCCTCGAGTAACCGTATTAATTCTCTTCTTTTTGTTCTTTCTTCAAACATGGTGCTTGCCATGATTACGGAGGGGGATTCTGGTGTCTGGGCAACCGTGGGCGAGGATGGTTAAAGCTTTCCGAGAGCTTTCAAATGACGTTAATTTCAGGGATTTTGATTTAAATAATCTAATTCATTGCTCTCATTGCGCTTTGTGACCCATTGAAGATATCTTGTGTCATTTATTTTATTCATTCATTTGTAATCGTGACGTAATTAGTTTGAACTCTAGACAAACTATTCTAGAACGTTTCATAACCGTAAACTGCAGCCCAGTTACGTACCCTCAACCTACGGAACGGCCACAGCTCGGTCCGGACTCCTAGCTCGTGCTCCGCGCTCGGGTGGCTCATGCCGCAGCTGCCGCACCATGAGCTGGACGGTGAGGATGGTCAGTAGACCCAAAAGTGCAGCGATCCAGAAGGGCAAGCCCCTGAACGGATCGCGGAGATCGAGAGAGACAACGAGGATGTTGGCCCACATTTGTGACGAGACGATGCGAGCAGCTGTCTCGAGCAGGCTGATGACGGCGTAGAGCTCGGCGACGTGGCCGCTGGAGCTCAGGCCGGTGAGGAAGGACTTGAAGGTGTCGTAGGTGCCGGCCGACAGGGCCTGGATGGTGACACCCATGAGGAAATAGGGGCGGCTGGGCGCGAGGCCCATGGCCAGGTTTCCGATGATACGAAGCACGAGGCTCCAGCGGATGATGACGATCTCCATGCGGCGGGCGCTGCCGAGGCGGGTGATAAGGTACGTGGACAGCGCGGGTAATCCGGCCAGCACCAACATGCACACGAGTGTTGCGTACGCGTTGACGTAGGTCGCGGCCGAGAAGGTCCAGTCAAAGCGCTCGACCGTCCACTGCGTCTGGATGAGCTGCACATCGAGCCCTAGGATCTTGATGCCGCAGGCAATCAAGCTGATGCGAAATACGGTCCGGCCCAGATACTCGTTGTATGTGGTCACAAACACATGCTTAATGTGTTGGACAAGGGACATGCCCGGCCTGGTTGATCCGTCCGCGGCCATGTTTACGCTTTCCATCCCATCGTGATGGGCGCGTTGGCTGTCGCTGCTGTTATTGTTATTGTTACAGTTGCCCATGTCATTGATGTAATCATCATCGTCAATATCGGGCTGGCTCGATACTAGCGGTTCGTCGGCCTCGGTGGGCAGTTTCGGCCGACGGGCGGCTATAAACAGGATGATAGGGATGTTGAGAGAATAGGCCAGTACTGTGACCGGACCGACCGCCCACGGGGCGCTTCTGAGTAGAATGCCGCAGATGGTCATGGCGAATGCTCGCGATAGCAGCAGCATCGCTCCTATGGTGTAGAAGACAGCCGAACTGAACGCAACGCCAAGTCAGGTAGTTAGGTACGGCAGAGGTTCAAGCCCAGCAACAGTCCACCGAGGGGGGGCCGGGAGAAAGTAAAAACAAAAAGAAATGAAGCGGAGGTTAACGCACCGAGTTTCCGGGGTGACTGCCTGCGCCAGGAGCGAGTAGAGGAGGATGTAAGCCATAGAGATGCCTCCCCCAACGCACTCGACCAGGCGCGAGAGCACGACCAAGCCGACTGGGACCGAAGGGCCCGTGAAGTGGCCTTGAAAGGCGGTTAGCCATGATTGATGAGGGCGACGAGAGGTAGGTTATCAATGAGAAGAGCCAAAAGAAAAAAAAAAAAAAAACAGAAAAAAAAAGCAAAAGAGAAAAGGAAAGAAAGGAAAGAGAAAAAGGGTCTTACATATCAAAAAGAAATACGCCATGGAAGCGGTCGATGTCACAAACCCGACGCAGAGAAACATGTGCTTGTTAACGCTCTCGGCCAGCCGTGCGTAGGGCAAAGTGAGGATAAGGGCTACGGTACGGAGTAAGCGGTAAGTTGTAAGCAGGGGCATTGATTGGTTTCAATGTATGTACATGTACATGAATAGGGCCTTTCTCACCTTGTACGGCCGAGACGTTGTCAAACCAGCCATTCAGCCTGGCGAGGTTTGCCTGCACCTCGGTCGTTCTGCAGTCGTGCAGGTGCTCCAAGCCGTCCGAGGCAGGGGCTGCTGCTAGGCGGGCATAAAAGTCGCGGCACACAGCGTCCTCGAGTATGGGAACGCGCGCTGCCTCGAACATGGTCATGCCCACGGTGACGAGCACCATGAGCCCTGCGACGTGGCCTGCATTGAGAATCTATTCGTGTTCCATCTTAGCATCTCAGCATCTCAACGGCCGTCGATACTCGATGGTAGGGCTGGGGCTTGGCAGCGCCGGGGTTGGGACTGGGGAGGACCGAGGACCGGAAGCGCAAGGGGGGATAAGAGGGGGAGAAGAAGAGGAGGTGGCGTGTGAGTCTCAGAGGGCATCATACCTGAGATAATGCCTTCCGCATACTAGCAACCTAGCCAGAATATGGCGGAGGAAGGGGGAGAAAAGACGCGACAGCCACTGGCAGGCACAGCACCGGGAAGCAGGAATGAGGTGTAAGAAGAAAGAGAGAATGCGGTGGCACGGCCTGGCGCCCTTTGAAATCACTGCACAGTAACCCGTCACGGACTCGCGGGCAGTGTGGGTGGTGTCGGTTAGGTATCTCGGGCGAATGTTCAATGAACCCCGATGTCTGAGAACGGGAGAGCTGCGTGTATGTATACGAATACAATAATACAACTCGACTTGAGCCGCCCCGCACACCGTTTCTCTTCACTGCTCGGTCTCCCCCATCCCCCAAGAATTCCATTCCGCCCGCTCCCCCCGTTCCCCCGGTCTCTCCATTTCGCTGGACCTCACGCGGGCCGTCTGCCCTATGCAACAATGCGGCGTCGAGGAAGGATTTGGCTGCAGACACCCCTGCCCCTCTTTCTGAGACCTGCTGTCTCGAAGGAGTGGCGTGCAGCAGACTGTGGTATTAGCCCAGCAGGGATGCCGAACGGTAATGCATGGAGGCGTGGGGGCAGTACCGTGTAACGTTAATTACCCGGCTCGCTTGCGTTTGAACTGCGCCCAAACACCGGCCAACGGCCGCCTCTTGTTGGAGTGTTTAGAGGCTCTCGGCCGGCTGCTGATGTTTGTTTGATGGTGGTTTCTTCCTCGGCCTGTTTCGTACTATTAACAACATCACATTCGCCAACCGGCCCAAACATTCTCCTAACAACCCCCCCAAGGCCACCACAGTGCGCCGAGTTTGGGACAGTTCGAAGAGCAAGAGTCCTGGTCGCATCCATCCACCGCTACCATGTCCACCAACTCGGCAGTACCCACGGCCTACGAGCCCAAGAACATGAAATTCCGCCACCTGGGCAAAACGGGGTTGCAGGTCTCGGTCTTCTCGCTCGGCAGTTGGGTCACCTACGGCAACACCCAGAAGGGGAACATTGTAAAGGAGATTCTGCAGACCGCCTGGAACCATGGCATTGTATGTTTCCCTCGATTTCAGACCATTGGCAGATAGTCAGCTTACAGAGCTACATAGCAAACCTTTGATACGGCTGAGGCCTACGCTGACGGCGCGGCGGAGGTCGAGATGGGCGCCGCCTTGAAGGAGCTCGCCTGGCCGCGCGACGAGTACGTCCTAACCACCAAGATCTTCTTCGGCACCGGCCGTAAGGAGCCTAATACACGCGGCCTGGGTCGTAAGCATATCGTCGAGGGCCTCAAGGCCTCCCTTGCCCGGCTCCAGACCCCATATGTTGATATCGTCTTCGCACACCGGCACGACCCGGCCACACCCATGCTCGAGATTGTCGAGGCCTTTACCCAGACCGTCCGTAACCTCAACCTAGCCTACTACTGGGGCACGTCCGAGTGGAGTGCCGCCCAAATCACCGAGGCTATTGAGCTCGCCGAGAAGCATAACCTCATCGCCCCCGTTGCCGAGCAGCCGCAGTATAACGCCTTCCACCGCGAGCGTGTCGAGGTTGAGTACACCCCGCTGTTCAAGCAGTACGGCTACGGTACTACCACCTGGTCACCCCTCGCGTTCGGCCTACTAACAGGCAAGTATAACGACGGGATCCCTGAGGACTCGCGGTACGCGACCAACAAGCACTTCTTTCAGTATACCATTAAAGAGCACGAGAGCGAGGTTGGGCAGGCTAAGATCGAAAAGGTCAGGAAGCTGACCAAGATTGCGGAGCGGCTGGATGCCAAGGTCGTTCATCTTGCGCTGGCGTGGGCGGCCAAGAACCCGAACGTTAGTACGGTGATTCTGGGCGCGAGTAAGAGTGAGCAGGTCGTGGATAATCTCAAAGCACTTGAGCTGCTGGACAAGTTGACGCCTGAGATTGTGGAGGAAATTGAGGCGGTGTTAGATAACAGGCCCGAGGGGGTAGCCACGTAAGGTTAAGGAATGCGAGCTCTTGGAAGGCACCAGGGGAGGACTTGCTTCCTAGGGCGACTGACGTGCGAAGTGACGCGAGCAATCTTGAAGTCTGTTTATGGTCCTTTCTAGCCACCCATCTCAAGGTGCAGACGTGTCAAACAATGCTTTTGTTAAGCGGCAAGCAGCTTGTCAACCCTGGACTCCAACGACTCCTCAAAGTCGCGCACGCCATTCGCCAGACGGGTCAGCTTCCCCTTCTTCATGAGATACAGATCCCGCTTCATCTCGGCCTTGGTCTGTTCCTCCTCATCCTCCTCTTCTTCCTCCTCATCGCTCCCGAGCAACTCCGCGTCTCCCTCGATCACCGACTTGACAAAAAACCGGTCGTGAGACACAAGCAGAAGCGCGCCATTAAAGGCCCTCAGAGACCGGCTGAGCGCCTGTACCGTGTAAAAGTCGAGATGGGTCGTGACTTCGTCGAGGACGAGAAGATGTGGATGGTTCCAAACGATGCGAGCCAAGGCAAGACGCACCTCGAAGACGTTAGCTTAGTCTAAAGAAAGCGTGATTTTGCAAACATACCAATTGACCGCCTGAAAGTTTAGCAATCGGGACATGTGAGGCAGTATTACCCGCCAAGTGAAACGAAGCAAGGAAGCCGCGCATGTCCGCCTCGTCCATCTCATCGCCAGCCTCGGCAGCCAGGGTGCTCAGCGCTGTCATCGACGGATCAGCCATCCCAGCAGCCCTCAGCTCCTCGACCGCAAGTTGTGAGTAATAGCCGAGTTTGAGTCGGGGATGGCGGGCGACGGTTCCCCTAGTAGGAGACGTAACCTCGGTGACGAGCTTGATCAACGTGGACTTGCCACTGCCGTTGAGGCCAACGATGCCGACACGCGATCCCATATGAATGCTGAGACTTACGTCCTGTATGATGGATGCCTCTTTGGGGCCGTATGAGAACCAGACGTGGTCCAACGATACCAAGGCCCCGGGGAATCGGAGGTCGGGCGCGACAGGGATGGTGATGCTCACCGCAGCCTCTTCGGGAGGGATGTCTATCGCGGCGCGCTTCGAACTGTGAAATCCCGCCATATCTCTTGATAGCTTGAACCTCCCGCCCTTGGCATTGGTTTGCATTCCCATGCGGTCCTCCAGCTTTTTCTGGCGAGAAACGGCCTGGCGCAGCTTGTTTTCATCCCCATGCTTCTTTCCGGCCCGGATGTTGTTGGCGATGGTCTTCTCCATGTGAGCAGTCTGCTTCTCCTGGGCCTCCTTCAGACGGGTTAAGTTCTGCCTCCGCGACTTCAGGTCTTCCTCGTACGCGGTTAGATTTCCCTCAAAGTAGACCAAGGATTCATCTTTTATCATGATGATCTCCTCACACACGTGGTCAATAAAGTCGCGATCGTGCGAAACGACGACGACGGTCTTGTTAGCTTCCGTCCGGAGATCGACGAGATATTTCTGGAGCCAGATGATCCCTAAAAGGTCGAGGAAATTGGTGGGCTCATCGAGGATCATGATGTCTGCGTCTTGGAGAAGGGTACTGGCAAGCATGCAGCGCATCTGCCAGCCCCCAGAGAGCTCGTTGAAGGGCTGTTGCATCATCTGTTCGGTGAAGCCAAGCGCCGAAAGGATCTTTCGTGGCCGCGCTTCTTGATCGCCGAGTCGCCGCTGCAGACAGATGTCAATCCTGTTAGCTCTCAAAAGAAGGTTGGCAACCGGGGGTGTCACGGTGAAAAGTAGGTGCCACATACCTCGTCTAGATCGGCTTGAAGCTCAGCTGTTAGCCGCGAAGCTTCGGCGAGTTCGTCTTGACATTCTTTGGCATCGAGCGGTTCCTCAATGTTGTCCACTCTGCGCTTGATTAACACTCAAGGTCCCGACTGTCTTCTTGTGGCTTGCTGTGGCCTAACCTGTTGTGGGCTTCTTCCACCTTTTTCTCCATGGTGATCAAGTCTTTGCGTGCCTGGGAGCCCCTGGCTCCGCTCCGCAGCGCCGCATTCTTCTGCGCTTCCGTAAGTTCTCTGGCAAGTCGTGTATAAAGTAACCGGCGGTATGCGCGGAGCCGTCCCAACTCGTCGCCGTCCCCGGGATCGATCTGGGTAAGGACTGTTACGGGCTTGGTTAGCCATGAGCTAAGAAGCTTCTGGACGAGCCACGGGCCAGTGCCGAGCGGTCAGACTCAGACTCAGCAACGGGGAGTAGGTATTACTGTTCAATTCCTCCGAGAGTTTGTTTTTTTCTTCGTCCCCCTCGAGTATGTATTGCAAAACCGGCTTCTTCTCGCGGGGCTCGATGGCCGCTGACGTGTCGCTGTCACTACCGCTACCAGTAGCGGTTTGCTGCAGCAGCACGATCTTGGTGGCAAGTGACAATCCCGGTATCATCTTCCCCGCCAATGCCCTCAGGAGGGTAGATTTTCCCGACCCATTGCGGCCGAGAAGACCGTAGTGGACGCCGGCCTTGAGTCGCAGGTTCGTGTCGACCAGGATATCCTTGGTCTTGGCAGCCCCGCTGCCAGCTTTGGACTTCACAGTCTTCACTGTCTTGCCCGCTTTGCTGGCCACCGGGCTGGTGCGAATGGAGAGGGTCAATTGTTCGATGGAAACCTTGGAGCAAGTCGCAGACGTGTTAGTCACGGGCCCTTGCTGACAGCGCCCATTTATTGTTGTTGTTGTGGTGGTGCTTGGTGGTGGAGCAGATTGTGGACGGGACCTACATCTGACGACCTCTTGTCTTCGGCAATATGGAAACGCGTTTGCTGGCGCGTGGCAATGATCTCAGGCGCCCCCGGCGCATTTTCAGCATCCGAGTGAACCATGACGAGCGAGGCTGTATTGATGGTGTTGCCTAGGCAGAGATGAGGTTTTGAGTTTTCCTCCAGAGATTGTAAACAGAACGATATGGACGTTGGGCAAAGAGAAATAAAAAAATAAAAAGAGGTTGTCTCAAGGATGGAAATACAGTGGGCGTGGGTTAGGAAGGTTACCAGCGAGCCTGCAGGCTGCAGGCCCTTGTCACACCCGCTGACAGCCCCAACGGGCGGGCACATGCCTCGCTGCCCAAGCATCCATGCCAGGCCCTTTCGCCTACCTCTAGGCGAGACCTGGGGCCGGCCCCCCTGGGTACTACCCGCAGCTGTACTTAACCAGCGCCTTCCCCGCTGGTTGGGCCTTCTGTGGCGGGGTGTTTTGTGTCCGTGCCCATTCGTTTTACTTTACACCACGTTTCAAGCCAGATACGACCTGAGGCGAAACGGGAATATGTTGGCCGCACGCTCATACTCCAAAGTGCAAGAACGAGACTCTCTGGAGCTTTCTGACGAAACCCGCGCCCCGCAACCATCCCAAGGCGATTCGCCGTCGAAAAGGCAGTCCCGAGCTTTGCAGTGTCTCTTAGGGTTCTCACTCCTCGCCAACATCGCTCTGACACTGCTGTATCTTTCGCCATGGGCCGCCAAGCAAGCCGTATCGGGTGCCGCCGAGGATGAGTGCCGCCATCTTCGAAGTTTTGAAGGCACGCAATAACCGCCCACGCCTTTACAATCCCCAATCTTCGAGTGATTGAGGGTGGTTTTCGTTTTCTACAATTGTTTTTTTTTCTTTAATTCAATCCCCCTTTTCCCTTTCTTTTATTTACTTATTCTATCTCGGGAGGGTAGCGTCGTTTGCTAACTGCTCCCTTACAGACGTCTATGAGGATGTTCCATCCGTCGTCCAGTGTTCCACGGTGCGCTTCGACACGGGTCCCGGGCCAGGTGGCAGCCCTGACTTCAAGACTTTCTGGGGACGGCACTGGTTCGAAGGCTCAGAGGACGACATCAATCTTCTTTGGCGGCAGCTCTCGAGTGGTAAGCACTTGTCGATGCGTCTCGAATCACTCGCCTCTTAGGCTCAAGGCTGCGTCCATTCTCGCATGATCATAGTCGCACCAGCTCCTGACCCTGTTCTACATGCAGTCCAACTCCTAAGTATCACTGCCCAGGAGGCTTCAAGGTTGCCGGCCCACACAGCCCGCGATGCGGACACCCCAGGGAAATATGCTGTCACACCTCAGGTCTTCCACGACATGCATTGCTTGGTAAGAGCGTCTCTTTCGCGCTTCATCCTTCTCCTTTTGTCGGTGCAAGTAACTTAACAGCTGGAGGTCAGAACTATGTTCGCAATCATGCACTGGGGATTCCTCAGATGCACGACGGCGAGACCTCCGAGGAGCGTCGCGTTCACGTTGGTAAGGTCGCCCGTCACCGTATCTCCCGAGCCTGTTCCTCTTTCTTTTCCGAATCGACACACCGAACTAAATGCCTTCGCCTCAATAGAGCACTGTCTAGGAATCCTCCGCCAAAGCCTCCTGTGCGAGGGAAACCTGCAGCCGATCGTCTACACCACGCTGAATGGGGAGCCCCAGGCCAACCCGGGGGCCACGCCTCGACATTGTCGCAACTGGGGTGATTTGTGGGAATGGGCACGGCAGAGAAACATCACCTCGGGCTCGGTCTTGCCAGAGGTATAGCCGCATGTGGACATGTATGTACATCAGTAGGGGAGCCATGTATGTACATCAGTTGGGAGACAGACCGACAGCGCCAGAACGCCATGATATCACAAGCCACTCCTGTATTCCACAAGCAATAGGCGTGAGTGGCCCTGAATCGACACTCTGCGACGACACTTTTCCTCAAGACGCCTCAAAACAAGCTCCTGACACTCGCAAACGCAATCACGGTATAAATGGCAGTAGCAGAGCAGGGTATGTGTGCAGAAGCTTGTGGTTCTATGCTATGCTAGATGCGAGATCATAAAGCCCAACCTTCCATCATCTCTCCTCCCAGTGCCTTCCTGGTGTTTCTTAAGCCTCCTCGTAGCTGGCAGCGGGCACAGACGTATTAGCAACTAGATATGCCTTCACTGCCCTAAGGCGGTCTCGTGGAGAAGGTGTACATACCCGAAGGGGGGGAAGGGCTGGCCCTTCACGACAACGTTGGCAGCGGCAACTTGGGCATCGTCGACAGGAGCGGGAGCGGCGTTGACAGCGAGCACAAAGGCGGCAACGCTGAGGAAGATGCTGGAGAACTGCATGTTGGCTGAGGGCGTCAAGACTTGACTAAGCTTGTAAGGTTTTACAGAAGAGGCTTTGTTGAGTTGCGAGTCGGTTGATGTTGGAAGATTGGTCGATTCTGTTCGCCTCAGGGACCCCTTCTTTATATGCTCTTCAGATCCTATTGCACCACCGCCCTCCCGCCGGCCTCACCCGGCCTTCTCCGCTTTCACCCTTTTCGTCTTGTCACTTTTAGGGCCGCTAACGGCGGCGAGATAGCCGCTTGGACATTTGAGATGGTGACGCGATAGGCTGCCGAAAGGGGGCATCCCGCGTCTCTTGCATCGTTGCAACTACATGCTGATGAGAAGGATCGCATGGTAATATCGGCATTGCAGCCCCCCACATACCGCACGACATGTTGTATTGGTTGTATTGGTTGATCCCAAAATCCCGATGCAGCCAACTGGGTCACGCTCTGATGGTATTGGTACGTAAAACCTCCCGTACAATCCCTCCCCCGCTCGGTATTCTCCCACCAGAAGACATAGGGTCATCGGGATACCCTCATCCTCCCTCGTCTTCTCGAACCCATCCTTCTTCCCCTCTCCTTCTTCTCGACGAATCTCTCACTCCCTCGCTCTTCGCACCCAGACCCCTTACCCCTCCTCTTCCCGCTCCTCGTTCCCCAATTTTCTCTCCTCCAGCTCATTACTCAACCTTACCCCCAAGCAGGAAAACATACCAACTAGCGCTCCTCAAAACCTCATTCCCCCTCCCCCGTGGGCAATATTACGACCGCATCCCTCTAACCCGGACGGCCGATTCGCCTGCACTCATTACCAGGCCGTTTTATTCTTTACTTCTAAAAGAAGAAAAGAGGAAGACCGAAGACGATGGCAACCAAAGACGGAAGCACCTACTCGCCCGTGGGCCGTCTGTCCTCCGAGTCGGGCACCGGCTTCTTGACTGGCTCTCACCGTGAGCGGTCCCCGAGGCAGCGTACCTGGGCCGGCCCTCGCGTGACCCTTCTCCTCAGCGCAGCCCTACTCGTCAGCAACGGCATCTGGGCTGGCATATTTGGTGGCTACAACATAGCATCAAAGCACGAGCACATGTCGGCGTCACCAGAGATGGACATGCTCAACCACGCGGACCATGACCGCCTGTCGACGGCCTTCCACTGGAACACGCCCTTCAGTGATGATAACAAAACCGTCTCGAACCCACTCTGGTCCGGGCTCTTTCCCCGTAAGGATTCCTTAGCCGCTTCCCAACCCTCTTTCCCCTTCCCACGTCTTTCTAATATGCCGTGAAACCATCCATTGCCTTTTAATTTGCATGTACGCAGCATTTTATTTACTTACTCCTGAAAAATAGGAGGTGCGGGACTCGTCACCGTCGAGAAGGACTGGGCTACGGCACAACACCTGCCACAGAGCCTCGCCAACCCCGGAGACGACAACTCGTCCGTCTATTTCGTTGCTGGATTCCATCAGCTTCACTGCGTGGTAAGCGTCTCTCTCTTTCTCCTCCTCTCTCTCTCCCTTTTCCTTTCCCAACCTCTTTTCTCACATTATAAACCCCATCCTTGCACCCTACCTACCCCTTATGAGAGTAAAGCAAATCAAGCACACACATGCAAACACCGCGAATCCGAGACCCAGTCCTGAAACTAAACAACACCCCCTCCCCCCAAAAAACAGACCGTCGTCCGCGCCGCACTCTATCACTTCAAAGAGGGCAAAGAGCAAACCGTTCCCTGGAAGCACGTCACACACTGCCTCGACAGCCTCCGCCAGCTCGTGCAGTGCAAGGCCGACGCCGCGCTGCTGTACACCGAGGACACCAACGTGTTTGGCGACGGCCAGATCCACCAGTGCAACGACTGGACTGCGCTGACGATTTGGGCCTCGGATCATGCTTTTGAGCAGCAACTCCCGCCATCGCCATGAGGATCGGGTCTTTTGGGACTTTTTTTAGGACATGTTGGAATTCATGTTGTTGTTTTATTTGTTCGCTGTGTGGCGTGGAAGGGTATTTGGAGGTGGCGGTTGACAAGTGGATCATGGAGCCTGTTGTATTACACCTGCCCAAACCAGTAATCGTGAGGTCTGGTTAAGGTTGACTCTAGCACAAAAAAAGTTAGTTACGTGGCGACTGCGGATCAGGTGGAGCGTCTGATGAGGTTAAAGTTGTCGCGTGTGGATATCGTGGAGTTCGTGCCGCACCCAGCGGTTGGAGACGGCGGGTCGGGTGGGGCGGCCGATGATGCTAAAGTTACATAGGTAATGGCATGCCAAGACGCGTGGTGCCTCACGAACAGATATCATACGTACTACGCTGGCGTACTTGTTGTTTCTTTTATGTTGACCTGTTTCCGTCCATCCCACCTCCAAGTTGAAGAGCTTGAGTTCCACGAGCCAACCGTAGCTGGGGACGGGTAGGTAAGTACCTAATTTATAACTTCATCGACAAGTTCTCTTATTCTCCCACTTTTTTCTCAGGGCCTGGCTCTACCCGTCCCTTAATCCAGATATTCATACCAATTTTCTTCCCCGACGTCACAGGCAAGCCAGCATGCAAAGTCCGCGGGTCGCCGGTGCCGTTCGGGTGCAGGTTGAGCCAAAACAGGCCGCTTCCCAGCCGCGGCAGCACGGCCAGCCCCGTCCCCTTCTGGGTGGATGTGTAACGCCCCGCGTCCGCGTCCGTCTCCTGAATCCCCGCGGGCGGCGACGGCAGATGGGGAAAGTATGTCGAGCCGGCCTCGCAGTCGGCCTCGAGATAGACGAAAAAGCTGGCCAGGCGGTTGTAATGCTTTCCCGTCTTGCCGTCGGGAAGGGGGTCGTTGAACCAATCGTAGTGCATGCCGAAGAGGTCGCCGTCGTGGTAGCGGACTAGCTGGAAGGCTTCGACGCCGACGTGGTCTAAAAAGCCCAGCGCGAAGTAAGCGCGATCGCGGATGATGGCGACAATGGGGTCTTTGGCTGGCAGCACGCTTGAGTCGGAGGTACGGTACGAAGGGGCCGGCCAGTCGGCGTCTGGGTCGCTGGTGTAGACTTTGGATGGCTCAAACTTGGGCGTCCTGCGCGAAGAAAAAAAAGATAATGTGGGTTGATCTGTTAGCAAAACGGCTTAACGGCAACGTGAAGAACGTCAGGTGCGATCAGCTGCGGGGGTTGCGTTAACTCGTACCCCAGCTCTATGAGATATTTTGCCTCTCTAGGATGGATGAATCCATCGAGGTATACCATCAAAGGGTCCGTAGACAGCACCTGCACCGAGTACCGATGGTTTGTCGATAACGCCTTCAAGGCATGTTGCTCATCCCAGAGCCACCTCGCGGGGCTAAGGAAATTCCATTCTGGAAGCAATGGCCCCGTCACGTCGAGCAGTGGAATACAGAGACCAAGAACAAACACGGCGACATAACGTCCCAGCGAAGCATATCTTCTTGCCATGTTAGGGTACACGGCCCTAGGGAAACGAGAGAGAGAGTGTGTGTGTGTGCGTGTGCGTTGTGTAGGCAATGAATGACTCTCCCCAACTTCTCCGTAAGTTCTTGTCCCGCCGCGGTTCAGAGCAAATCGGCAAATTGGGCGCCTACGGTGTATTGGGCAGGGCTCGCAGGCAAACAGACGGGAGTACAGGGGTCTGTTGGTATTCGGTGGTACGAGGTAAGTTACGAATACGTGTCTCGCATCCTTACGTTAATTACATGTCTCGCATCCTTCAATCTTGAAATACAAGCCTCGCATTTCGTAAATTACATAACTCCATGCCTCGCACTCGCAATTATGCAGCTGGCATGCTGCGGCACGCTCATTTTGGCACACTCAATCTGCGTCCGCTTCTCCCAATCCCTCCTGTTCCCTGCCCGGCTCCTTCGCCCGGGCTTCCCCGAACGGCGCGAAGCGCCTCACCCTACCATCCGCGATCCTTCGCTGCAGCTCTTCCCCGACGAAGGCCCGTGTCTCAAAGAAGCGTTTGGCTTCGGCCCAGGGATCTGCAGCGCCACCCCGCTCTTGATCCTGCAGTGCGACCAACGCCTGGTCTCGAGATTGTGTCATGAAATCCAAACGGTTCGGATACTGCTCGTCGTCCATCCAGTAGTCCGAGAACCGGCCGTACAGGGTGAATTTAGCCTTCCAGCTCTCGAACGAGGGGTAAGGGTAGTGCAGCAGCACAGGGTACGGGCCCTGCCCTGCCATGGCTGCCTGTGCATTATCGGGGAGGGTGATGGCGTCGCCTTGGAAGTTGATAAACCGATGCGCACCATCGGGCTCCACCCCGGTCGAGAGCCGCACCGCACTCTTGCCATTTCCGTACGCCATGAAGGGCTCCGCTTCAGGACCGTTGGCCTGAAACCAGACGCAGTCGGCAAACGCGTTAGAGGTGCTGTGTCTCAGTGGCACGGCCTCGTCGTTGGTGAATGTGACGTGTCCGATGCGGGGATCGGTTGCCCAAGAGGTGTGCCCATTCTCGAAGAGGATTTCATCCTGGTCGATGTGCAGCAGCCACTCGACCCCGCCATGATCCGGTTCCAATAGATACGAGATAGCGTGCTTTAGGTTGCTAGATTGCCGGACCAGAAGTCGGGAGGGACGCGACATGGTTGGCGCATCCTGGGCGCCGTCGAAGAGTAACACCGACCGGCCTTTGCAGAGCGGCTCGAATAAGCCGCGCCGGGCCGGGTCATCGAGATAGAGGATGATCACGGCACAGCGCAGCAGGTGGTAGTCGAGCCAGATGTCGAGGTTCTGCGCGGGGTTCAAGACCGTGGTTGCTATCGCAATAGACATGGCCGCGGAGACGTATCGGCGGGGTAGCGGGAACGGATCTGGACATGTACAGGTCGGAGAGGGGGATTGCACGAGTAAAGGAGCAGACGGGAAAAGAGTGACTTGATATTTGGCCCCCCAAGTGCACATGCAGACCCCCATTCGTTTCCAACCGTACCTTCCCACATCAGTAATGGAAACCCCCATCCGCGATAACATCCCACTCTCCATCAGTCTAGTACATGACGCTCGGAAACAAATAAATGCGAGGTGGGTAGCATCAGGCCGTTTGCCTAATATCCCAAGCCGCTTTCGAAAGAGCAGACAGCTCTTCGCGGTCCACTGCCGCGTCACACATGCCCTTGAAGATGCCGTCTTTGCGCTGAAGCAACTGCCACGAGTGGTCGCACTCCTTCACGCGCCCCGCATCTAGGCCAATGATGCGATCGTAGTCAATGACGGTGCGGAGACGATGCGCAATAGTGATGACAGTGGCCTCCATGGTCCGGATGCATGCCTGAATCTTGAGATCCGACTCGTGGTCGATCGACGCTGTCGCTTCATCCAGGACGACCACCTTAGAGCCTTTCAACACAGCACGTGCAATGCACACGAGTTGCCGCTGCCCCTGGGATATGTTCGAGCCCTTCTCGGCAAGAGTGAAGGATAGATCCGTGAACTTTCCTTCGTCTTCCCGGGAATCGAGCAAGCCAACTCGCGCCAAGGCATCGACGACCTCTTTGTCAGTGTGCTCGTTGTACGGGTCGAGATTTAGACGCAGCGTCCCAGCAAAGAGTGTCGGGTCTTGCGGCACGTAGGCAAGCCGGCTCCGCAACGCGTGCAAATCGATCGTTTTGGTGTTCAACCCGTCGATCAGAATCTGCCCGCTCTCGATTTCGAGGCCGCGCAGCAAAGTCAGTGCCAGGCTGGATTTTCCAGCTCCAGTGCGGCCGACGATACCCACCCTCTCCAGGGGCTGGACTTGGAAGGACAGGTCCCGAAGTACGGGGTCCAAGTGAGCTGCGTAGCGTGCGGACACTGCCCGGTATTCCACCAAGCCCGACGGAGGCCATTCTTGGCTTGGTTCCTTGGCGGATTTCGCCTCTTGCGCCTCGGCACTTTCGTCCAAGCAGCCACGAACGCGCTGGAGACTGGATGGCATGGCATTAGCTTGTTGGACCGCTGCTTTGAAGACAGAGCACATGAAAGACGACTTACGCGGTCATGTTCTGGGTAGTCACCATGTAATATCGGATCAACCACAGTACCTGTTCTGAGAAAGCAATGGCATATGACATGCTCAGCCCAATCGTGCCGGCATCCCCGTTACTTCTGACGGAAAAGGAGCCAGCAAACAGGGAAACGAAGGCGCTTGTAAGACTGAGCCGGAGAACCAACCACCTCTCTGTGGCCCCCAGGAAGAATGAAGGCTGGTTCAGCTTCCCAAGCAGAGTTGAACTGTTAGTCAGATATTCCTTCTCTGCCCCGTAGGCGCGGATGGTGACGATTCCGGAGAGCGTCTCGCCAAAATGTTGGAGGACCGGAGCTTGGCGTGTCGACTCGAGAGCTTTGAGGCCACTCGACGAGGAGATGTAGACCTTGGCGATGAAGTAATAGACAAGAGAGATAAGAATTGCCGGCAAAAAGAATTGCGGAGTAATGACGACGATGAGAATCGTGGTAGCTACAAGTGACCCCACGAAATGTAGGGTGGCGATGGCGAGCACGGCCAGATCTTGATCAACAGTTCTCATATCTCCAGAGAACAACCCGATCAAGAGACCAAATGATTTATCGTCGAAAAACTTAAGAGTCGCACTCAGAACGGACTTGAGAAGACTGTCGTGGATGCGTACCGAAGCCGTCAAAGAGCCGACGGACAAGATGTACAATCTCATGAAGCCTATCACAAAATAGACAGCAAGGAGAAGGGCGTAGATCGCAAAGTAGTGCTCCAAGCTCCATGGCGATGCAGGGTCGGGCTTCTCGACCGTCTCGTCTCCGGAGCGGCGTTGCGCTTCTACCGTCGCGTTGGAGAGTCGCTGGACCCACCAGTTCACGGTGATGGATCCAACTTGTTGCGCCGCGAAGAAGACGACCAGGGAGATCCAGTATTTCCATCCGCCCATGGAAGCGAGGTATTTGATGATGGTTTGTCTTGTGTTCGGTCCAGCAGGCTCGGCGGCAGGTGAGTCGGACTTTTTCTCTTCCTCCCCCTCCTTTTCGTCAGCGGGCTTCTGATCCACTTCACCGTCGCCAGCCACCTCATCATGAGTGACATGGTTGCCCGGCCCGTTTGCAAGCTCCGGGAGTTGGCCTTGAGCTACCAAATCCTGTTGAGAACCCGTAGCAACCACGGTGCCATTGTCGATGCGGACGATATAATCGGCGCCAGGCGCTGTAAGCGCCACATTGTGTGTTGCCAGAATGCAGGTACGTCCCTGCATCAAGCGTCCTGAAATGCACCTCTGGAAGATCCATGAAGCAGTGTGAGCGTCAACAGCACTCAAGCAGTCATCCAGAAGCAGATGGCGCGCATTGGAATAAACAGCGCGTGCGAGGGACACACGTTGTTTCTGCCCACCAGAGAGAGAAACTCCCCCATCTCCAACGGAGGTGAGATCACCCCGAGGCAATATTTTCAGGTCGGGCTCGAGGGCGCAGGCTTGTAGGACAGCCTTGTACCGCTCTTCATCGAGGGGTCGGCCGAAGAGGATGTTGTTGCGCACCGTGTTGTTAGTTAGCCAAGCCTCTTGAGCACAGAATGCGACACCCTCAACCAAGCCTGTCTTCTCATCCTGAGGCAGAGCTTCGCGAGAAACCGCGGCAGGCATCCTCACATTTCCAGAGAGAAGCGGCATCTCTCCCAATAGCGCATACAGGAGCGAAGACTTGCCGCTGCCGGTAGGTCCAATGACGATATTGAGCTTTCCAACCTTGAACTTGAAGTCGAGGTTTTTGAGCGAGAAAGATTTGGGACTCTCTGTTGTCTTGCGGTTCGTTGATGAGAGATCTGTCGCCTCGCTCTTTCCTGGCCAAGAAAGCGTCGCGTGCTCGAAGCCAATTCCCACTTGGCGACCGGTGGGAGAACCAAGGATTTGATATTTCTCCGTTTCCTCCTCACCCAAGAAGCTCTGCACCCGCCCGACAGCGACGAGGGAGCCCTGGACACGTCCAATGATGCTGATCAAGTCGTCGATCGGCGACTTCAAGAGGTTGAAGAGAGATAGGGAGGTGAAGGTAAGAGAAGGAGTTAACGACTTCCCCCCGATGATTGAGTAGCAGAAAAAGGAAGAAAAGGTGATCAGCAGAGGCAAGCCGTACCAAATCGTCGCAGAGGTCGACCAGAGCATATAGCGGGCACGAAGCACCTTGAGTTCGGCGGCGCGTTGGTCGCCAATCTTCCGCTGGAAAAACGAGTCCCAAGCAATGAGTTTGATCACTCGAATACTGCGGATCAACTCGGTAGTGCTCTGGATTCTGACGTCCGATGCAGCCATGACTTGCATCTGGATGGCGCCCAAACTTTGGGCGATGCGGGAATTTACAGGCACCATCAGCGCCATCAACGCAATGCCTGCAAACGAGCTGAGCCCCAGAGTCCAATAGAGCAACGTGACCGCCATGACGATTTGTATGGGGACTGAGGCCCAGACCTGGTGCATGTTGGCCCCCAGATCAGCAAGTTGGTTGATATCGCCGGTGAAGAGGTTCATGATGGTGCCGATATCAGCCGTTTGTCCTCCAGTCCCGCCGTTCGAAGACCCAACGGCCACCGGCCGCCTCAATGCTTTCTGATACACCTCGCCAATCAGGATTGTCTTCAGCCGGAGCCCAATCTTCTGGCCAAGCCAAATGGTTCGAGCCTCGGCAGCGGATGCTAAAACACTGGTGGCAAATACGAGCAGCACGTAACCCTGAGCTTCCTGAATAGAGGACTCGGTTGGGCCCTCGACAAATTGGAGGATGGACCTCAAAAGCAAAGTGGGCATGAATGTCAGGATTGCCCAAGCGACCGCCACGACCGCCTGAACAACCAGCTGCGGCCCAAAATGTCGTAGAAGGGTATGAACAAGAGAAGCACTGGGTTTTAGAAGGGCGATGTCAGCGCAATCTATTTTATGCGTCGTAGCAATGGTAAATATACGACTCACCTCCCCGGCTTGGTCCGAATTACACGCTTGTCGGCATCGCTAAGCAGAATCGGCTCCGGAACGTCCTGAGACTGGAGGCTCCCGGTGCGCCAGGCCTTGAAGAGCATGTCATCTAGCCAGGCGAACGCCCAAAGACCAAAAATGCTGGACTGGGACTCGCCCGTCGCGTCCAGCTGAAGGCGGACATCCTTCTGGGGTGGGCGCGGCGAGAGCAAGGCGGTGACGAACAGAGCAGCTGATACTTTGGTCGCGGTCGAGCCAACACCAGAGGTTGCGGTGGCCACAAGCAAGGAAATAGCATAGAGTGCAGCCGAATGATAGCGAGCAGCCCGTCCGGCGTGCTCGAGGCCGGAGAGCGGCAGTAGAGTCAAAATATACAATCCGCCCAGGTACGACCCGAAAGCGATGCCGGCCCAGGAACTAGCGGACGCACTTGCAGCGAGGCCATCCCGACTTAGCGACAAGGTCGTCGCTAGTAGCAGACCTTCGAGGGCAGCCAAGAAGAAACCGCGGACAGATTTCGCGGGTGTTTGGGCGGCCCGTTGCTGGGCGGAGGATGTTTTTCGTAATTGCCACGCAAGCAGGACGCCAGACGCTGAGAGACTGATAAGAGGGAGGTGGAACTGAGAATAGCTGTCGCAAGAAATGGAAACTGGTCAACTGCCGCCGTAGCCATGATGTGGGGAAAGGTTTAGAAGATGGTTTGTTTACTTACCGCTCGACGAAGTCTGTCACAACCGGGGCGGCCGCTACGTCCCATTCTCCAGCCATGGTGGCGACAGCAGGCGCTGAGCGGGGTTCCTAGTCTCCTCTAACCCACTAGCCTGGCGATGGACTAATAACGTTACAACCGATGCTGGAGGCCCGAAGTCTGACGGCGATGGAGTCGAGTAATTGAGATTGTGGAGAATTGAACGGGCTCAGGAAAGCAGTGACGAACCCAAACCTGTTGTGGAAGAGCGCCTGGCGGAATTTTCCAGGGCAGCTTAATTGACAATTTTTGTGTCCCCCACTTTTAAACAGAGGTGTGTTGGGCAGGTGCCAACAATAAACATCCATGGATGCGCCGTGCTTCGCTTCTGAATTGGCGGCCCGGAAAACTGCAGGCGCCGCGCTTTGCCGCCCCCTGGGTGAACCTGAGGCTGATTTCCCGGGGGTGGCCCCTCGCTGTGCAGCACGGGTGCATCAATGAAAGCACGCTGCGACGAGCACTCGACCCCAGAAGAGGCGGTGCACACATCGTTATTCCTCCTCTGTTTATTCTGTTAACTAGGTACCTAACTTACCTGTCAAGCCGACACCTCAAATGCTCATAGGTGTAAGCTGAGGCACAGATTGGATCGGGGGCTTGTTGCACCCATCCACCAGTTACAGCAAGGGTATCACGGCCTTACCTCTCCCCTGTCTCGGGGCCTCGAGGGACGAGAGGGAGCTCAGCCTCGTCTTTCGTCTGGGATAATGCAGTCAAGGCAGTCGGTACGGAGTGCATACCATGTCGATGTGCTCACCTCGAACAACCAACAGCCGCTTCGGCGCGCGCCGCTTTTGTTTTATGATGCCAGGCTCATCGTTCTGTCCTCGCGTTGGGGGTTGTGTCTTGCCACTGCAGGTCTGATCAACGTCATCAGATCAGCTGAAAATAGACTAAACGCGCCACATCGTGCCCACTCCCACAGGGGCTTGAGCTTTGACTTGATCCGAAGTACAAAATACTGACGAACAGATTCTTCACCGCATTCCCAAGCAAGCGCTTGCCAACAGGGTCTCCCTTTTCTCCTTTGTTGTTTTTCCTTTTTCCTTTTCTTCACGACGCCCGTCGTGCTGCTACAACCTCAAGCACCAAGAGTAACCCGGGCGTCCACATTCTCACTAAACCGCCTATCTTGCCCCGGAGCACACCATGATTCGCCAAGGTTCTCTATCACCAGAATTGGCAATTGGCCTTGCCGTCATTGGGTTCTGCTCCTTTCCTTCGGTTTTGGCTCTTCTCGCGTTCCCCAGGAAACGAGCATTGAAGAAAGGAACCCTTTACGAAGATGCCGATGGCAAGGCAACACCAGCGTCAACAGAGAGCTTCTCAACGACACCGGCAAAATCCGGCATTGTTGCCTTGGCAGTCACGGGCCTCCTTTCTTCCGTCCTACTTGCTTTCTTTTCGTGGCACACGACGAGGGTAGCTTCTGAGATCCTGTTGTTGATCGTGGGGGCATGGGTAAGCTGCAGCTCTGTTTATCAGTCTCGTCTCTTGAATCTTTTCAAAGGCTAACAACGTCCCACAGACCGCAGTACTGTTGCAGGCTGTGACCATTGCTTCGTGCAGGAACTCAGTACAAGCTTACCGTCTTGGACTGTATGCGTTTTTATCGTCTGGGGTCCTGGCTGGGCTTCTCCTCGCTCAACTAGCCGGAATTTCTGATCACCTCCTCTCTCGCCATCCTGCTGCGTTTTCCCTCTGGGTGGTTGAGCTCACCATTTCAGTTCTTCTTGCCTTCGGCAGCTTGTCTCTTTCCAGACGACCGGATGTGTTCCAGGATGGGGAGCTGGTGGACCGTATGTATACGGTCTCAGCCTTCAGCCGCTTCAACTTCAGCTGGCCTGCTGCACTTCTGTCCCTAGCCAAGCAGAAGAAGACCCTGGACTTGGTCGACCTACCCCGGCCCGACCATCACACTCGATCCTCCGCATTATCTGCGGACTGGAAGCGCCACAATTTCCCGCACCGCCTTTGGTTGTCTCTACTCCTCGCTCACAAAAAGGCCTTCGCGTTGCAGTCGGTGTTGGCGCTTTGTACAGCCATTCTGAGCTTCACGCCACAGTGGGTCATTTTGCAACTCTTGAGGATTTTGGAGAATCGCCCGGTTGGCGGCGGTACCTTTGGCTTTGACGTTTGGATTTGGGTGGTATGGCTTGCATTAGCCATCACAGCTGATTCGTGGGTCGAGTCATACCTCCTCTGGCTCTCATCGGCCGAGCTTGCCATCCCAGTCCGAGCTCAGCTATCCTCTCTCATATTTGAGAAGGCCATGCGTCGGAGGGACGTCAAGAGTCCCGTAAAGTCGAAAACGAAAGGTGCGGACGAGCCAGAAACAGTGGCCAAAGAGGACGATACGGAAGAGGCCAACGGTGGTACACAAAGCACTATCAACTTGATTGGAGTGGATGGGCAAAGGGTGTCCAATTTCTGCGGCTACCAACACGTCTTCCCTGGAAGCCTTTTCAAGCTCGTCGTCTCATTGGCGTTTCTGGTCAGTCTCCTCGGCTGGATACCCCTCCTGGCCGGCTTCTCGGCCATGTTGGCCATTACGCCTATCAACATTTACGTCTCCAAGAAATACGCTGCAGCACAAGGCCGGCTTATGAAGGTCAGAGATGAGAAAATGGGCACCGTCACCGAAGCTGTCCAGGGAATACGGCAAATAAAGTTCTCGGCTCTGGAACCTCAGTGGGAGAAGAAGATTGCGGATGTTCGACACCGAGAGCTTAACGCCATCTGGGACATGTTTATGGGCAACGCAGCCCTGCTGGCCTGTTGGGTCACAAGCCCAATACTGCTGTCGGCCATTTCTTTGGCTGTGTATGCGGTTCTATCCGGATCGCTGCTCCCCTCGGTGACCTTCGTCAGTCTCGGCATTTTCAAGGGTCTTGAAGCCACCCTGACCATCATACCCGAACTTACTACCCAGTTATTGGACGCGTGGATTTCGGTACAACGAATCGAGGATTATCTTAACTCGCCAGAAGTGCCGGCGGTTTTGCAGGATTCCAACAAGGTCGCGTTCAGCAATGCGTCTATCGCATGGCCATCCGACGATGCGAAGATTGAGGAAACGGATAGATTCGTTCTCCGTGACCTCAATATGTCCTTCCCACAGGGCAAGTTGTCGGTGATTGCTGGGAAATCCGGCACAGGTAAAAGCTTGATCTTGGCTGCGATCCTGGGTGAAGTCGATGTCCTCGGAGGCGAGATCTACGTGCCTAAGGCTCCGTCCAACCGCTACGACGACAGAGCAACCAAAGGTGACTGGATCATTCCAAACGCAATTGCTTTCGTGGCTCAAATTCCTTGGATGGAAAACGGCACTATTAAAGACAACATCGTTTTTGGACTCCCATACGACAATCAACGGTACAAGAAGACCATTGATGTCTGCGCCCTGAAACGAGATCTCGAGATCCTTCCCGATGGTGGGAACACAGAGATTGGTGCAAACGGCGTCAATCTCAGCGGTGGACAAAAATGGCGAGTAATGCTTGCTAGAGCGATCTACTCTCGCGCGGGAATCCTCGTGTTCGACGATATCTTCAGCGCTGTGGATACACATGTAGGACGTCAAATCTTTGAACAATGCTTGACAGGCGAGTTGGCCACCAACAGGACGAGAATCCTGGTCACGCATCATGCGTCGCTTTGCAAGGACAAGACCGACTACCTCGTACAGTTGGGTGAGGGCTCTGTTCTGCACGCCGGTGTTCCTCTGGGCTTGGACGAAGGGAGTAATATCCCCAAGCAAGTCGAGAGTCACGACGGCACGACGTATGAGCCGGATGAGCCGGAGGAGTTGAATGAAATGGGCGGGCTGCCCACAGCAGTGAACTCGGATATCTCTGACGACGAGATGGGGCTGGGAGATCCACTTACAGCGGTGAACTCCGATATCTCTGGTGACGAGATGGATCTGGGCGATCCGCTTACAGCGGTGAACTCAGACATCTCCGCTGCTGCTGAGGAGGGCGGGTTAGTGGGCAGGCACGGCGGCGTGAAGAAGGCCGCACGCAAGGCCGCCCGGAAATTTGTCGAGGAAGAATCTCGCGAGCAGGGAGCGGTCCAACGGCACGTCTACCTCACTTATCTGCGGGATAGTGGCGGGTGGCTGTATTGGACGTTCATCCTTCTGCTCTTCATCATTGCGCAGGGCATCTTCCAGGGACGATCGTGGTGGGTCAAGATCTGGACCGGTGATAACCTGGAGCAGCCCTTCGATTCAAGTCAAACCACGGCTTCATCGAGAGAATATGGCTATTCATATGCCATTGCCGTTCAACACACCTCGATCCATTCAATGTCGGCTCCGCCAGTTCAGACAACTCACAACAGCCTGAAGTTCTACCTCTCGGTTTATATCGCCTTGGCCATCCTTTCGTCCATCCTGGGAACTCTGAAATACGTGTTCGTCTATCTTGGGTCTATCCGTGCAAGCCGCAATCTGTTTGCCAAGTTCAGCTTTGTCGTTCTGCGGACGCCCATTCGGTGGCTCGATACGGTGCCTGTTGGCCGCATTTTGAACAGATTCACCGCCGATTTCAACATCATTGACTCGCAGCTCGCGAACTCGCTAAGCTTTGGGGTTGACTGCTTCCTTGGCCTGTTCAGCATTATTGCTGCTGGCCTGTTCATCTCTGGCTACGTGCTTGTGCTCGCCGCCCTGTTCTTGCTCGTCTGCCTCTACTACACTACGTATTACTTGGACGCAGCTCGACCGATCAAAAGGTTGGAAAGTACAACGAAGTCTCCTTTGTTCGAGCAGTTTAGCTCTGCATTGACTGGTATAGCCACCATTCGTGCATTCGACAAGACACAGGCATACATTGAGAAGATGTCCCGGAAGATTGACGACTATTCCACTGCCACTTGGCACTTGGTGCTCCTAGACCGCTGGATGGGCTGGAGAATGGCACTCATCGGCTCATGCTTTGCCACTTTTCTCTCGATTCTCATCTTGCTTACACCTGGTATCGATGCAGCGCTAGCTGGTTTTGCGCTTGCATTTGCCATCCAGTTCTCGACTTCGGTGATCTGGGCTCTCCGCTTCTACATAAGCGTCGAGCTGGATATGAACGCCGCCGAGAGGATTATTGAGGTACGTGCGTTTTGATACATGATGTTTGCAACGATCTTCTCATTACTCATCGGCCCGTGTCGACCTCGGTCGAGGGCTTCTTGAACTTACTGGCTTTGTTCTGTTCCGTGAGGCTGACTTGGACTGCCATAAAATTAGTACACTGAGGTGCCCACCGAGTCCCTTGACGGAAAAAGCCCCCCAGCCTCCTGGCCTACGCAGGGCTGTATCGAAGTTGAGAATCTTGTGGTCGGATATGCCCCCGATCTCCCTCCTGTTCTGAAAGGCCTTACCTTCAGCGTTGGCTGCAATGAAAGAGTGGGAGTTATCGGTCGTACCGGGGCTGGAAAGTCATCTCTGACCCTTGCATTGTTCCGCTTCCTGGAGGCCAGGTCGGGAAGCGTTTACATCGATGGCTTGGATATCTCCAAGCTCAAACTCCACGACTTGCGATCTCGCCTAGCTATCATTCCGCAGGTAAGTAAAAAAAGCGGGCGTTTTCATCTTTGCTAGTGACATATGGGCTAACATTCTCCTTCAGGATCCTACACTATTCTCCGGTACCATCCGCAGTAATCTCGATCCGTTCAGCCAGCACACTGATGCAGCGCTTCTCGACTGCCTCGAGCGGGTGCACCTACTCACCAGCTCGTCCGAAACATCGGGCACTGCAACTTCAACATCTTCAAACACCAAGCAAAACAATGTTTTTGACAGTCTAAGCTCCCCAGTTTCAGAGGGGGGCCTCAACCTATCGCAGGGCCAGCGGCAACTACTCTGCCTTGCGCGTGCCATGGTAGACCGGCCTCGTGTGATGGTTCTCGACGAAGCAACCTCGGCGGTAGATATGCACACGGACCGCCTCATCCAACGCAGCATCCGAGAGGAATTTGCCAACTCGACCCTCATGGTCATTGCTCATAGACTCAGCACAATTGCTGATTTTGACCGCATTTTGGTTCTGAGTGACGGTCAGGTAGCCGAGTTCGGCACCCCCAGGGAACTATGGGAGAAGGGAGGGCAAGACGGAAGTGAAAAGGGTATCTTCAGGGCCATGTGTGAAGAGAGCGGGGAGAAGGAAAAGCTGGAGTCCATCGTGTTCGGGCGACGGACCGAGTGAAGTATAATGCCAGAGGACTGGCAGGACCAACGTCTCAGTCGGACAAGTGAGCGAGATATTGTGTCTCCGACGAAATGAGAAATGTAGAATATGTATATTTTTGTAGATATAAAAAAGAGACCAGGGCTCAGAACCCGTAATACGTGGCCAGTTCTGACATCAAATAATCTGCCGAGATCTTGTCATACAAGACGCATCATCGCTCTCCATGCTCTCCATAGTCGATGCCGTCCCGAATCCATGCCGATTCTGCATTCAACAGAAGCGTCGCACACACCGTGTGGCTGTTCTGTCTCGCCCAATCCATCCCTGTGATGCGCTTGAAGTACTTTTCCCAGCTCATATTCTGCCAAAGATGCAAGATCCTTGCCTCGGGATCGACCGACCTTGGCTCCTCGAATATGCCCGCCACGTCGTCCCAGTTCACCGAAAAGAATGCTGTCTCGGGCACAACGTTGACAGGCAACCCAGGTTGCTCCTGCGAAATCGTTGCGGGGAGCAGCGTGGCCGCCGACGCCCAGTCTGCGGAGTCGTACACCTCAGGGTACCGGCGCATCCACTCGAGGAGGAATGCTGACCCAGGGGCCGCCATCAGAACGGCACTGCCCAGCCTATGGCGAACCGGGTCGAGCGGGCTGCACGTCTCCTTGCCTATGACAAACTCGTGCTGTAGGAGATCGTTGACCGGCCGGATAGTGATGGTATCCAGGTCCAGGTAGATGCCACCAATCTCCGCCAACGCGTGCAGCCGGATGTGGTCCGACATGTGGGAGTAGTAATGGTGGGGTTTCTCTGGATTGTAGATGGGCTTGTCGTGGCGCCAGTGGGTGGGTAGCGCCACCAGCTTGATTTCGTCGACTAACGGGCGTATTCTCTCCCACCAGGGACCTTGTGGATTGCCGTTGAGGTGGAGGATGATTTTATCGGGACGCAGGATCGACTTTGCGCTTGCTACCGCAGCAAAGTGCAGGAAGGGCACAATCTCATTGCCTGGTTTGATCAGGCAGATGAAATGAATCAGGTTGGGGATTCGGCGGTTGGTCATTGTGGAATGTTGGCGGTGCCTGGGCGCTTAGAAACCTGGCTGAGTCTAGAAAAGAAGAAAAGAAGCCAAAATCCCGAGCCGTCCGTCGCCGTCGCCATTCTGGGAGGATTCAATACAATGCAATACAATACAATACAATACAATACAGGCGTTTGTGGCAGACCCACCAAGATACCACCTGACTGGTTCGGACTGGCCGTCTTTCTCCCCGGCTGCAGCCCGGTGCAGGTGCCTTTAACCGGGTCTCATTTCCATTCTTACGACTTGTCCGTCGACCATTCCCGTTTAATTCACACATGAACTGAGCTTCGTCAATATTCTAGGCTACGGAACATATGGAAGAGCAGCGTTTTTGCATCCCTTCCCGGTTACAGCTACCTAGGTACCTATGGTCGCATTTGCTGCGCCCTGAGGCGCCTACATCCGCCGCACCACATAGTTACACAATTCCCTCAACTACTGCTATGTATCTAATGAGGGGTGTGGGCAGGCATTCATGGCATGGCGAGAGCGGGGTAGCAAGGCGGTAGTCATCATGCAAAACATTCATTCTGGAATTGAGAACTTGCTTTTCTACAAGAGTGAAAAAAAGACCAAAAAGAATGAATCAAAAAAGTGGAAGAAGACAAAAAGGAGTAAACGAATCAAAATCTGTTAATATTTGATCGGATGTTAATGGGTGCACTATTTCAACTAGAAGTCAACAATATATCGTGCGATGTATGGACGGTCATGCTCCTGGTGCAGTGGCTGAACCGCAGGTACCGCCAGCATACGTACTTTGGGATCTTAGATGTGCCGGGGCTCATTATAGATATATTACTACTACCACTAGGCCTAAGAGTATTTCTCTTCCGCTGTATAGACGGCGTATAGGGAGTGGCCGATATAATGCCGCACCGAGGCTAGACCCGTCTCTTCGACGATACAACAGATAAGTCCCCCTCAAACCTACATGAGGATACGGCGAGAGAAGTGATGTCCGCTTACTTCCTGCCTTTTCTCCTCTGCCCTACTTCCTGAATGAGGTATCTGCAAAAAGAACCCCCCAAAGTAAAACTTGACATAACACCATCACCAAGTCTCCTCGGCCAATCTTCCCAGACCGTAAACTCAACACTCAATCCTTACCAGATCCTCACCATCGTCTAACACTGTCAACAGCGCTTGGCGTCCTCTCGTTGGAGTCCGGCTGAACCTTGGTCGTTGCTCTGTAAGCTAGGATGCCATTGGTCTACGGCTGAAGCTTGGCCGCTGCTTCGGAAATGTAGGCGGCGATGGCTGCCTCTGAGATGCTTTGTGCCTTTTTGTATTTCTTGTAGTGTTTTTGGATGGGATACCCCTTTTCGTACGTCAAGTCATCCCTGAGGCCAGGGAACTTGGTTTTCAGCGCGGCTACTGCGCCGTGGGAAGCGCCCGCGTTAATAAGGCGCGAGGGCCGGGGCGAGGCCGAGAAGCACAGCCGCAGAGCTGGACCGAGGCACCCATACCGGGCGCTGTTCCGCGTGGCCAGGGCGTCACGCACATAGTTCACAGTTCGCCCAGAGGTGGTAGGGGAGGGCATCTGAATCTACGATTGCCTTGACCTTCTCGTGGTTGCTCAGGTTGCCCACTTTGTTCCGCACCTGCCTCGCTGGCGCCGTCGCTGTCAAAACAGTTCATGAAATAGACCAGTTGGTACTGTTAATAGCACTACAGCAGGCTGTCACGGTTATACTACGACACTTCTCGATTATGACTGAGGTGTTAATCAGTGTTGTTTACCCGATTGAAGCTATCGACAGTCCTACCCACAGTCTCAATAAGCTATCGAGGGACTGCTAACGGAACATGATTTGTCGGTTCTGATATTGTTGCAACATTCTCAACGGATCTAACGGTAACCCCTCTATCCTAGCTTCAACCAGCAGACCGACCCAGCCGCCAGGGGCCGAGCCGCTGACCGAATAGCCAGATTCCGGCACATTGTACTCTCGAGCTAGTTGATGCAGCGATCTGCCGTTATAGCGGCGCTTCTCTCGCCAAAACGCCGACCCCTTAACCTCACGTGAAACGGCGATGCGGACGGAGAGGCCGTGAAGGGACGGGAAAACATCGAAGGGGGGACGACTCACGAGATCGGGCCTTGAGCCCGCGTGGTTGGGGGTTAACCTAACTCTCTCAAGAAGAAGGACTAGTGTCTGCGGGAGCGACGGGTGATTATCCAAGAACGAGAAAGCCAACCTAATCCAATCCCGCCTCACTCGAGCGCCCTGGCTACGCGAAGGCGGGATGCCGAATGCTTCATGTTGTTTATGGATTCCTGGGGGCGAGAGAGAAGTTGAGCCTTCGTCGTCCGTTCTGGGCCGGTGTCTCCGTGGGTCGTCGAGCTTTGAAAGGTGGGTCGTGGATACGTTGTATGAGGGTTAATCGGAATGTTGGAGTGATAAGGGGCAAGAGTATTGTAATTTGGTTCTGTTGGTTAGGTGGTAGAGATCTCCTAGTAATTAGATGATTCGGGGACTAACTAATCTTCAATGGGTTCTTGAGGTTTATGTCTTAGTTCTCATGTATGTTGTTCTTGTGAGATTCTCTCCCCGGTCTTACAGTTGTTCGATATGGATTGAATTTCAGATTGTTCTAATCAAAATGTTTTTCAGGAATTTAAATTAGAAAAAAGGGAAATAAGAAGAGAAATGGAATGATGCTTTAATTAGGGTGCCATGGTGATAAAATAAAAATTGGTATTTCAACCAATTTTGTCTGCGTCGGAACAGCAATCATGTATCACTTGATTTAATTACCGTTAGCCATGTCAATTGCCTTGTGTATCAGCGGATTAACGTTATCCGAGATGAGAAGCATGTGAGCATTCCATTGTGTACATTACCCGGCTGCCCTCACCTCTAACTCTAGTAATACACTAACCAGTGTTTTACCTTAGAATTCGCCGTGAGACCAGAACGGAACTATGCATTCATATATTGCTTCCCCATGGGTTATCATACAAGATCGTTACGTTAATTTACGTAGAAACCACCACTTTTATCCAACCCTGCAACCATCCACACCGCCAAACCGGACTAAAACACCATCCCCTTAACCTGCGTAATCCTCGCAACATTAATATTCCGAATCAACAACACCGCCACCCCGGCCAGCACCATAAACGACGTCCCCGCCGCTAACATCCTCGTCTGCGCATACCCATACGCAGCCTGAATCGCCACTCTCTCCGGCGTCCCCCATTCGTACCCTAGCTGGGTCTCCAAGTCACTATAAATCGTATCCACATCCGCCTTCGCCCCCTCCGGCAACCACCACGTCAGCGCCACCCGGAACGTATTCGTCCACACGGCCCCGGACACCGTCGACCCGATCGCCCCGCCTGTGGTGCCCACCACATACAGCAGTGATAGCGCGACGGCTACATGCTGGTGGTCCACCGCTGCTAGCATGGCGACTTGCTGCAGGATGATGAAGATGCTACCGCCGATGGAGATGAATACCTCGCACATGATGAGATACCCGATGGCTTGGTCCGGCCGCCGGAAGTAGATCATTAGCCCCTGCGAGAGGATATACAGCGGCACAGCGATATACAACAGCCACTTGTAATACCCTGTGCGGCGGATAGCATACCCGACGATAAACAACAACACTCCCGACACAATACTAAACGTGTTGTTAATATACCCCGAATCAGCCACGCCCAACCCATTAACAACCTGCAGGAACGAAGTAAAATAATTGGCCCAGCAGTAGTAGGAGATCTGGTAGGTCATGCCGAGGAGACAGGTGCCGACGACGGTGCGGTCGGTGAGGAGGTGGAAGTTGAACATCGGGGTGGGGGCTAAGCGCCATTCGTAGAGCACGAAAAAGCAGAGGAGCACGAAGCCCGTTACGATCATGGCGATGATGTAGGCGGTTGCCCATTCTTGCGGGGCTTCGGCGGCGAGGGTGAAGGGGAGGAGGAAGACGGTGAGACCGGCGGAGAAGAGGAAGACGCCGAGGGCTGTTGTGTTTGTGTGTTAGTTGGTGATTACACGGCGAAGGGTTAGGTAGAGTGGGAGTAACAACATACCGTCAAACTCGACAATGTAGTACCACGTGCTCTGCATCCAAGTCCGGCCGCTGTGCTCCTCGACCAAGACCCCCTGCTGCCGGGCCTTCTTCAGATTCCACTTGAGCACAAAGTACAACGGTGCCGCCACAATCGGAAAGATGATGGAAAAGATGCCAAACCCCCAGCGCCAGTCGATGGTCTCAAGAAACCGCTCGGACGCCTTGGGACCGGCAAAGGCCGTGACGATGTATGGTGAAGAGGTAAAAGCGTAGGCGAGACCCCGGTTCTTCAGCTGGGACACGTCGGCCGTGATGACGTCGACGCAGTAGGTCATGCCCATAAAGCCGACGTTGTAGAAGACCTGCGTCGTCAGGTTAATATCATCTAAAACACAAGGAAGATTCCGGACCGGAAAAACTTACATTAGCCGCACAAAACGTAGGCAGATCCTGGCACGCAGCCATGAGCACCAATCCAAGCGTGGCAAAGCAGACCATGATGGCGAACCCCGCGGCTCTGCCCCAGAGATCGAGAATCTTGGACAGCGGGATGAACACGGCGGCCGTCATGGCATTGGCGACGACGTCGATGACGTTGAGCAGTGAGTGCGACTGGAAGTCGCTGGTCACAAACGGGATCAGGCTGGAGAGGATCGCGTTCTGGAAGGCGTTGACTAGGTAGAGCATCCAGATGCTATTTACCGTGATTAGCCTCTCGCACAAGTATTATAGTAAACAACCCAAAAAGCATACTTGAAAAACACCGCAGCCAGCGTCCACTTGGTCCAGGTCAATGTGACAGCCTCAACCTCTTGCACACCGCGCTGCATGGCCTGGTTGGGGTGCTCGAGTCGCTCGACCGGCGAGTCGCCATCTGTCACGGCTGCGGCATCGTCGGTGGCTGGGTACTTTTCCGTCTTTTCGCCGGGGATGTTGACGGGCGAGACGGGCGATTCGCTGTCGTCGGCTGCGGGACGCCGGAAGACGGCCTTGACGCGGGGGAGAAGGCCCATGATGATCTGGGGGGTAGTTAAGGTAAGGGGGGGAAATGAGGGCCGCAGAAAGTTGAAGACGGGTGAAACCAATCTAATGAGGCCAATTGCCGTATTAACTGAACCGCTCAAGTACAAGTAAAACTGAAAAACAGACCCGAGAACCTGGTTCCTCAGTCTCTCGTGCAGAGACAATCGCGGCACGAGTGAAACCAGTCCCGCTGTGGCACCTCGTCGCGTGGTTTTCCGAGACTATTGGAACTATTCCATTTGCAGAATCCATCTGATAAGATCAGATCATGGCGCGGGTCTGTTTCTCTCGGCGTGCTCTCGGCGTGTGCCCGACATCGGTTATGGTTGGTACACTGTGTGTTTCGCGCTCTATTCGCACGGCGTGAAGGGATGGCATTAGGGGAGCTGCATTCCGATTGGTGGATGTGGTGGACCGGCAGCAGCCGTCAAGGTACCTGAGTGGGTCGTCGTCGCATCTAATCAATCAGTCCATCAGATTAGATCAGAGTTTTCACCAACCCCACTGCAACATCCACCCGGGTTCTGTTTCCCTTCCGAGTTCTTTTTCCCTTTTGCTTCACAGGCCCGACAGGTCTCGCTTAGCATTCCATGCGATTCGACAATGGCGTGATGCAGAATCAGCATGCATCCACCACGTTGCGGACCAGAGTTCCATCCGGAAGTTCTCATTTGTTTGTCTGCATTGGTGAACGTAACCGGATAACTTGACCGAGGGTGCTCGCCTTGTTTGTGTTGAACCGGGTTTCCACCAGGTTTACACTAGGCTACTTGTCTACACAATAGGTCACAACTTCGGATCCAACCACCTCGGCGGCCGCTTTTCCACAAACGCCCGGATCCCCTCCCCAAAGTTGGCCCCCCGCACCAGCCGAGGATACCACTCCGTCTCCAGCTTCGTCACGGCAGCCTCCACATCGCCGTCTTCCCAGGCCATGCGCACCCCCACCCGGCCCACGATGAGCGCGTCCGGGCTGTTCCGGCAGATATCCCGGGCTAATTCCAGCGCTGCGTCCACCACTGCACTTTCTCCGTTTCCTCCGTTCCCACCCTCTTTACCGGTGTGACTTTTCGAGTTGTCAGGCTCATCCACAACCCTCGAAACCAACCCCCACGCCCCCATGGTCCGCGCATCCACCTTCCTCCCCGTAAGCACCAATTCCATAGTCCTCTGCAACCCCAGGGTCCGCGCCAACCGCGGCATACACCCAGCAACAGGCGCAATCCCCCGCTGGACCTCAGGCAGCGCAAACACGGCTGCCGAACTGGCGAGCACAATGTCACAGTTGGAGACCATCTCGAAACCGCCGCCGAGACAGAGACCGTTGACGGCTGCGAGGATGGGTTTGGTGCCTGTGCGTCGGGGGAGGCCGGCGAGGCCGGGGGCGGTCATGGGGTTGGTTTGGGAGGTTGTGTGGAGGGTGTTCCATTCTAAGGATTCATTAGACGTCAGACATGTAACTTGAACAAAAAGAGAAAGAAAAGAGGGGGCTACCGTGCAGGTCGGCACCCGTGCAAAAAGCCCGGCCGCGTCCCGTAATGATACCCACCCAGAGCGTCGGGTCAGCGTCGAGGTCGTCCCAGACCTGGGCGATTTGCCGGCTGGTGGCTTGGTTGATGCAGTTGAGCTTGTCGGGGCGGTTGATTGTTACTTGCACGACGTGTTCCTGGGGGTAGGAGACGATGAAGTGGTCGTGGTGGACTGTCGGCCGGGACATGTTGACGCTACCTCTGAATGCACGTATTCGAGGCTGTGTCTGTGTTCGATATTTGAGATTCGTGTACCTGACGGCTCGATATTCGCGTTTTTGAGGGTTCAATGTGCCCGGAATGGCATTCAGGACAATGAAGACAATCAAGCAGCTCTTGACACGGACCAGCATCACAGCTTCATCCCGGTGTTATAGCTCTGAAAGGGCGTCCGTTTCTGCCCCACAAAACGGAACTCCTTGGGCCGACTACCCTGCAGCGACATCGGGACCGAGGCACAATGAACCTTGATGAATTGTCAATCGCATCTTGACATTTTGACTTTTTTGCCATTTTTGAGAACTTGCATTGTTTTGCTCTCCATCCCCAACTTCTCCAATTGAGGCCAGTATCTCACTCTCACAAAACCACAATGGCAAAATACCCCCCCATCAAACTCCCCCACCCCTTCCTCACCTCCTACCACGTCCTCCCCATCCCCAATACCTCTCCCATCCAGCTCTCCCTCGTCTTTGACACCAACCAACCCTCCAACGCCCATCCCCTCCCAGAACCCCTCCACGCCGCCAACCTTTCTTGGGTTGACCTAACTCACCCGAACGCCGACAATGTTCCCCCGCTAAAAGACAACTCCCCCTGGGCACGCGCCCGTCGCAGCCCCAGCACCACCATCTCCTGGACCGGCCCTCACACCGCAGGACTCGGTCCAGTATGGAATATCATCCACGCCATCTTCCTCGCGCACCCGACTACCGAAACCTTCCGGCTCACGCTGTCCGGCACTGACTCTCACATCCTCCGTGATGGGCTCCTCCGCACCGGATTGGCAGTTCCCCACCCCGTTCCACGATGGGATGCGCGCGCTGGACCACCGGGGGGGGGTAAATCACCCGTCGGGACGGCAGAGACTGGCGAGGCAGAATTATTAGTGTTGAGGAGTGCCTTCTGGCAAGGCGCCGCGTCACCCACTGGCCCTCGACCGATCTGGGTCGTGGGATCCAACACCGACGGTCCAGCCTTCCAAACCAAGCCCCTAGCCGACTACCCGCCCATGCCAGAAACCTTCCACCTAACCAACCAATTCCCCGCCGGCGAACCCGTCTTCACACGGCACCCCGTCCGCCGCCCGAAACCAGCCCCCGGCTCGATCGTCTACAGCCGGTATGTGCCGGAATTGGATGTGCATTTCTCGCTGGAGGCGGTGGATTGGCGGGATGAGGGGCATTTGAGGCTGTTTCATGAGTGGCAGAATGATCCGAGGGTTGCGGCGGGGTGGAATGAGACGGGGACTGTGGAAGAGCATAGGGAGTATTTGAGGAGGTTGGATGGGGATAGGCATGTGTTGTGTTTGTTTGGGCGGTTTGGGGAGAATAGGTTTGCGTATTTTGAGTTGTATTGGGCGAGGGTGCGTATTTCTATCTTTTCTTTCTTCTCCCCATTGGATATTATATCTTTACGTTGTAAAGGTGTGGACTGACAGAGACAAAATAGGAAGACCACTTTGGCGCGCACTACGACGCCGGCCACTATGACCGCGGCCGGCACTCCCTGGTCGGCGACGCCTCCTTCCGTGGCCCGCAGCGCGTCAACGCGTGGTACTCGTCGTGCATCCACTACTGTTTTCTCGACGAGCCGCGGACGGCCAACGTCGTCGGCGAGCCCAAGGCTACAGGGGGGACGATTCTGACGTATGAGAATGCGCAGGGGTTGACTATTGGCAAGTATGTGGATTTGGGACATAAACGGTCGGTGTTGTCGATTTGTGGACGGGAGAAGTGGTTTCAGTTGTGTCCGTTGTTTTGGGATGGTAGGGAGAAGCCGTTGGAGTCGGCCGATCGCGCGGCGTGGAATGCCAAACTATGATTTACTCGTGTTTGTACTTTTGGGACATTTGGACTCGAATTAGGCGTTGGATATTTAGCTTCTGACTTTGGGTTGGATTTCAGTTTTGGATCCTCTGTGTGCGGAACGCGGTCCAGGTAATCTGGATGGGCATGCTGTCCCTGCTTCAACACTCAGACTCTCCGAAAAGACATCAAAGCGGAAGTCCGTTATTTTGCTCGCTCTTCTTGACTCGACCGACGGAACCCGCGCTCACCTCGGCCAAAAAAACCTGCGAATTCTCCCGGCTTGGTCGTGGAGAGGGTGGGCTTGTCAACGACCCCTGTCAATACGTCGTTGCATTCCCTGTCAGGCTCCGCTTTTACCCTGGCCCGTTGATTTATTTTCACGCCCCTTTAGCTATTTAGACCCCCTGCCCAGTTATCAGATCGTCTACGGATACCCGGCCATCTACCCGATGTCGCTCCGTTACGCATTGCCGATGGACCTTCCTGGACGGTTTGTGACGGAGGCTGGTGAGAGTATCCAATTGAATTTCTTCCTCTGTTGTGTCGAGCCAGTCTATTTCCTACCTCTTCTTATGCCTCTCTCACCTCCATCATCTCTCACGCTCTGCATGGCGAGCGAGTAACGACAAAATGAAAATAACCAACACCTTAACAGGCTACATCCGCCTCCTCCTAGCCGGACCCCCCTCCCGTTCCGACCTGCTGCTCCTCGCAACCGCCATCCTAACCGCCATCGCCTCGGGCGTCCCCTTCCCCTTGATCGGCATCTTCTTCGGCCAGCTCCTCAACGATTTCAACGAAGTCACCTGCGTCGAAAATGGCTCCTCTTTTTCTCCCTCCTCTTCGGAAGACACAGAAGCATACCAATCGAGCGTCAACACCAAAATCCTCATGATAGTCTACCTCGCCATCGCCCAATTCGTGCTCATCTACACCCACCTCACCTGCTGGACCCTCTACGGCTCGAGTCTCGCCCAACATCTCCGCGAACGCTACCTCTCCACCCTCCTCCGGCAAGAACCGAGTTACTTCGACGGCGTGTTGCCCCCCGGCGAGGTATCCTCCCGCTTAAGCGCCGACATCCAAACGATTCGCTCCGGCACGTCCGAAAAAGTCGGGATTTGTCTGGCGAGTGTGTCCTTTTTTGTGACGGCTTACATCGTGGCGTTTATCAAGAACTGGGAGTTGGCGGCGATGTTGTTGGCGCTGGTGCCGGCGTATTTTGTCATGTCGTTGGTGGGGAGTCATTATATTGAGAAGTATTCGGGGAAAGTGGTTGATCATGCGGCGGCTGCGGCTGCGGTGGCGGGGGAAGCGTTGAAGAATGTGATGGTTGTGCAGGCGTTTGGGGCGGAGAGGAAGTTGGAGGGGCGGTTTGCGAGGGAGTTGAGTCAGGGGAAGAAGGAAGGGTTGAAGAAGGCTACGGCGGTGGGCGTGCAGTCGGGGGTGTTGTATTTTGTGGCGTATGGGGCGAATGGGTTGGCGTTTTGGCAGGGGAGTGGGAGGATTGCGGAGGTCGTGAGGAATGGAGGGGGGGATGATGGAGGGGCGACTGTTGGGTCGACGTTTACGGTCATTTTTATTTTGATTGAGGGTATTTACCCCTTCTCGTTCTTTTTCTTTTTTCTTTTTTCTTTTCTTTTTTTTTTTTTACCCGTTTCCCATTTTCTCCCCTGATGATAATTAGTGAACGCTAACAAGAACAGCCACCCTCCTCCTCAGCCAAATCGCCCCCTTCATCCACCTCTTCATCGCCGCCGTCGCCTCCTTCCGCAAACTCCAAACCGACATGAACCGGTCCTCCCAAATCGACGGCACCTCAAACTCAGGCATCACCCTCTCAGACACAGACACAAAAGAAGGTCTCGGCTTCCACCTCCACAACGTCTCCTTTTCCTACCCCTCCCGTCCCGACACCACTGTCCTCGACGCCGTGGACCTGAATATCTCTGCCGGCCAGCACACGGCTATTGTTGGGTTGTCGGGGAGCGGGAAGTCGACTATTGCTGGTTTGCTCACGCGGTTATACGACCCGACCGCTGGGTCTATCACCGTCACCGGGGGGCAGGATATAAAGAATCTAAACGTCCGCTCGCTGCGCAGTCACATCTCCCTCGTCCAACAGGAACCCTCCCTGCTGGATCGGTCAGTCCTGGAAAATATTGCTCACGGGCTGTTGAACTCTGCGGACGGGGACCATGCCGTGCTGCGGGATACACTACTCGGCCCCGGGCTAGGTGACTTGGCTGCTCAACTCCGCGACGGCGTCTCCTTAGACACTGCTTTGGCTCAAACAGATGTCCAGATCCAGGAGATTATCAAACTAGTCCAACGCGCAGCTACACTAGCCGACGCACACGCGTTCATCACTGCGCTTCCGCAAGGGTATGGCACGCTGGTGGGGTCGTCAGGGGGAAGGTTGTTGTCGGGGGGTCAAAGGCAGAGGGTAGCGCTGGCACGGGCGTTGGTGAAGGATCCTGGGGTGTTGGTGCTGGATGAAGCGACGGCTGCGTTGGATGCGGGGAGTGAGGGGCGGATTTGGGGGGGGATTCATGTTCTTTCTCAGGGTTCGTCTGATGGTGATGAGAAGGGGGAAAAGAGGGAGATGAGAAAGAATAGGACGACAGTTACGATTGCGCATCGTCTGGCGACGGTCAAGGGGGCGGATCGGATTGTTGTGCTGGAAGGGGGGAAGGTGGTGGAAGAAGGGGGTCATGCGGAGTTGGTGGAAAAAGGGGGACGGTATGCCGAGCTGGTGCGGTTGCAGGGGTTGGACCACGATGACGCGCAGCCAAAAGGGGAGGTCGAAGTCGAAAGCAAAGAGCAAAAGTCAGGGGACATGAGCAAAGAAAGCCAGGTCCAAGAAACAGTCAAAGAGACTGCGTCAGAAACCGACCCCGAAGAAACCCCCCCCGAAGAGAAACACACCCTCTGGGCCCTCGCCAAAGGCTACGCCCCCGCCATCCGCCCTCACCTCCTCACTCTCACCCTCGCCCTCCTCGGCGCCCTCCTCGTCGGCGGTGCCTTCTCCGGCGAAGCCGTCATCTTCGGGCACACCGTCGACGCCCTCAGCCTATGCCGTCCACCCTCTAGCATCCAAGCTAGCGGGCGCTTCTTCGGGTTACTCTTTTTTGTGCTCGCCATCATCGAGTTCTTTGCCAATGCCGCTAGCTGGACGGGGTTTGGATGGGTTACGGAGAAGATGGTTTATTCCGTGCGGGTGCTGTCGTTTCGGTCGTTGTTTGAGCAGGATATGCACTGGCATCAGTCTAAGGGGCGAACCCCAGCTGTGTTGTTGGCGTATCTTACCCGCGATGGGAATGCGCTGGCTGGTCTCAGCGGGTCGGTTATTGGCACGTTGTTTTCGATTACGGCCAATTTGTTGGCGGCTATCATCATGACGCATATCATCGCCTGGCGTATTGCGCTGGTCTGTCTGGCCTTGGTGCCTTTGTTACTCGGCGCTGGATTATTGGAACTGCATATCCTCGGGCAGTTTGAAGAGCGCCATGAGACTGCCTACGCCCGGTCCGTCGATATCGGCACCGAGGCTGTGTCCTCCATCCACACCGTCGCTGCCTTGGCCCTGGAAGAAGAAACCCTGCGCGTGTACCGGCGTTCGCTAAAAGAACCCCGCCGGGATACTCTAAGAGTAACCGTCCTGGCCAGCTTATGCCAGGCAACGACGTATTTCCTAGGGAACTGTGTGAATGCCCTGGCCTACTGGTGGGGCGCGAAGCAAATCATCGCGGGGAATGTGACGACGGCCGAGTTTCTGATTGTGGTTTTCTCACTGTTGGTGAGCGCGCTGCTTTGGAGTCAGATGTTTGCGCTGGCGCCGGAACTGTCGAGTGCAAGGGCCGCGATGGGGAGGATTCTTTCTCTTGTCCAGATCGGTCGCGATGGGATGCGGCATCTCTCGGATTCCCCCCTAGAATCAGAGGACGCCTCATCGGAGGAAAAGTCCCTCGAAACTCCCGGAATCAAGAGAGACGAAAAGGAGAAACCCCCGCAGGTCACCCTCACAAACATAACATTCACCTATCCCTCTCGTCCAACCCACCTCGTCCTTTCCAACCTCTCCCTCACCATCCCCCCAGGCAGTTTCTGCGCCCTCGTCGGTCCCAGCGGCGCAGGCAAATCCAGCATTTTGTCCTTACTCACCCGCTTATACACCCCGCAATCGGGGAGTATCACCCTCGACGGACTAGACATCACCCGCTCCGGTGATCTATCATTCAGAGATGGTGTGGCGTTGGTTCCGCAGGAGAGTATGTTGTTCGCTGGAACGATCGCATTTAATATCGGCTTGGGCGCACAACCAGGACGGGAGGCCACGAGGGAAGAGATTGATGAGGCCGCGAAACTGGCTAATATCCACGATGTGATTACTGCCCTGCCAGACGGGTATGACACGCTTTGTGGGCCGGGATCGAGCAACACCGACGGCGAGAAACCCTCCGGGGGAACCCAACTCTCCGGAGGTCAACGCCAACGTCTCGCCCTCGCGCGTGCGTTGGTACGCAAACCGCGGCTGCTGCTGCTTGACGAACCGACTAGTGCGTTGGATGCCGCCTCGGAGAGGGCCGTGCAGGATGGGTTGGAGAAGGTGTGTGCCGAGGGAAAGGTCACGGTGGTGGTCATTGCGCATCGGTTGAGGACGGTCAGGAGGGCGGACTGTTTGTTTTGGATTGAGGCGGGGAGGTGTGTCGCGCAGGGGAGGCACGAGGAGTTGGTTGAAAGGTGTGAGGGGTATAGGGAGGCGGTGAGGCTGCAGAGTGTTGAATAGAGTGACGTGGATGAAAAGGGGGTTGAAAAGGGGATTAGGAAAGAGCGATATCCATAATTATACGAAAGCCTGGTTGAAACCACAGTTACAGTCGCTGTGGAATAACGATAATTTTACAAGCATAAAGAAAGAAGTCAAACTAAAAAAGAATGCTCAGGGGGAGAAACATAACTCTAGATAACAAGAGACCAAGATTAGGGGACAATGACAAACGCAATGACAAAAGTATGGTCCTCTGAGATGCGCTTGAACAGGTCCACCCACTGGACGTGGCTCATCTCTTTTCATACCATCAGGATTCTGAGTCTCGAGCTAGTTTATTTCAGTGTGTTGCAACGAACCTCCCTATACCCCTCAGCGAGACCTCACTCGCTGTTCAAACTTGAAATAAAAGTAAGCTGGGGCGGAGGGCCGAAAGGTCGAAAGCGTGTATCCGAGGTTGAGTGGGCTCTGGGAGAGCTTCCGCAGGGAAAAGCCACATGCCGATGGTGGTACAGGGCAGCTTCTCCATTGCCTTGAACATTTCGGCTTCCTCTTCAGAGCTGTAGTGATACTTTGGAGATTGGTGCAGGGCCCCACGGTACTCCATCGGGATGAGGCGGGCCCAATCCCAGCGCACCTTATACCAAGTGTTCTCCTCGTCTTCGAGGTACTGCGCTAGTTCGTCCCGCGACCACACAGCATCTGCCTCTGCCGCCGCCTCTCGCGCCGCCGCTCGATCGATCACGAAATGCCCCGGCAGTGGTTTTGACCAAGGGTTGGTGGGGCAGATATAAAAGGAACAAGAGCCACCGTCGTCATCGTTTTCTCGGCGGGTAGGCTGCTGATTTCTCGTCACCCCGAAAGTGTGTTCCATTTTCCGCCAGTTCTGCAACAGGAAACGGGGATCATCTGGGAGAAGGACCTGGCGGAGGTCGAGCTCAACTCCAGGTCGCGGGTCGGCTTGGAGCCAGTGGAAGCCCCCTGTGCTATGACCTCGTCGACGGAGGGGGAACGTTTGGGCGAAGTGAATGCGGGCGCAACCCCCGATCGTGGGGAAGCCCTTGTACCTGCTCGAATTTCGGAAGCGGGTGACGCAGAGTAGGGAACGGAGCTTATGGCGGAGGATATCGGCGAACGACGTTGCTGCGGCTGGGTGGAGCAGTTCCGGGTGCAAATGTGCGGACCCAAGCCAGAAACCGATCAGGTAGCGGAGAAACTCTACGTCCAATGCGAGGTGGCGAATTCTAGAATTAGGCAGAAATTAGTTATTGGTTAGGCGGATCTTCACTATAATCTGATATCCGCGCCCGTGCCATGGAAAAGAGTCAGCTTTACCCGTGGTCCTTGTAATCGTACGCGCGGGCGTCGTGTAAAAAATCGACGAGCATGGTATTCAATGGGTTCCGATCGTAGACGATTGGCCGTCGGATGTACACGACGTCGTACTCTGGGCTTAGATAGAGGACTTGACCTGTACTTAAGGGCAAATGTATGTGATAGAAGCTGAGCGCAGCTGCCCGTGCCTCGCGACTGACGCGGAGGAGTACGCTGAGGGTCGGCGAAAAAGATCCGCGGCCCCGGAGACTGCAGGTGTAGCTCGGATTCCGGCTGCTCACAATTCGACCGAGATGGTTACGGTCGGCATACCGGGGACCATCGTTGTCGTCAGCGTAGTTCGGAATATTGGCCTCGTCGGCGGTAGGTTGGAGATCGAACTCAATCATGCGGTGTTGCTGGAGAGCAAGATGCCAGATGCGTAGACGCAATTCGGATGGAAGGCGGGTGAACGGCGCCCATACCGGCGGGGACGGGGGTAGCGACTTCACCCAACTGTTGAAATACACATCGTTGAACAGCAGAGGCGTCGGGCTCACGTTGTTGTCATTATCCGGGTCCGTATTAGGAGGCATGATTAATCGGAGCGCGTAGGAGTAGTTAAAGAAAAAGTCAAAAGAGTACGAAGTCAGGCAGGAAAGTACCTACCTATCATTTCCTTGTGCACGTTCTGTGGTTGCCGCGGCTTCCTGCTTGTGCCACAATCCCCCGCACCTTTCGCTAAAGGGTTAAGCGTGATTAGCTGCATTGCTTTGGTGGGTACATACATACATAGATAGGTACATACGAACGGCACTGACATCAGATCGGTTGCTTACCTATGAATTACCGGTAACAAGCGAGCTTTAAACCGTCCAAGTGCTTGCCAAATACCCAGTTGGTTCAGACTTGGGAGAGTTTACAGCTGGCGATACAGATACATTTCAAATACCTAATAAAGTCCCTGACCTTTAAGTCTATAATATACTGAGATACCCGTAATTACACGTCATTCATTTGGTCGTTGGCCGATGAGCAGCAGCTTACTGGTGCGAGACTCTGACAAGCGCCAATTGTGGGGCATGGCACGGGTAAATGTGCGTGTAATTATTGTATGCTGTTACAGGAACGTGCGGAACGCTGCGTGCTAAGCATTCGGGGGCCAACAACGTCCGAAGGGAGGCTAGGTACATGAACCCGCGCCAACAGCTGAAAATGGCCGAATCAAGTATGGCCGGAACCCTGTGATGGGGCGACCAACACGGCGTCCTAAAGCAAACTGTGATTCATCGTGACCGCGAGCCGCGAGCCGCGAAGGACAAGCCTTGACAAGGAAACTAAGGCCCTACGCCATGGGACGGTGGGACCTGGGGACCTGGGGACCTGGGTCAACGTAAACGTCCTCAGGGGCTGTTCAGGGAGGCACAACTTTTCAAAATGACCTTGACCGGCCCGCAGACTCCAACCCCTGACGGTCTGAGTTTCTCCATGTCTCCTGCACACCGCAGACGTTGGTCGGCCCATAACGGTTTTGTGACCAACAACTTGCCATCATGGCGGCGCACTGGTGACTGAAACAACGTGCCAAACCTCCACCATTGGCCCCAGCCTGGTTCAGCCCACCCCAACTGTCCCAAAATAACTTGTTGTTGGTACCAAATGGTTTGGCCGGCCTTAGCACAAGACCTCGATTCATGGCCGCTAGAGAAACCCCACGGCTTCGAGAAACTTGTGCTACACAATACTATGGACATTCAAGGTTCTGTTCAAACGACAGTACGGCTATTGCCGGGGGGGGTTGAAAAGAAAGAATACCCGGAGAGGTAGACAATATTGTAGGCCGTCTATCTTCTGCGGACGGTTTGACAACCCCCTCGTAACAAAACCATGGGTGGGGGAACCTGGCCGTACTCCCCTCGTTGGAGGCGGGCTCGAAACGCCTCGGCCTCTTTCAGCAGCTCGTGGTAAACAAAATCGCAGAGTTTGTGTTGCAACGGTCACCGCCGCCATCATCCATGGCCAACCCAAACTGTCTCAGGGGGGCAGGCCCGTCGGCCACGACAGTTTCGACAACCGCCGCAGACCCTTACACGTATGAGGGCCTGTCCTGAACCACCTGGCCATCTTGCATGGCACATCAGGGGGGGACCTTTCCACCCCTCTTGTCTCTTCGCTGCTGGCTGAAGGGGTTTAAACCAAGCTTAAATACCCGTCACCCGCTGCGTCTGGATGAGGTCGAGTTTTTGTCATCACATCACAGCTACAACTTGTCAACTCATATCTTCATTCAAAGTTTTCACCCTCCCATCTTGCGTCTTCATTTATATTCTCCACTCTTGGCTGGACTGAGAGTTCGTCACCCTAACGATCGCCTTTGTTTCCCCGGACTCACTGACCGGCTTTTACCCAGAAACATGGAATTGACACCTGGTGGAGAAAACACTCGTACCTTTGTGTACATGGACGAGTGCAAGTGGGTCAACTATGATAAAGAGATCTACACGGCAGGTCTCGCTACCTGTATCGGCATCGTCGCGATTGGTAGGAAACGCGCAAACACCAGCATTAACAAAGTCATGGCGCATTCCAGCACCGGCATGGTGGAGGACGTTATCGGCGCCAATTTATCCGCATGGTGCAAAATTCGGACATGGAAGTAACCAACGTCTTCATGAGCTGCCCCATGCGGACGTACAATGACGACAGTCCCGGGAAAGTCACCGACGAAGAAGCGCGGCAAATGCTGGCATTGCAGCGTATGATCCGTCCAGACCAAGTCACCAGCCATGACATCCAAGAACTGAGGGTTTCGCTGCGGAAACGACTGGATGAGGCGGAGGAGCAGGCAAAGTCGATCTGTAGGCGGTATTTTGGCTTCTCACCTGTGGTATATCGTCGCCTAGACTCTAACGCCGGTCGTGGGGAGCCATTTGGCTGGATGGTGGCCACTGCGAGTCCCGGGGGGGCCGTCTTCATCGAGGGCCAGAGCGTGGATGAGATTCCGGACGATACAGCTCCCGCTCGCCCTGGTCGAAGCAACTATGACAATTCCAACCCCTATGGTGGTGGTGGTGGTGGTAGTGGGGGTGCCAGTTACAACCCATATGGCTCTGGTGGCAGTGGCAGCGGGGGCGGCTCTGGTGGCGGTGGTTACGGCGGCAGCGCTTACGGCAGCACCTACGCCCGTGGTTCGAGCCGCAATGCCTCGGGGAGCCGGCCTCCTCCCAACGACAGCCGCAGCAGCGGCAACGGCTTCTCGGCCAGCCACAGCACCAACACCTCGTCTCGATCGACTGGCAGTGCCAGACCGGCGTACTCTGCCAGCACCACCACCAGACGGGAAGATCCCCGACGGCACGCCCCCAGCTCGCGCAGCAACGTTTCTCGACCAGCTGGATCCGGCAACACCAGTTACTCCAAGCCTTCGGGAAGCTCTGGGACCACCGGCAGCACTGGCAGCACTCGCCACAGAACCTCGACCACCAGGCACTTCTAGGTCTGGCGTGCGATGCCACCAGGGTTCATTGTTTCGACTTGCCTTGAGTTGAGTACGGGGTGGGTGGAGAGATAGACGGGGTAACATTGCGAGACTGGATCTGGCAACAAGTTAGTTTTGTTATTTTAGAGTGCATTGGCTTTTGCCATAGAAGAACGAGGTATTTGGCTGGCCAAATACTAGGTAGGGTAGTTAGAATAAACATTCCTGGAGAATTGTTTCGACTTTTTAAGACCCAACTCTAAGCCCTTGCCCTCATTGATGTAGTACAAGTTGATTCGAATAACCTTCTTAAAGGGGGAGGGATATTCCCCCTTGGACTTTTCTTCTTGTTGTCTTATTTTCCTTTTTTCCTTTTTCTTTTATTCTGGCTTATGTAATTAATTATTGTGTATTTTGTTGTGTTTATTATTTTTATTCTTTTGTATCTCTTTTTCTTTTCCATTTATTTTGTCTTCTTCTCCTTTCTTTTTTATTCTGATTTTTTGTTTTGTATTTTGTTTTCTTTCTTCCTTTTGATTATAGATTTTCTTTCATGTCCCCTCTCTTATGTCCTTTTTTTCTCTGTGTTTCTTTTTGTTGTTTTGTTCTCTTTTGGGATTCAAGTACTTCTTTATCACAACTCTAAATTGAAAAAATACCAAGACTGCGAGGCTGTCGGGTCGATAGACCAGGGGCCTCATGATTCTCCTTGAAAGCCACGGTATTTAGGTATGGAGGCTCCCAAACGGTGGTTATAGTCTGGCCATCTCCCCCAAGTTTGGGTTGCGATCTGAATCCACAACAACTACCTTACCTTCTAGGACTTATTAGCTCCTTATAGGGGTTGGGTGATGATTTGCTACTCCTTATGCACTCCCGCATGACACACAGGCTGGAGTGGATATGATTACCTTACGTACCCCACAACCACCAGTCCAGTTTATTAAAATTTACCTCCCTACCTGCGGGCTTAGGTATGTACAGTACAACAACCGCGCAGGCTGGTCGGCGATAGCAAAGACAGTGTAATATAAGCAGCATCACCAGCTCAAAAAGGTAATTATTTCAAGGGTTTGGCTGTCCGGCTAACTGTACATACCTTGCGACAACGACGCTGAGAGCTTGAGCTCGGTATTAATTAAAGTTTAGACTGCAACATCAACCTAACACGTAATTACTGATTGGCCGAAACTGCAGCGCAAACTGGTCGGCCAGGCTGACCAAGTACGCGTGGCATACGGAGTAATTACTAGCCGAATACGCAAGGTGCGTACACAGCCTTCTCCGCAACAGTAATTAATTTATAAGCAACCCATATGAGTCAATAAACCTCCTTCCTTTCACCACAACCACCGGACTACTATCGTCCTCCTGACTCGAACAGTACATTGAACTACACTATACCGTTGAATTAAACTAAACACCCCTTGACCATGCCCCACAACACTCCACCCCTCACCATCCGTCGCGCTACACCCGCGGACCTGCCTGCCCTCCACAAGCTCGTGGAATCTGCCTACCGCGGCGACTCCAGTCGGCTCGGATGGACAACCGAGACGGACATGCTCGGCGGCCAGCGCATTCCGGCCACCGACCTCCTCGCCAAGATCAACAACCCGACCGGTATTGTCTGGCTGGCCAGCAGCACTGAGGCCGACTTGACTACAAATACTTCCGAGCGAGAGACCAAGTCTGGAACTGAGAAAGACAGACAACCCAAAGACACAGACCAAGACCAAAACCAAGACTCCCCCCTCGTCCTCCTCGGCTGCTGCGAACTCACCCGCCTCAACAACCCTTCAACAACAACAACCCCACGCACAGCCTTCTTCGGCCTCTTCGCCGTATCCCCAACCCACCAATCCCTCGGCATCGGCCACGCCCTGCTCTCCCACGCCGAAGCCTACGCCCAACAGACCTGGGATACACAGCGCATGGAAATGGTCGTGACCATGGGCCGGCCGGAGCTGGTGGCGTGGTATGTCCGGCGGGGGTATGTGGAGACGGGAGAGGAAAGGGTGATTCCGATGGAGGAGTTGGAGAGGCAGGGGTCGGTTGTGTTGGTGGAGGGGATTAGGTTTGGGGTTTTGGTTAAGGGGTTGGGGGGTGGTAAGTGAGGTGTAAGTCATACTGAGAGGATGGGATCTGGCTAGTGTAGATAGGTTTTAATGGTTGTGTTGGATGGATTATTGGGCGTAGAACTGATGCTGCATGCTCACGGTTTGATCAAAAGAGATGGGTGGATTCAAGCGTTCATTGTGTTAACTTTGTCTTGCTATTAAAGTAGAGATGGAAGATATGGAACCGGGATGGTTGTTACGCCGTTGGGCTAGGATCTTGGGTGCAGTTGATAGGTGATGGGATAAATAATGAAACGTTCCGACTTCTACACGAGTTATATATCAATGTTCAAAACACCTGTTACTTGATATCTGTAGCCAGGAACCAAGTAAGCTCGACGTGCTTGTCTACCGGCCGACTCTCTTCCTCACTTAGCCAGGTCAACATTTCCGCTCTTGCCAAAGTCAAAGGTCCACATAGGTAATATCAAACCTTACCGACAAGCCCAAGAGGCTAATCTGCCGCCTACAGCTTCCAATATAATAGCTCCAGCCTTCCGAACGATGAAATGCACAAGTCTTCGAACTCTCATTAATGATATGTTGGCTCAGGGATCTGTGATTGACGGGAATTACGGGATTGGCGGCAACTTCCCTCAAACACTGATGTGATAAAAGGCACGATGAGGTTACTACGTTCTATCCTATTTGGAGGAGGATAGGTCTTTCCGCAAAAGTAAGTAGTTACACGTGGCATTCTCTCACTTCAAAATCACGACACCACTGATACGTCCGAATGACCACACCGTTGTTAAGGTCGCTTACTATGATAGCTGCAACGTATGGTACAGCAACGTCATCATGTCTGCTTCTCACAAAAACAGGTGCAACCTTCAAATACCTTATCAAGGTATATAAAGAGGCCCTGTTTGTCCTCCGGGATGCTGCAGCTGACCGCTCTCAGTATGGCGTCGGGCAGCCTGGCCATAAGCTGGTCGCCGGAGAACAGGACGCCATGTCGCAAATCGAATAGATAGTGCCGGAAGCGGTCCTTGAATCCCTAGCATGGGCTCGGCTCCAACTTCCAGCCTCAAGTCAAGGCTATCTTCACTTGACGCGCTTCGTCGGCTGCGAGGCAACCGACCTCCCCGATGTTTCGGCGACAGCCGAGATCGTGCCAAGGCTGCATGTCTTCAGTCTGGGAATATCGGGCGCACTTGGTTCACGAACTATTATGTATGATGGCTTGTTATGCCACGTTGGAGGCTAGGAGAAGGACTAGATAACTCCCTTCCTCAAAATGCTATGCAAGGCTTATGATTTGAACAGGTTGGTCAACGGACCCCAAGAGTAACTCGACATTGCCATCTGTCACACCCTCACACAAGTGGCTCCCAGGTTGCTCGAAACTCCGGGCCACTTAATGGGGAGAGATCACTCCCCATTTTGCTCCCGGGGACCTCTGGGAAGGGAACATGGGCAAGGAGCTGTCGAGCACCAAGCATTTCATTTTCAACTTGAACGGGTATTAAAGACAGCATGACGTTGAGTTCGCGCAGTTGAAGAACGTGCATCCCAATATAAGCTCCTGAGATTACAGGACAGATTATTTTAAACACATGAGTCGATCTGAGCCGACCGCCAGGATCGACTATTGGATTAACCTGGACGGTATCGAAGCTTGCTTGAAGCATGCCGCCCACGAGCGTCACTGTGCGATGAGAATGGGGTAGCCGGAATCCATTTTTCCTGGGTGCCAACTATACGTCGAAGCTATTTGGTAGCCACTGGTCATTGATAGAGCCCTGAACGACGGGAACGAGCTTCTCCGGAAATACACCCCTGCCCAGCCCGTACTTCGTTTTCCCCCAAGCAACACAACCCCTTCCAAGAAGTCACCGGGACAAGTGAATGTAAGAGTGAAGCATCCGGTCTCCTCGAGGAAGTGCGGGAAATGGGCGGCATTGAAAAAAAAACAAAACAAAAAAAAACACAACATTCCTGCCACATTAAGCAATGAACAAGTCGTGGTAACGGTGCAGCCGCGAGCAAATCTCAATGATATCCGGCTCATTATCAGCGGTGATGTACCCGCGACGAATAAAAAAAGCAAGACACGTCATGTTGCAAGTCAGCTTGACCTCCCCATTCCTCATTGCATTCGTCAGCTCTTCAAGCGACAACAAATGTAATTCCCCAACCTCCCCGTCTCCAATCCTAGGCACAGCATCCTGCCCCAGCTCCATCTCATACACATACTGGACCTGATGCTGACAGCCCGGATTCAACATGTCATCCACGGTGAGCTGAAACGACAGCGTCCCGCAAGCCTTGATGTGCGACCGCGTGTACGCCGGGTCCAAACAGATCTCCTCCTCACATTCGCGCACCATCCCATCAATGGGCTTCTCCCCAGTCGCCAGACTGCCCCCGACGGTGTTATCCAGCATTCCGGGAAAGCTCATCTTGGTCCATGCCCGGCGCGGCACCCAGATCTTGATCCCCTCGGCTGTCATGACCCAGGCGGTCAGGTGGACTGAGAAGTTGACGATGCCGAGCATGTCGACGCCGTAGCCGTCGAGGTCGAGAACATGTTCGCCGGTGGAGGAGTAGAGGGGGAATTGTTCGTTTGCCCAGTGGCCCAGTAGCGTGCCGTTGGGGGAGTCGTAGGCTTTGCGCAGGGTTTCGTCGAGGAGGTGGGTGCGGGTTTTAAGGTTGGAGCCGGTTGTGAGGGTTAGGAAGCGTTTGTTATGGTCGAGCTTCCAGTACTTGGGCCAGGAGATACCCGAGATGAAGCGTTTGTGGACGTAACCGAAGGGCTTGTCGTATCCGTCGATGAGGAAGTAGTAGTAGTTCTGCATGTGGCGTCGGTAGGCATCGGGGTCTTTTGTGAAGTACGGCCAGCTGTCACGGTGCGTCAGCTCTTGTGATAAAGTATTTGAAATATAATCTATTCCACGCAAGCATTCGTTAACAGTTGCCCAGAAAGAAATCTCACCTATCGACCTGCTCAACTAGCTGAAGGTTCGTGAACGGCGGGGTCGGTAGCGTTTCTGACATGGTGACGGATCTGATGACAGATCTTAATGGTGGGAGTGGACTATTGATGGACGGCTTGAAAAAGCTGAAGAGGTCCACTGTGATGGAGATAGTGCAGAAAAAGTCACGTTGCGAAATGAATGGGCGAGAAAGTGAGCGCGGGAAGTAGAGAGAAGAGAGAACTTGCCGCAAGAAAGATTCAAATTTCGATGGCGGCTTGGATCTTCGAATCTCAGGCCGAAATTCTTTGCCTTTCAAGCACGCGGGGATTTTGCAGTTGACACCGTGTTAGTAAACACTGCTTGCACCCTAATTATCTCAGTGTAAGGTGTTTTCAGGGTTTGATAGACTCACATTCGGTCTGGCCAAGTTGAGAATGTGAATGGAACCGACCCAAAAAGCGGTTTGAAAACAAAAAGCTCACTGCCCAATTTCGCCCCGGAGGTTGTGGACAGCTACGCAAATTCTGAAGAAGTTTATTAATATAGTGCTCCCACCATGAGTCTAACTCACGAAGGGGAGAAAGCGGGCACGCCCGGTGCTGCCCGCACCCCCCAAATGCACCATCCGCGGTCCGGGCAGGCAACTGCCAGATGGGGGGGCTGTTGGAAGGAGCTGTGAGAGGGGGGGTTATAAAGGGCTGCCCGTATGGGATTCGAGAAAGGAAGGCAGGTACATGAAACCATGCTCTAAGAAACAATTTGAAAATCTTCATCCTCTCGATTTGTTTATTCTTTTACTCTGTTTACCCCTACTTCCTGGCCGCCACCTCCTCCAAAAAACTCAACACCCGCTTCACCAAAAACGCCCTCGGCTCCGCCTGATCATCATTACTCAACGCATGCGACGCCCCCGGAATCAAGCCACTCCTCTCCCGATCCCAAATTTTCCCCCCTCTATCCGTCACCTTCCTCCACCGCTCCAACAACCCCTCTTTATCCACCCACTCCGGCACCGCCTGATCCGCCCCGGACATCAACACCATCAACTTCCCCCTCACCAGCCCCCTCTCGGCCACCCTCCCAAACGTCTCCGCCAACGCCCCATCCCCCAAATCCGAACTAAACATATCATCCTCCGCCGGCTTCCCCGGCGACTCCGGACTGACCAAACTCCAAAACCGCCTACAACTCACCGGCGTATTCCGCGGGTATCCAAACTGCGCCGTCAACCTCACCGGCAACATCGCATCACACACCTCTTCCTCCCCACCATCTAAGTTCCCATCCCCATCCCGATCCAACTGCTCCCGTGCCATGCGCACAAGCGTATCATACGTCTCTTTCAACTGCGCCGGCGTCCGTCCCAAAAACCCATCCCGCATGACGAGCTTGATGGCCTCGCGGTCCGAGACAGGGGCCTGCATGATCGCGCCGTCGAGGATGGGCCGACGGATGTGTTCGAGGTCGCGGTCCCAGGGGGAGTGGGAGGTGTGCGGGTTGGGACGGGAGAGGTAGTGCAAAACGCATTGGCTGCCTGTTGAGTGGCCCATTACTACTATCTTGCCTTCCTCCTCCCCCTGCCCTTCGCCGCCTTCGCCTCCGCCAGCAGTGGCATTGCCGGGAGATAGGCCATACTTGGCCCGTTTATAAGCCTGGATATGCCTTATACAAGCCGCAATCTCGTCGGTGTCGCGGTCGAGGTGGCCGAAGCCCCAGGCGGAGTAGGACGAGGTGAGGGTCAAGGTGAAGAGGGACCAGGGGGTGGAGGCCAGGGCGGGGATGAGGGAGGAGACGTAGGAGGTTGTGGCGAGACCGTCGCCGAGGCCGCCGAGGAAGAGGATGCTGTGGGGGGTGCGGTGGGTGGGAGAGGGAGAGGGGGTGAATTCGAAGGTTACGAGGGTTTCCGTCTGTATTATTTTTGTTTTATTTTTGGGTTTTAATTTTATTGAGAGTAGGGACGCACAAAATGGTGGAGAATCCCCGGCGAGCCGGTTTTGGGCCAGAACTGGGAGCCCATTGGGACGGAGAGGCGGATGTCGATGTCTGTCAGGGGGCTTGAGTTTGGGCTTGGTGAGCTTTGCCTCGGTGAGTTCCGACTTGTTGGCGTGCGCGTCATGCCGAACTCAAACTTGACAGAGCAAGTCCTGTGGCAGCCCCAAAACTTTCGAAGGCAACGTAAATCCCGCAACCGACATCGGCCCGGGAGTATTTCCCCTCGTATGTGTCCGGTGTGCGTGACTACCGAGGATGTCCCGAGCTGATCAGATTGATAAGATTATGCTGGGGGTGTGTGGGTCCAAGGAAAAGTCCTCGGCTGCTGCGTGCTCGAGAAATACGCGCAGAAATTCCTTGCCGGACACGCGGTGTCTCATCCGAGCAAAAATATCACAGCCGAACAGTCATAGAAACATGGGAGAAGCCATCAATTGGTCTGCTGCTCCGTTTTGCGTCCTTTCGTAGGTGTGGTGTGTGATAAAGGGGTGCGAATAACATGCATCTGCAGGGATCTCTCTCCGGTCCGGATCAGATTAGGCAAGGCGCCGCAGAAGTGGGGCTATCCTGCAGCACACTGTGTACCTTTTGCTGGTCGAAACTCGGTCGTATTCGGATCAGACAAGAAAAAGTTATCAGATGGCAGGGTCCCAGCGGATACCACCCTGTGGAGGACATATCACGGAGCCGACGGCCGACCTCGGTTTGGGTTGGAGGGGACCGTTTGCTGTCAAGGTAGGGGAAACGGAACGGATGCAGGGTGATGGACCTGCGTGCTGCAGTGCGGCCGGCCTGTGATTAATGTATTTATTTCTTTTATTTCTGAAATTTGACTTGACATGAACACTTCACTGTCGTCATCGTGAATTACGCTTTCTTTAATTATCACTTACAATGGGCCTCCGCAAAGCATTCAAACGGCTGCTCCCGCGGGCTAGCCGTGCGAATGTTTCTCCTGCGAAATCTCAACCAGAGCCCAGATCAGAGCCCAGATCTGCCAAAACAGAGAAAACAGAGACAGACCCAACAACAACCGACACAGACAAATCCGACTCATTCGTACATGTCGACCTCCCTTCCTCTGCCCCTACCTATGCCCAGGTGTTGGTAGCCTGGCTGCTGCTGTTGCTGCGCACGCGTGAAGATGGCCAGGCCGAGTTTGAGTGGGCGTACGCCGATGACACAAAGGGGGAGAAACACTTGCTGTCGAGCACGGTGGTGGACCTAAATGGGAATATCGAGCAGGATGTGGCAGCCGTCTCGGGGGTTGCGTCCGGGAGAGATGGTGCGCTGGTGTTGAGCACGGGGTTGCTAGCCCCAGGTGGGACCGCCTTGGACGTGAGTCCTTCTCTCTCTTTTGTCTGTTTTTCTTTTTCATTCAAGAAAGAAAAAAGACTAACACGACTAACATCACAGCCCACAATCCACCTCCGCGTCACGCTCTCCCCATTATCAACCACCATCGTCTACCACACTCCCACAGCACTCCCATTCACCCTCTCCCTCTTCACAACCAACTTCACCCACCTCCTGACGCAGGCCCAAACCCTCCCAAACACCCCCCTAAAATCCCTCTTATCCCCCACCCCCGCGGACCTCGCCCACATCTGGACCCTCAACCGCACCGTCCCGCCAACACACGCCTTCCCAATCCACGACTTGATCTCCCAGCGAGCGACCGAACACCCGTCCAAAACAGCCATCGACTCGTTTGACGGGACGTTGACCTACGCCGAGGTGGATACTTTCTCGACTGTTCTCGCGCACCATTTGCGTACCGCAGTCGGCGTGCAGAATCATGATTCAGTCGGCGTGTGTTTTGAGAAGTCCCGCTGGACGGTGGTCGGGTTATTGGCCGTGATGAAAGCTGGAGCAACAGTCGTGATGATGGATCCGAGTTTGCCGACCGGCAGACTGAAGGGTATGGCGGGGCAAGTCGGGGCGAAAGTCATCGTCTCATCAGCCAACCAGCAGCATCTCGCTGGGGAGATCCTCCCTTCCGGCCAGATCGTGGTAATCGACCAACCTACCCTTACCTCTCTATCCCCTCTCTACCCCCCAACCACAACCCCCCCTTTACCACCCGTCGACCCCTCAACAATACTCTACACAATCTTCACCTCCGGCAGCACCGGCACCCCAAAGGGCGTCCTAATCTCCCACAAAACCTACACCTCCTCCGCCCTCCCGCGCGCCGCAGCCGTCGGCTACTCCCCGACCTCCCGCGTCCTCGACTTCGCCTCCTACGCCTTTGATGTCGCGCTCGACAGCATGCTGCTTACCCTCTCCCATTCCGGAACGCTGTGCATCCCGTCTGATGCTGATCGGTTGGATAACCTCAACGGGGCGATGCGTCGGTTGAGGGTTAACTACGCCGGTATCACACCCTCCGTGGCACGCGTGCTGGAAGAAGATGTAATCCGCTCCTTAGATCACGGCCTAGGACTCGGCGGGGAAGCGGTAGCAGCGGGCGACGCTCGGAAATGGGGCGGCTGGGCAAAGAGGATAGTGATTGGGTATGGGCCGTGTGAGTGCACGATTGGGTGTACGATTAACGGGGATGCGGCGCCGCCGGAGGGGAGGGAGTATCTGTCGATTGGGCAGGGGAATGGCGCGGTGATGTGGGTGGTGGATCCGGAGGATCATGAGGTGTTGATGCCGTGGGGGGCGGTCGGGGAGTTGTTGGTGGAGGGGCCGATTGTGGGGGAGGGGTATTTGGGGGATGGGGAGAAGACGGAGAGGGCTTTTATAAGGGATCCGATTTGGCTTAGGGGGGGGGTTACTTCTACCACTGAGAATAGAGAGGAAGTGAGCTTCCCCGGGAGACGAGGGAGGTTGTACAAGACGGGGGATCTCGGGCGGTATGATCCCGACGGATCCGGGGGGATTGTGTTTGTGGGACGCAAAGACACTCAGGTCAAACTGCGGGGCCAGAGGGTCGAACTCGGGGAGATTGAGAGCCAGCTACGAGCGAAACTGCCTGGCATGACCGTCATTGCTGAGGTGCTGGCCCAGGGGTCAGTGTCGACGTTGGTAGCGTTCATCTCGCCCGAGTCCAACAGCGCCCACGGGAAGGAGGTCGAGCTCGAGAGTATAGTGCTTGATTCAGCCACCCAAAAGACCCTAGAGCAAGCCGACCGCAACGTCGCCGAGGTGCTGCCTCGGTACATGGTCCCCACGGCGTACCTCCCGGTCAACCACATCCCGACGCTGATATCGGGGAAGACGGACCGGAAGAAGCTGCGCGCGTTTGGGCCGGGGGCTTTACGAGCTGCTGCCGACTCAGCTCACGAGAGCAGTGATGTCAGCGATGTCCTCACCGACGGGGAACTCCAACTCCGTCAGGCTTGGGCTACCGTCCTTCGCCTGAGTGCTGAGAGTATCAAGAAAAACGACAACTTCTTCGCGCTCGGCGGCGACTCCCTCGCAGCAATGAAACTCTCCGCCCACTGCCGCACCCTGGCACTCAACCTCCCCGTCATTCACACCTTTGCCCACCCGACTCTCTCAGCCATGGCCGCCGTCACCGTCCCCTTCACCCAATCCTCCACAGAAACAGCCCCACGAACCCCTTTCTCGCTCCTCCCAGCACCAGCCGAGCAGGCAGTATTAGAAGCAGCCCACATCTGCGGCACCACTCCAGCCTACATCGAAGACATGTACCCATGCACCCCCACCCAAGAATCCCTCTTCACCTTTTCCCTCAAATCCCCCACGCCCTATCTCGCCCAGCGGATTGCGACTATTCCGGCACGCTTTTCTACACAGGCCTGGAAAGTCGCATGGGAGTCTGTCGTAGCCGCCACGCCGATTTTACGGTCTCGGTTGGTGCATCGCGCTGAGCAGAGCGGGTTGGAGCAGGTGGTTCTCCGAGATGAAGGACAGGGGATTGCGTGGGTGGAAGAGACAGACCTGGAAGGGTATTTGGCGCAGGATAAGCAGCAGAACATGGATTTCGGGATGGAGTTGGCAAGGTACGCGATTGTGGTGGATCGGGGACAGAGGTACATGGTGTGGACACTGCATCATGCCGTGTATGACGGGTGGAGTGAGCCGTTGGTACTGGGGGGTGTTTACTCTTTGTTAGCCCCTGCCCCTGAAGCCCCTGAGGCCCCTGAGCACGATACCAACACTCACCAACCCCTGAACCAAACAAACCAATCACCCCCATCACCCCAGCAACCCCCCTTTTCCCCCTTAACCAAAACAACAATGGCCGACTTCGTCCACCACCTCACCCACAACATCCCCCCACAAACAACCACCGCCTTCTGGCGCACCACCCTATCCGGCGCCACCGGCCCGCAATTCCCTGCTCTTCCCTCCCGTGACTTCCACCCTGTCCCGACTGGGTTTCTCCAGCACTGTATCTCTCTGCCCACTACCCCTGAGGGAAAGAAGATAAAAATCCCCTTCACACTCGCCACCGTCCTCCGCGGCGCCTGGGCCCTTGTCGCTGCGCAGAGCAGTGGAAATGGCGATGTCGTGTTTGGGGAGACGTTGACGGGGCGGGATATTGCGTTACCTGGGGTGGAGGAGGTGGTCGGGCCTTTGATTGCGACTGTGCCTGTCAGAGTGCGAGTCCCGGGGTCAGATCACTCGCAAACTTTGGCAGAGGAAGAAGAGGAGGAGAGGGGAAAAGGGGACAAGATCAAAGAATACCTAGGTACCATCCAAGCGTCCACCGCAGCACACGCCCCCCACCAACACCTCGGCATGCAACATATCCGGAGGGTATCGCGGGATGCGTTGGTCGCGTGTGAGGCGCCCACGGGGTTGGTCATCCAAGTCTCTGGGGAGGAGTCGGCATCTCAAACCAACGTGGTCACAGCTCTCGGATTTGAAGTGGCAGACCCCCTGCTTGAAGCCCTGCACTTTAACCCTTACCCTCTCATGCTCGCTTGTGGTATCGAGTCTGGTAGGGTAAGGGTGTGTGCTAGTTTTGATGAGCGGGTTGTTTCGACGGGGGAAATGGGACGGGTGCTCGGCCGGTTGGAGAAAGTCTTTCTCAGTTTGGTGGCTGGAGCTGAGACTGACAAAATGGTGGGTGAGATCGACGGGCTGGGACAGGAGGACTGGCGGTTGTTAAAGGAATGGAATGGTCAAGGACCGATGGAGGTGGACAAGAATGGGAGGGTTAGGGTTGGTGGTGAAGTCGGAAAAACCCTCGATCTACGGGTGGTTGTGCCGTGGGTCGTGGAACGGGGGAATGCAAATAAGCTCGTGTCGGTTGGGTGTGTCGGCGAACTATGGCTGGAAGGCCCGCTGTTGACTGGTGAAGGCGTGGTTGAGAATCCCCTGTGGCTGGAGGCCTTTGGACGACAGGGTAAAGCGCAGCCGACGGGGGATTTGGTCAAGCAGCGGGAGGACGGGAGTATTGTTCTGGTTGGACGCAAGGATGGGTCTGTGGCGAGTGACCTGGAGCGGCATTTGGCCCAGTATCTACCGTCGGTTGTGTTTTCTGTCGTTTCTGTAGAAGGACAAAGCCTGGTGTTGATCCAGCGGCCAGACACAGACGCCGACGTGGAAGTTCTGAAGGGGAAGCACACTCTGACAACCTACAGCTTCAGCACGGCTGTTTCTACGGCCATCCCCGCGACCCTCGTATCCAACCTCAAACGGTTCGACAAGTTCGCTCAGAACTCACTCTCACAGTCCCCAGCCTACCTCGTCCTCGACTCCCTTCCTTCAAACCCCCAGGACTTAGCCGCCAAGATCCCCCATCAAATCCTCCGCTACTTCCGCACCGCCCTACACGCCTGGACACCCCCCGCGACGCAATCCGCAGAAACAACCGCCGAGTCTATCCTCAAAGCCGCCTGGGCCTCCGTGCTCGACATCCCCCCTTCGCAAATCGACACCGACGACAACTTCTTCCGGCTCGGGGGTGACTCAGTCCTGGCTATGAAGCTAGTCTCGCGGCTTCGCGGGCAGGGCCATCGCCTGACAGTGGCGGATGTGTTTCGGCATATGCGTCTGGGAGATGCAGCAGGGGTTCTCAAGCTGGGTAAGCCGAAGACAGAAAAGGCCGAGTCAAAGCCAAACACGGAGAAGGCAGAGGGAGAGAAGACAAAAGCCGTGGGGAAATACAACCCCTTTTCCCTGCTCCCGTCCGACTCGGCGCAGCTCATCTCCGAAATCACCCCCCAACTTGACGCCCGCTGGTCGATCCAAGATATCTACCCCGTCACAGAGACACAAGACCTCGACATCCGCGCCACCATCACTCCTCCGCAAACATCAGTCCAGTACACCCTGTTGTTCTCTCCACCCGGCGGGTTCGACCGGCAGCGACTGGTGTCTGCGCTACACAAGCTCGTCCAAGCACACGATATCCTCCGGACGGTGTTCATCCGACACGGGGCGTCGTTCCTGCAGGTTGTGGTCCGCGAGCTGGAGGTTCCGCTGCAGGTACACGATGCTACCCAGGATGATCTAGAGTCGTCGGTCCGGTGTGTGTGCGTAGAGCATATCGGTGGGGGATTCCACCTCGGCCAGCCCTTCTTTCACACTCTGCTCGTCACCTCTGCGGGTGCCAACAACAACAAAACGGAGTGTCTCGCCCTGGCCCTCTCCCACGCCCAATACGACGGTGTCTCCCTCCCTCTGCTCCTGCAGCACCTCTCGGCTCTGTACACCAACCCCAACACCCTCCCCAATCTACCTACTACCCCCTTCTCAACCTACCTCGCCCACACCCTTTCTGTGTCAGCCCAATCCCGCGCCCTAAGCTACTGGTCTGCCTTGCTCACCGGGTCTGTCCCCACCATCCTACCAGATTTGACAAGGACCGACTTACACCCTACGAGTAGGGCCGTGTTTCGCACTCTGGCTGTCCCAGGACAGGAAGGGGGAACCAGTATGGATAATACTGGGATTACCACAGCGACGATGTTAACAACAGCCTGGGCCGTAGTCCTCGCGCGCAGGACACACAGTAGGGATGTCACTTTTGGACGGGTGACGTCTGGTCGGACGGTAGATTCTGATTCTCAAGGTGGTGACGGGGGAGAGATGGATATGGATGCCGTGTCTGGACCGTGCTACCGTATTTCACCTGTTCGCGTGCGGTTTGATACGACTGTCCAGACGGCTGGGTTATTGCGGGAGGTACAAAACCAGGCTGTGGCGTCCTCGGCGTGGGATTATGTTAATCTAGGCGCGTTAGGCGAGAACGTGGGGTGGAAGACCCGCGGCGTAGAAGGGCCAGCGGTGTTTGATTCCATGGTGCATCATCAGGATTGGGATGATGCGTCGACGATGGTGTTTGGTGGGGCAGAGTGTAAGATTGATTTGGAGACGCCGCATGGGGATGCGGGCGTGCCGATGAAGGTGGTGTCGTTTGTCAGGGAACGGGTTATGCATGTGGGGGTTGTTGGGAGGGAGGAGGATGGGGAGGTTGTGGAGAGTCTGCTGGGGGAGTTGGCAGAGACGGTGAGGGTGTTGAGGGGGGATGGGGTTGTGGAGGTTTAGGTTTCTTCGTTTTGAGTTTTGTTGTTCTTTTATTTTTAATTACTCCGGTATTCCTTGCTATTTTGTTTGTTCTGGTCGAGTCGGCTTAAGTAGCACTCGACTATTGTTTTTGACACGCTCTCAAACAGTTGACCTAATTATCTAGTAGAATACCTTCAACCTGCAGTTTCGGACGAAATTTACTGGGCCTTCACCATATTGCTTGGTTTACGGATTAATTACATGCCCTGGTACGAATCCAACTCGTGCCCTTTTGGCAAATAACGGCAAGATCCGTCATGGGCCGTAATTAGCATGAAAGGCCTACTTGAACTTAGCACTGTAGGTAACTTAACTATTACCTAAATTTATCCCACGTAGACAATGTGCCAAACGTACGCAACATCAGGATCTCGATGTTACACCGGAGCAATACATCTTTTGCTCCTGTAGCTCTTTTCACAACTATATAGTTACGCATACACAGCAACATGTATTTACACCTCTCTTCTCTCCCATGCATTTATACACAGCGCACAATCATCAACCCTACGATTTAGTTAACCGACGCCTGCGCCAGGTTCTGGATGATCTTGGCCCCATCAAAGAGACCCCCGTTCGGCGCGTTCGCCCGGCACAGCGACTTGCCGCGTTCGATGACGTTGTTGTCGCATGTGAGACTGCTCTGCGCAATGCAGCTGAGGGCGCCGCCGCCTGTGTTTTGTTTATGGTTAGTTAATTACTTGGCGAGAAGAGGTTGGCTTGGTTGGGAAGGGGTATGGTATTAGGGTCAGGTGGGAGTCGGTGGAAGAAGTTGAGAAATAAAAGTGAACGCACAGTTGTTCCCGCCTGGCACGCAACGACCGCCCTGGCCGTTGGTCGCTGTGCATGCGTCTTGCTTCAGGCTGGTGTTGGCTACACAGCACGCGCCGTTGGGCGTCGGTCGGTTCTGGTTCTGAGCCGTAGCGAGGGCGACGAAGCCGAGGAGAACGGTGGTGAGCTTCATGGTTGGGGATTATCTGTGCGGTTGTTTAGAAGAATGTTCACAAGGCTGAGTGATCGAGATACTGACAAGATAATAAGGGTCCGGCCCGGGAATTAATAAGTGATAGACAAGGAAGGTATTGATTAACGCTTGTGGAATGACAACATGGGGAACGATCATCACGAAATCAAGCCAGACGAAATCACATCTTTTATAAGTCAACAAACCTCTCCGACTTCGCGATGTCGTCGTAGCCGCCGACCATGTCAAACGTTCTCGAACAAAGGTTGAGACGACACGTCCTGCGTCTTGTCCAAAACGGGGTTACAGGGGCTCCATGATTGGTCTGAGCAGGGAATTTACACGGTTTTGAGCTTCTAGAACGTCTTCTTCAGACGTTCCATGGACGGTTTGCATGAGTTTCTAGCCTGCCCAAACTAAATGGGGGTGGCTTTGTTCCCGTATTTGATGTTGACAGACTGCCCCTGTTTCGCATCATCCTCAAGTCTGTGTGCGTGTCGTCTCCTGCGCGCTTAGTTGAGGTGAACTGGATTGGTCAATTGCATTACATCAGCAATCAATAATTAGCAACGGACTTCTTCGCGCTCTCAATGAGATTGTTTGTTCTGTCTGTTCGCTTGTGTTTTCTTCGTCTGCACATAATTACCGCCGGTTGTCTAAGTTACGCGTTTTGGGATAACGATTCCATTCTTCGGACACCACCTGGATGGAAGAGGTGCACTGTTCCCTCAAACAGGAGATCGTGAGAATTGTTGTCCAACCATCTTAAGATACCCTTGGCGTCCCAAATCAACCGCGCCAATCGCCGTCTGTTGTTGACGCAAAGGCAGCTAAGCAAATACAACGTCCACTGCGGCACGGGGCGAGGCAGTTGAGAGACTCTTGCTGCGGTTGGTTGGCGGGATGAAACTCGTCTGACGCGAGGCGAATCTGGGGTTGGACGAGACAGGAGGATCGGAGGTGAAAGCTTGGTTGGTTCAGGGGAAGCGGACACCGTTCAATTCGGAGAAACTAATGGGCCTGGGCCACGATATCTATCGGCTGGACTGCTCGTTTGGGCTCTTAGCATTGTTTGTGTGGTTTCTTTTTTCCTTCTTTTCCGTCCAGTCAATTGACGCGACCGTCAGGGGCATCAACCGTGGATGCGCCAAGCCAATGGCGCTGTTCGGAGAAACCGCATCAAGCTCAAAAAGGGAAGAAAAAAGCCTGGACCAAGCAAGCACCTGCAAGCAACGCAGTGCAGGAAGTGGCCAAGTTAGGTTGACAATTGACTTTTTGGGTTGCGTGGTGTTGGCGTTTTTGGTGCTCGGGAGCTGACACCTGCACCAGCCAAAGGTGCAGCTGTCAGGCACCCGCCGGATGGTTATCCCCGGCGCAAAGCAAGGTGCCTCCCGAGTCCTGACTCCTCAACGTGCTCCTTCGCAGTTGCCCAATCGGGATTGCAAACATGCCAAACACCCACAAGTGACAATCGTGCTTCTGTCGTCGCACAACAATTTTCAATTCCTCTGACTAGCATGCAGCTCTCGTGAACCTTCACACCGCGCCAGAACAACCTTCTGTCTCCCTGCTTCCCCGCACCGTCACAAGACCCGAGTGACAAGCAAGTGTCTCACTATGACAACTCGAAAACTCAATGTCTTGACGTTCAGCTGAGGGGTTACCCAGAAACGAGACGACACGTCCTGGACCCTCGGATAACTCACGTGATGACATCGGCACTCCAGCATCCGAAAGATCGTTGCCTTCCGCCATCAACATGCTTTTGGACGAAAAACAGCCCAAAAGAGTCAGCAGTTTGCTTTCCAGGGGCCAAGACATGTGAGAATCGAGAGGTGCGGTTGTGGCCCTGGCAGCCCTAATTTCCAGTACCCTGGCCCGTGGCGCACATCGGGTTAGGACCTGCGTTTCTTGGCAAGCCTAACAAGATCTCAACCAATGGGGTGCAAGGCGAGTCCGGGGCACAACAACCGTGCCCCGGGTTCCTGAATGGGCAAACCTTGGAAGCTTGGGTCCGAGGTCGTGTTGCGAGCTTCCTCGGGGCCGAGTCTGTCCAGACGCGGTGTACTCGGCGAACTCGTGGTGGGAGCTTAGGCTGAGAGATGAGCAGGATTCATGGAGATGAGGCAGAAGCGAAGAGAGATCTCAAAGAAGGCAAATTACAATGCTGACGGAGGGGCATCGGGAAGCCGGTTGCATGCACGTTGGGGGCCCGGATCACAGCTGGGGGCGAGGGGCGCGGATCACATCGCACGGTTAACTAACGAACGGTGACGGGGCGAGGGTGGATTGACCCGGGCTGAGGGAGGCGTTCTTAACCTTGTCGATCCCTCCCGCATCCTTCGTTCGCGAAAGACAACATCGGCACAGCCAACACCGCCCACGCCCCGTCGATAGAAAGCCAGGACGGTCTTTAGCGATGCGATCGCAGTCACTCGTTTGAACCTCCTCTGGCATCCTCGGACCACCGGCATCACGACCACCAACGATGCATCACCACTTGTCGCTCCGGGCGCTCCTCGGCCTCTCGGCCTGGGCCGTCCCGAGCATTGCCGCCAGCATTGGCACGAATGAGTTCGCTTCACGACACGCCGATCCTCTCGCGGCGAGGGAGATCAACCTCGCGGCCAGTGTGAGCGTCACCACATCGAGCTGCGACGACTTTTGGCTCGAGAAGATCAAGCACCAGGGCGTGGCGCCGTTCGGGGGCGACGGGTACAAGGTGTTCCGCAATGTCAAGGACTACGGGGCTAAGGGCGATGGCGAGCACGACGACACCGAGGCGATCAACCGGGCCATCAGCGACGGCGAGCGCTGCGGGCCAGGCTGCACTGGCAGCACCAAGACACCGGCGTTGGTGTACTTTCCCTCGGGCACGTACAAGCTGTCGGCGCCGATTATTGACTTCTACTACACCCAGCTGATCGGCAACCCGTCGTGTCTGCCGGTGCTCAAGGCCGCGTCCAGCTTCAAGGACCGCTTCCTGCTGGACACCAACCCATACGGCGCCAATGGCCTGGCGTGGGGCGCGACCAACGTATTCTGGCGGCAGGTGGCCAACTTTGTTATTGACATCACTGGCGTGTCCCCCGAGACGCTCGTATCGGGCATCCACTGGCCGAGCTCGCAGGCGACGTCGCTGACCAACATCGTGTTCAAGTCGTCGTCGGCCAAGGGCAGCCAGCACCAGGGTCTGTTTGTCGAGGAGGGCTCGGGCGGATACATGGGCGACCTGGTGTTTGAGGGCGGTGCCCAGGCGCTGTCGATTGGTAACCAGCAGTTCACGATGCGCAACATCACCATCCGGGGGGCCAAGACGGCCATCCAGCAGCTGTGGTCGTGGGGGTGGACGTACACGGGCGTGAGCATTCAGGACTGCGAGCTTGGCTTTGACTTTACTGCGGTCGACGACAAGGGCGCGCTGAACGTCGGGTCGATTACGATTACCGACAGCGAGATCATCAACACCCCCGTGGGCATTTCCTACGGCAGCGCCAACTCGACGGGCCCCGATGCGGGCAACAGCTTCGTGTTTGAGAACCTGCGCATCAGCAACGTCGAGACGGCCATCAAGGGGCCCAAGGGGGCTGTCGTTCCGGGCTCGTCGGGAGAGTCTGTGATTGAGGCGTGGGGCCGCGGCCATGCGTACACCGAAACCTCGACGGGCCCTAAGAAGTTCGAGGGCGATATCCAGGCCAACACCCGCCCGGCGTCTCTCGTCTCGAGCAGCGGCCACTACTACGCCCACTCGAAGCCCCAATACGAGAACCTGCCAGCCTCGGACTTCGTCAGCGCCCGGGCTGCTGGCGCTAAGGGCGACGGCGAGACGGACGACACCGACGCCCTCAACAAACTGTTCGCCTCGGCCGCGGCCGCCAACAAGGTCGTCTTCCTCGACGCCGGCATGTACGTCGTGACCAAGACCGTCTACATCCCGGCCGGCTCGCGCATCGTCGGCGAGGCCTTCCCCGTGATTTTGTCGTCAGGCCCCTTCTTCGCCTCCGCCTCCAAGCCCAAGCCCGTCGTGCAAGTCGGCAAGTGCGGCGGCAGCACCGGCCGCATCGAGTGGTCCAACACCATCGTGTCCACCCGCGGCGCCCAGGCCGGCGCCATCCTGATCGAATACAACCTCGCCTCGTCCCCCGAGAACCCCTCCGGCCTCTGGGACGTCCACGTCCGCATCGGCGGCTTCGCCGGCTCCGACCTGCAACTGCCCCAATGCGCCAAGACCCCCAACACCACCATCACCGAATCCAACCTCGCCACCGAGTGCGTCGCCGCCTTCCTCAGCGTGCACCTCACCCGCTACGCGGCCGCCCTCTACCTCGAAAACGTCTGGGTCTGGGTCGCCGACCACGACATCGAAGTCGGCGCCAACAACGAGCAAATCACCGTCTACGCCGGCCGCGGCCTCCTCGTCGAGAATAGCCAAGGCCCCTTCTGGTTCGTCGGCACCAGCGTCGAGCACCACCAGCTGTACGAGTACCAAATCGTCAACTCAGCCAATCTCTACCTCGGCCAGATCCAGACCGAGACCGCATACTACCAACCCAACCCGGACGCCAGCCACCTGCCCTTCGCCCCGCGCTCCGGCGCGCCGTACTACGACCCCGTGTTTGTCAAGGGCGAGTCTGGATGGGGCCTGCGCGTGGTGGATAGCAAGGATGTGCTAGTGTATGGTGCGGGTCTATACAGCTTCTTTGACAACTATGATGTGCAGTGCAGCCAGATTGGTGAAGGCGCGAGGTGTCAGGAGAGGATTTTTAGTGTGGAGGGCAAGAAGAGTGAGAGGGTAAGGGTGTATGGGCTGAATACCGTGGGTACTAACAAGATGGCGACGGTGGATGGGAAGGATGTGATTGTGTGGGAGGATAATGTTGATGGGTTTGTGCACTCTGTTGCGGTGTTTGAAAAGGGGGTGTAAATCTTTTTTGGGGGGGTTCTTTTTGTAAGGGGGTTTGTTTGGTTTGATGATGCGATGGTGATGGGAGGGTAATGGCAGCGTCTGCCTTTCTTTTGTGTATTAAGTATATTACCTATATGACTGTGTTGTGTGTTAATATTGGGTCATGGCATGGTTATTAACTTTGACGTCCCTCTTAGTCTGTAAACTTGGCGTGAAAAGACAGAACCAGTCCATCAATGGTCTCGGGTCGCGTTACATTGCCGCGAATTGAGTCAACACGGCCCAGAGCGCGCGGTGCACCCTGGACCAATCGCTATTGTACAGTGGAGCCCTGGCCAGAAGTGACGCAGACCAATCAGGATTAGGAATTACTACTCTGTGTGCTCTGGGTCAGAGCACACAGAGCACACAGAGCACTTTGCATCGTGAGGAGTTGAAGATACAAAGTACTCCAGGATTCCTGTGGAACTTGGAAAGATAAATAGCCACCCACCCACCGCCTGGAGAGCTCTGGGAGTTTTCTAGTATCCAAAGCACCCACCTTTAAGCTTCATTTCTGCCGCAAGCAGCTGATTACCTAATCCGCCATCCTTGACCGCTTTTCGCGGGGCTCACCTCGGCCCCCACAATCAGCGTAACCTCACACTAACACCACCCATCACCCATCACACATCGGGCCATCAGGCACCAAGACACCACCCTCAATTCATCATCAAACCTTCAGTTACACCCGTCGAGCCTACCTGCAACGATGCCTATCGGCTGGTACCTAGCCCAAGGGCTCATCCCGCTCGGCCCGGACAGCAGCGATGACGAGGAAGGTCCCTGCGAGCTTCCAGACGGCCGGCTGGTCTGCGGCCCGCATGGTTTTGTGGTCTGCGGTAAATGCTGCGTCGACTATAGTTTTATGGACGAGGTTTTGAGTCGGGGCTCCGGAGACGAGGATGACGGTGACGAGGAGGAGGAGGAGGAAGAGGATGATGATGATGATAACGACGACGACAAAGACGACAGGAACAATATTTCGGGTTATGGCGTCCGTGCTCCATTCTGCCTCTCAGAATTCGACCTGACGGCATTCAACCTGTCCGGATGCGACCCGTCTACATTCAGCCAGTCTGCATTCGACCAGTCCGACTTCGTTATGAGTACTCCGGGCCAGGGATTGAGAAGAGGCATGGGTCATGTGTTTCCCACCAAGTTCGTCCCGCCGTCGACTGATATTACACCTGATGAGTTGTTCACCGGCAGGAGGAACCATATACAAGTAACCAGGTACGTGATGCAACGCGGAGTGGAGAGGGTCGTATTGAAAATTTTGATTCGTTAACAATCAGTAATTTACCAGGTTCACCCTCCCCAACGACCCCGGTACAGGCCTGATCCGAACCGACGGGGCCTGCCTCAACAACGGCCAACCCAACCCCACCGCCGGCTGGGCTTTCTTCCACGGGATGGACGCCTCGGGCAGGCAACTCACGGCCGGCCACCGCTTGGAGAAGAAAGGCCCCTTCGGCGACGACGCCTTCCAGACCAGCAACCGAGCCGAGCTCCGCGCTGCGATTGCCGCCCTGCGATTCCGGCACTGGCCCGGCGAAGGGTTCGAATGTCTCGTCATTGCGACCGATTCGGAGTATGTGGTGGAAGGGGCCACCAGCTGGGCGAGGAAGTGGTTCCGCAACGGCTGGCGGACGCGTGCTGGGCCGGTGAAGAACAAGGATCTGTGGGAGGTTTTATTGGGGGACGTGGAGCGGTTTAATGGTGATTATGGGATGGCGGTGGAGTTCTGGAGGATCCCGAGGGAGTGCAACACGGTTGCGGATGCTGCTGCGAAGGATGCGGCCGCCCTGGAGGAGACACTGGAGCAGTGGACGGAGATGATGGGGTTGAATTGCTGATTGGTTTTGCTGTGTGCTACGGGAGGGTTGTGTTTGTTCTTGCTGCGGGTATCCCACGCTTGCAGCTTTTCATCTATCGACTGGATTAGAACCTGCTATGTTTGTCGGAAGTACCTGCGAGTTCCTCACAGATCGCTAGCCATGATAACCCTATAAGGCGATATATACCGTACCGCGTTATTTATTACTTCCCGTTATGCCTTCGTAATTATGGTTGTGCTCTGCTTGTCCTGTCTAAACCAACTTCAACAGATACCAAATAAATAAATCAGTAGCAAGGGGATGGCCAGCTCCAGGAACACAAAAGATGGTCACCTTTAACTTAGGCTTTCTGTCTCCCTGTGTAGACGCCTAGCCTATTTTCTAGACAAGCCATAGTTTGGGCCATTATTCTGAGAACGAAGTACCAGCGGAACCTAGTTTAGGTCTAATTTTTGAGAACCGCGGGAAGAAACCAAAATGATGAAGCACAGACAATATTGAATAGGCATAACTAAGGCACTAGTCACATATTAATTTCCTGACCCACACACCAGCCACCAACCTTACACTATACCATCCAATAACACCATTCACCCTTTCCCTCTCTCCCTCTCTTGCCTCTGGACCTCCTCCCGGAATACATTTCGTCCAATTCCGGGCGAAGAACCGCCCCGATCCGTCAACTCGACCCCTCCAGCGCCAACACCACCATCCACCCCTGATTTCCCGTTCCAGTTCTGCTCCCCTTCCCCTAGCCTTGCTATTCCCCGGCTCACCTGACCCCGACGTCGACCAAGGAGGACCGGACTAACAGCAATACCGACACACGGCAGATGGCCACCGTTACGTCGGGCGGAGAGGACGCAATATGTGAACGTTGCGATGCAGAGAATGACTAGCAGCACGGGAAGGAGGATCTGGAGGAGGAGGTTGTGCGGGTTCTTGCTGGACTCTTCTCCTTTTTCTTCTTGGGAGGTGGGCGTGAGGTAGACTGTGGGACCGATGCGGAGGGTTGTATCTGAGATATCGTTGGGGTCTGTGGATGTTACGAAGGTGGGTTTGTTAGATGGGTTGGAGTTAGAGTCGGAGTCAGGGTTGGTATTAGAAGAATGGTAGGATAGGGCAAAAGTGAGAGTCAGGGACTGGTCAACGGGGATGTTGTGGGTTGTGAGAAAGTCGGGGGGGATCGGCCAGGGGTAGAAGCCGGTGGAGGAGGACAGAGAGGGGATGGAGAGACCGGGGGTGCCGAGGGTGTCGTTGATGGGGTCTGTGTCTGTCTCTGTGTCGGTGTTTCTGGATGGGTCGAAAGAGGAGTTGGTGAAGAAGATTTGGAGGGTGAGTTGGGTTTCGGGGGGGAAGTAGCTCGGGGACCAGGTTACTGTTGTTGTCAGTAATCACTATACATCAAACCCATCTAAATCCAGAGGGTGGTAACAACAGTGAGAGAGAGAAGAGAGACACACTGTAATACGTCCTCCCCGGAAACAACCGACTCCCCCCACGCGGCAAACAAAACGGCTCAACCACCCCAACATTCGCTTCCGGTCCACACGCCGGAAATACACCCGCCAAACTACCCTCTTCAGCCCCTGTCGCCGTCGCTACGGGGGGTAAACCGGTGTACGTCGAGGGTTGACCCGTGCCGGGCGAGAAGGTATATGTAGTCGTGTACAACAGATTGTCGGGCGCGGCGGAGATTGTGGTGAGATGGCCTTCGGTGGTGATCACGGCGGGTGTGATGGTCGTGGCGGAACCGTGGACATCGACGGTTACCCAGGGGACCGGGAAGGGTGAGTCGGTTGTGGCTGGGAGGGCGAGGGAGAGAGGTGACAAGGTCAGGAGGAAAAGGAGTAGCATGGTGTCTCACTGGTGGTTATCAGTGGTGTTGTGGGAGCCGGTGTTAATGAGTGGTGGATTGGAGTATGGGGCGAGTGATGCTGAAATGAAATGAGAAATGAGATGTGCTGCGATGTCGCGATATCACACCACTCGCCTTCTTACACCCTCAGTCCAAAAGCGATTTCACAGAACATGATCACACAACAGGATCACACAAGATCCCAACCTTATCAAACGGCCGAACCGCATTTCATTAATACCCATCTAACTTTCACCCATCAAAAATAGCGGGGTTGATTCCGTTCCTTTGCTATCTGGTTCCAAGAAGCATTGCCTTGCTCCCACTGGCCACCCGATATCGCATTATTGCCTGCTTCTGCCGCGACTGATTGGCGGGACGTTCAGTGCGGGGAACAGCGGGCGCCTGGGAGAAGGGGACGGGAAAGCGGGAGATGCGCAGACCTTTTGTTCGGACCTGGGGAGAGGCTGGTTCCCTCGTGTTATTGCATTTTTAACAACGGGGTGGTTGAAGATGGATAGACAGATAGACTGATAAAGCAGTAAACCGAAGCTCGACAACGGCCGAGCCGCCTCACTCCCCAGCAGCGCCATTGTCCATCTTGTAGTTAATATATCCGCACTTTTCGGTAATTATCGCTCCTCACATATGTTCAGTCATAACTGCACACAACAAAGTACACAACCCAACTTTATTACTCCAGCCGGTGACCAGCCGCGGCCACCCCTAGTTAGTCTTCAATAATCTACACAAGATACACAAAGCAAACCCCCCCAAAAAGCGAGCGCGAGCGTGAGCTCTACTAGCCTCCATCATCATCCCAGTCATGCTATAAACAACCCTAACCCTCGAAAACCCCCCTTTTCCGATCCCTATTAACGCAGGCAAGATGTTTCGCCAAATCACCGCCAACCAGCCACCGTCTTTGCAAATTACATGTACCTCCGCCTGCCCTGCTTTGACCAGCCTGGGGCCCCAGTCTTGTTTATAGTGGTGTACAAATATGTTAGGAAATAGATAAGTGAGTAAGTGATTGCACTGCTGCCTCTGCCCCGTTTTAGCTTTGCGCCGCGCTGGTGTGATGATTATTCAAAAGTAAACACAAAGGAAACATATGAATAACGATTTGATCCGCGGGATTTGCCCTCGCGGTATATTTTGCTGTTGAGCCGGCTTTCTCACCACCCACTCTCCGTAGGCGGCTTATACAACCCAACCGCGCTCAACCGCACCTGCTGCTTCGTCTGTTTCGTTGCCCGTCCCGACCCCGACCCCGGCGTTGGGAAATCACACGGCGAAATCGGTGAATCAGGCCGCGGAACCCCGAAGTCACCCTCAAGGTCTAGAACCCGCTCCAGTTCGTCATCATCATCCTCGTCCTCCTCTGGGTCCTCCAGAATCCGCAGCGGGAGCAGATCCTTGTGCGATAGCGACAATGGGGAAGACGGCCCCGAGACAGCAGGGCTGAATTGTCCTGTGGTCAACCGCAGCGGGTTGGTTTCGGCCTTGCTGCGCTGCGAGAGACGAGACGAGGGCAAGGGCGTGGTCCCCCCTGTAGCGCCACGTTGCGGCTGCCGGGCTGGCACAGAGCGCGGGCTGCTGGTGGAACTGGCCCTGCTGTCGTTGCGCTCGAGGTTGCCGCTCGTGCTGGTGGTGATGCTGCTGCTGTCGTCGTGGTGGTGGATGAAATCGCTGATGTCGGACCCGGGTGTGCGGATGGACGGGTCAAAGGGAGATCGGTCGATGACGACGCGTAGGAGATCGGCCTTGCCCGACTTCTCGCTTCGGGATTTGGGCTTAGGCTTGGGCTTGGACGGCAGCTGAGACGGGGGTGGGAACCTGGGGATCTCGGGCGGCCGGGCGCTCAGGGTGCCTTTGGGCTGGCGCATCGTGCTGGTGGAGGAGTGCCGTGTCATGCTGCCTGATGTGCCGAAGCTGTCATTGGTCAAGACCCGCCGGAGTTCGTGGTGGTCTTCCGGCTCCATGTCGCCTTCAAACTCAGCAATGATATCCTCGTGGATCATCCGGGCGCGCTTCATGCGCAGCGCGGCGAGCAGCAGTTCCTCCTGCTTGGTGACCGCCATGAACCGTCCACTACCCCCGTCGTGGAGGCTGTTAGTCGCACTCCCGCGGCGTCCGCCATTGGGCGCGCTGCCCATGCTGGTGCCGCTGCGAATCGACCCGTTGTCGCCCGCCGCGTACCGTTGGCCGTTGCTGTAAAAGTCGGCGCTCGTGGGGGATGGGAATGACTGCTCCGACAGTCTCGAACCGGGCGCCGAGCGCGAAGCTGAAGTTCGGATGCTGGGTGGTGCCGGAAAGTCGAGAAGCGACTCGCTGCGCATCTTCTTGGGTCCCTTGATCGCCGGGCCTGGGCCTGGGCTGGGGCCGACGGTTCGAGGGCCTGAGACGGTACAGTCCGTCGACGTGGTGTTGATGGACAGCCGCGAGGAGTCCAGTGTTGCTTTGGCTCTGGCGATACCCGGCGCGGGTGCTGACTTGGCATGTAGCGAGCTCGTCCGCGGCGCAATCCGGAGCCCGTTCGGTCCTACGCCGACCGAACTGTCGTGGAAGCCGAGCTGCCCGCCAGCTCCATGTCCGTTGCGTTTGACCGGGTTTCCGCGAGCACCCCCATCGTACAGACCGCTGCGGGGTGGATACCCCGGAGATTGCGGGCTTGTTGGGCTGGCCTGCCCGTCGTTGGATGTCGGTACAGCTAGCGAGTCTCGGGACGACAGCTCGTAGTCGTCTTCTGAGTCGGATGAGAGCGCGAGAACGCTGTTCTGGAGCAAGTCGATCTCTTGCATGCTCCGGTCCGTTCGCCGCGAGGCCTTGGACGTTCTAGTGTGTCGGCTCGAGACACTCGCACAATCTGCGGGAACTGCGTTGGTGGACATGCCGGCCCCTGACGGCCGTCGGTCAGCATTCATTAGAGGCGAAGGCTTTGGTCCTGGACCGGGTCGCACCGCGGTGCCGGGGAATGGCGCGAGCAGAGATTTCCCTGGTGGCGGACCTGGTGGTGTGGGAAGGGGATAATTGGGTGGTGGACTCGGTAATGGTGGTTCAACAGCAAAGGCGCAACGTGGGGGTTCTTCCATTTTCTCATCCACGAACGTCCTGCGCTCGTAGTGATCGTATAGGTTGTACAAATCGAGACTGGTCTTCGTTTGCTGCGGTACCCCTGCGTTGGTCACTTCCTGTGCCGGCTCGTACACAGTGGGAACTTGGGGCTGAGCTGGTGGTTCCCGCATCGACTCCCTCGTGACTATCTTCCGGAGGCTCCTCCGCTCTGGCCGTTGTTGAACCGGCGGGGGAAGTGGTGAGGTAGGCATGGACACCGGCGAGAGGGCCAAGCTGGACGCGTCGCGAGTGTTTGCGTCCGGCTGAAGGTGCTTGGGCGACTTGCTTCGCCCTAGCAAGGCCGAAAGGTCGAGTCTCGAGGGCTTCTTCTTCGCGCGCTTCGCCTGCGCGGTCGCTTCTGTGATCTCATTGTCCATGTCGAGTAACGCCATCGCCTTCGGCGGCAGTCCCTTGGCCATGGCCGAGTTGGAAGTTTGTTGCGATATCGAAAGTGGCTGCTTGGATTTGTCGTAATACGAGGTGATGGTGGAACTTGACTGGCGCCGCCGTAAACTCGAGGCATCCGTGACCCCGTCCGGGCCCAATGACCCTCCCAATAGTTCAGGTTGCCGATTCAGCACCGCAGGAATGATCTCCGACTCCTGCTCCCATCTTCGATCCTGCAATGTTTTCGGCGCAGCCCAGCCTTCTGAGCTTGCGCCATGTCTGCCGGTCCCGTCAGTTGTTTCCGTCACAGCGATGCTGATCCCCGCTGTTGATTGCCCTTCCCACCCCGGTATCGGTCGTGTGTCGAGTGTAATCTCGGCCGTTCCGAGTATTTTTTGCGCCTTCGTCGTCAAGGGGCCGGGCACTGTCGGGGCCGGTGCTGCCTTCGACTTGCGGCCGGGAAGAGGGAAAATGAATTTCGACGAATGACCCATCGCGGGCGACTCGGCCCAGCCGTTCGTCTGTGACAAACAAGTTTGGTCAAGATCGGGTTACCGAGAAGAAAACGCCGCTGTGTCCGGGTTCGAAGTGCCGTGGTCGTCGCATTGGCGTCGGCGAGGGATGTGAGGAAGAAATAATAATACACGGTAGAAAGTTTCAGAAGGGGAACCAAGGACGCGTGATCCCTTCCGCGGTGTCAGTGATGCCCCAGCAGCCAGCGGCGGGAATTCCGTCTTGATTTTATTTTTCTTGTTATCGCATAAAGAGTCAAGGATGCAAGCGATGCGAGGAAGGTCGAGTCAATCGAGCTCGAAGTGGCCGGTTCTTGGTTTCGTTCTTTGTTCCTCCCTGCTAGTGTCTTTCGTCAAGCGATGGAGCGCAGGATTTTGCAAGTTCGTCCCAACGGTTCTGTGGTCATTTCCCTCTACAAGGAACCGCCCGGTCGCGCGCGACACTGCAGACGGGATCCCGCGTCTTATTAAACTCTGTCCAGCTCCGCGGGAGCGATGGTTTCCCACGGCAAACCAAACCACATCTTGGCCGCTGTCCCTTGGCCACGCATATGCGGACAGGGGTCCCCCAGCGCCGGCAATCAGCAGCACCCCTGAACGTTACAGCGTCCTCCACCCCCCTAGACTTCGAGTGAAGGGTGCAATTTTGGTCGCCCACAAACCGGATCGTCCAGGCCGAAAAGGGAGACTCGAAGATGGGATCTCGGATCCTCCGCCGGGCCGTCTCGCAGGCTAGGCTCGATGTCGCATGTCGATATCTCTCCATGATTCCTCACGTCGCCACCTCCGCATCGCGAGTCCGCGTCATGTTCGTCCGCGAGCGAGAAGTGGGGGGGGGGGAACCAGCTTCCCAACCCGGGGGTGTCAGTCGTGCCACTGGACCCGAAGCCGAGCCTTGACCTTTTGTTGTGGGCCGGCCGAACCGCTGGGTCCGGCGCAGTCCGCAGGGATGAGACAGCTCCATCGTGAACACCATGCGTGAAATGATCGTATCGGGCTTTCGGGGGGCTCATGGGGTCATCCGATGGGCCGATCGGGTCCGGGAAAGAAGATCAAGAATATAACGTGAACTATTGACCAGGATGGAACTACTGGCTGTGAATCGCCGATATCCGCAGCGCTGGTGTTGATAATGTGAGACCGTCGTGCGTCGAGGATCTGGAAGAGCACAGTGGCCGATTGCAGGAGGAAACGTTGATCATCGTGTCTCATTCCAGCGTGGCGGGCCTGCTTGCAACCGTGTTGCACCGCACAGAACCGCAGAAGACAGAACGAAACGGCCCCGATGAAAGCGAACACGAATCACCCTGGAGTTTCGCAACCACGGGTTGCGAGTAGCACGGCTGCTTCCTCGAACCATTCACAGAGCACAGCCTTGAAACGCAGCAACGGGACGACTACGTGTAATCTCGAGCGTCTGGTGTCTACCGGAAATCGACCAGCGATCGCCAGCGGCAAGAGAGAAACACGATCCCCGGATTTTCGCAGCCGTTTTCGTCCTGGACAACCCACACGCTCGGGTCATGTGGTTGAATACCGAGTGTGTTTTTATGTGGCGTAAAATTAAAGTCGCAAAACTTGTGGGAATTGTTGTAATTGTTAAGACAAAACGCCGGACGCAGTGATGCCAACTCATCTCGAGCGCAAGGGCCAGGCCTCGAGGCCGTCCGATGGTTTCCTCATTTCAAGAAAAAAGCTCTCATGAGGGTTTGCTCCTTCCCGCTTTGGAGGGCCGGAGGCTCTGATTGGATAAGCCATTTAATGAATACCATGCACCTCGAAAGGCCGCTCCTTCCAGCTTCAAAATTCCTGTCCGCTGACAAAGACCAATTCTGCGCTTCGGTTCCTCCTAGAAACGCAGAAAAAAAGTGTTCAGTCTCCCAACGAAACAAAACACAAAGCGCCCCTCGACAGCCACTGGCCCATCTGACCGAAAGTCCTGGGGTTGTGTTTGAAACGCCATCGACGTCCCCGAGATGACGCTAACGTCAAGTCTGAAAATTACCGAATGATCGACGATCCAACCGGACCGGGGCCAGCTGGAAGAACAAATGCGTGAATTTCGGCCCCACACGATCCGGCGCTTTGTCAAAACCACTGAGGGTCGCAGCACTGCCAGGCACTTGGCAAACCAGGAGCGACTGTAATGGGCCGACCCTCCGCGCGTTCATTTCGCTTTGTCGACGATCAGAACACCTGGGCAGAGTCGCGATGCAACCCGTCCTAGTCTACGGGCCTCGCTTCCCATTTCCCAGGCAAGCCAGGCTCTGTGCAAAGGACCCCCAAATGAGACTCTCACCTTCGCTTCCCCGCCCGGGAAAAAAGAGCACCTCATGAGCCCTCACAGCGGCAAAGTTTGGTGGACCAATCTCCGTTCGCCGTCGGCGCCCAACGCGACCCAGCTCGGCGTCGTCTCTCCGGCGGCGATGATTCACTGCATTTCGGGAATTGCCATGTTTTGATGCACGTGTTGTGTAGGCCACCATTTGCACTGCAAGGGGCCACGAGGACAGCGACAAACGCCCACGTTCGTTGAAGGGACAGATGGTTGTAACATAGTAGCCGCGACAAGAAACACGCCAGAAACAGGCCAAGTCAGTCACGCTCGTTCCCGCGAACGGGCATAATTCCGTGAAGGAGGGTATATCACTGGTGTCATTTGTTCCAATGAAATAGCACGATTCATGCAATTTCTGGCGGTCGCGAGAGAAAAAAAAAAACATCATTTCATGGCCCACCTCTCCAGAACTGTCGTCGCCGAATGCACACGAGAGCATGTGCAGCGTACCAAACCGACAGGGAAGCATGACGGAACCCGATCTGTCCGTCCACGAAGACGGGATTGGGACCCCGTGGACGAGCCGGAGATGAACCCCGGCGGGGCCGATGTGCGGTGCATGGGTCTGGCAATCAGCCGCTCCCTTGTGAACATCATTCTCTCCGGCCTGGGGGCAGTCCGGGGCCGATTGGAAGGCTGTCAGGGTGAAATGCTATATCTGGACACCTGGACTTGGATCCGATCACGCGCAGGTTCTTTTTTTGCGCTGCTGTCACGAAGCCCGTCACTATCCCGGCACAAAGGCCCTATAACACGCCCTCTATGCCGTCTCGGCACCGGGATGACACAACCCCTAGGGTTAACTTGGATTCCACAATGGGCATTCACGTCGTCTACTTTTCGGGCCTCGAACAACCCTCGTATCGCATAACGTGCAATTACTCATTCCGCAAGTCAACGGCGTTATCCGTGGGAGCGCCAGGAAGATAGCGAGGCAGGAGGCTTAGAGGGAGCTGGCTTTGTTAAGGCATACAGGGGTGTTTGTAAACTGTGTTTGTTGTCTTCCGGTCTACATCTCGTCAATCTGTAACAGCTATGCGTAACACGCTGCCGCGCGTGTTCCCGTCGTTTTCTAACCGAAACTGCTATCAAGCGCTTGAACGCATCATCAACACGAATGAATAATTATGGTGCGTCTTCTTGATCGGAGCTCCTTGTCTGTTTCCAAACCCTCTCGGCAAACGATAAGCAGTCGTGATATTAGAGGCCAATATGCCACCATATAAATGCTCATCTTCTTTCTCCCGAACTTCCCAAGCCCCATATGTCCGCATGAATTTTTATTTTCCGACGTCCAACCCTCAGCAGGGATTCTGTGAGTCAAATATAGACTCAGCCCCGGATGGTGGGCTATATCAGCCGGACTATGGACTCCTACTTAACCCTGGTGATAACGACACCGACCAACCACAAGCCGAAACCACGCCCACCAATGACTCCTACTTGTCCAACCACTTTCACTTATGAGAATGACCCCGGCCATGGTACGTCAACGGTGACGAGGGCCTGGACGTCGACAAACCAACCGATGCGTCCGGTGACAACCGGCCCCCTGCTCCTCTTTCCAGTTCACTAGCAACAGCGTGACCCGCCCCAGGAACACCAAGCGACGGCGCTGGGGGGTCGGTATTCAAGTCGATCACTATTGAACTGGGAACGGCATGGGAAAGCGGCGAGGTGCTGCCCACGATGGTTGTCGTCTCGTACTCGGCGATGGTGATGGGTGGTGGTCGGGCGCGTTTGCGCTCGGGTAGGCTGTAGAGGTAGGTCGCGGTCAAGACGAGGATTGTGCCGACGGCGAACTGGCAGTGAAGGATAGTGAGTAGGTAAGCCTGCGCTCGATGGAGCAAAGGGATGGGGGACGTACGGAGAGGTTGACGTGAAAGTCGAGGAATAAAACACTAAAGAGGAAACTGATAACAACACCCAGACTCGTGGCAAAGTTCTTGGCGAGGTTGTCTGCATAGTTAATGCACATCGACGCCAAGATCCCCCCAACAGCCTGGACAACAATCGCCATCCAGACGACCGCATTGTACCCATCGAAGAACCCATGCCCAACAATCTCAGTCCCATCCCTACCAATCACACCAATGAACAGCGCCGGGAACAGCGAGTAAAATGACAGCTGGACATTGCGCGTCCATACCGACACCGGCCCAGTCTTGGATGACGCAGCCTTGGACTTGAGCACTTTCTCAAAATACACCCCCGCCAACCCCGATATCACAGCCGCCATTAACACCGCGGCCAGTCCCATGGGGTAATTCATCCCTGCCACCCTCGCGGCACTATCCAGATCCTCCGCGATACCCTCGTACGATGCCGACCGCCGCGTGATCTGCCCTCGCGCAACAACGGCTGCTGGTTGGCCGCCGCTCCTAGGGGACATGACCTGGCCCAGTTCGTGGACAGAGCGTGGGAAGAAGTGGTTGTTGAAGTCGTGGATGTCGAGGGTGATGTCCTTGGGGTTGTTGAAAGAGGGCAGGGAGACGAGGGAGACGCCAATGGTGAGGAGGACGAAGGAGAGCCAACGGCGGATGCTGAGGGTGCGGCCGAGTAGGAGGACCGTGAAGACTGCTGTTGTGAGGATCTGGGGACTGTGTTAACATCCGGGCCCATGGTTTCGGGGTTGGATGGTGGTATGTGATTTTGCCCACCTTTAAGTGATACAACACCTGAAAATGCACCGCATCCAAGTTACTTAACGCCGTGTACTGCAGCGTGTTCTCCAGTGTGTACAACACCGCCGGGAGAGCCAGCTTCCACCCGTCCCCCGAAAACACCTGGTGATAGACCTGCTCGAACAACACCGTCACGGGGGTCTGGGGGCCTAGGGTGCGCGAGGCCTCGTGCAGTGAAAAGGTAAGGGATATTGCCAGTTTTATGATCTCGTTGAGAAGTACAGCGGTTGAAGCAAAATACTGGTGGTCGCCGGGCGGGGTCATGATACGGGAGTAGTACATGATCTGAGGGCGAGGTTGTTAGTCGACGCTGATAAGTGAGGAAGGGGTGGTTGTACATACCAAAATGAGCACCGAAATTTGTATCATTAACTATTTTGTTCCCCAGGTTAGCAACTCAACGACTCTCTCTGCAAGGTCCAGGGCATGCTCATACGGCGAGAAACGAAGCCTGCTTCATCGGCATGCCGAGTAGCATTGGCCCTACCGCAATCATAGGACTGTAGCGAGCCATGATGCGCGCGGTGATTCCAAGTCTCACGAGGCGTGCGTCAACTACCGAAATCCCGGTTGATGTTGCAAAGTCGAAATTGAAATGCCACGGCCGCAGGGCCATCAGCCCCGGGGTGCAAATTGTGCCCTGGCTCAGGCGGTCGGTCCGAGCATCACTCTCATCAAAATTGTTTGGACTGTAATCAGTGCACTGTCAGTTTCGCGTGGTGACCCAGCCCTCAGGGTGCGCCGAGTTATCATGCAGCTGCTCCTTCAGGGGTAACTATCTAAACCATCAAGCACATCAAACGGTACCGATTTCTGTTTCTTTTTTTTAAAAGAAAATAATACTGCGGTCAAACGAAGGCTACGAAAGGCAATCTTGGGATGCGCTCAACTTCAACTGAGGTCTCGAGGGAGTGGAGGGGTGTGGATGCCCAGAATCGAGTCAAAGCACTATCAGAGGCCGGTCTGTAATCATCAATGTTCAAGGGAAATTGATATTGTCAAACTCGGACCCACAAGCAGGTCCACCGTAGTCCAACTGCACAGCATAAACGACGGGAGGATATTACCCATCGCTTTAGGTATTAATTCAACATCGTATTCCCACGCATTCCAATCTGTGATGCACACGCCGTCCCAAAACGCCAACACAACGACACAAGAATTTGCAATTTCACCCTGAGACTCTTGCTCTGTGCCCGCTCAACGAGCAGGCGGCGCATTGTTCTGAATCTTTTCCGCCGCATGAGTTTTGTCCGACCCGTACAACGCATACACCCCGCCCAGCCCGAGCACACCAAGCGCCGCGTATCTATATCAACCCCAAGTCAGTAACGGTACTTGATCAACCACATCGGCCGCGTTCCTCTTTCTTTTGTCTTTATTTGGCGATATGTGTACAGTGATACGCAACTTACATCAATTTCTTATTGGGATCCGTCCCATCCTTGTTGTACGTCTTGGCCGTGCCCTTCTCACCGACCTCGTCTGCGGGGTTAAAACCCGACCCTGTGCTAGCGACGCGGGACTGTGTAGGAATGCGGAAGCGCGGTGCTGTGGTTGTTTGTCGGACGAGGATCCCCCGATGCAGGGTCCTGCGAATGATGGTCTGTGGGAGCTTCATGGGGATAACGGTGGGTTTTGGTTTTATTGTATTTCTCTTTGCTCTATGTTAAGGTGTACGTTAGAGATTGCGAGAGATATTTAACACTCGACCAGCTAGCTGCAATATGGGAAAATGCGGTGTTGAGCTAGGATGATTGAAGATGTGCTTAATTTACATGGTTGATGTGGTGGTTGCATGACATCACCATCTTCCCAGTGACGTGACGAAACATAACCTACTGGCTTAAATATCGGGACCATGATTACGGAGGGAAGATATTGATTATAATTGGCCTGCGAGTCTTAATTAACTCCAGTAGAATGAATTCTGTTATCATCATGGCAACTGTCATTGAAAGCACGTGTGTGTACTAGACTCAAAAATCTGTACAAATCCAAACGTATTTTGTGCAACTAAAATTCATCCCATGGGTTACTTGGCGGGCTTCCGTTCCGTCGGTAATCAGGGCTAGGCGGACGTTGAGAGCTAGACTCCTCTTGTGGCTCTAAGGTATCATCCACACCATTCTCCTCCTCCCATTCTAGAGCTTCCAACCTTCTCAACGCTGATTTCCGATCAGACGCCCGGGATCGTGAGGCACTCAAGTCATCTAGAGTGGGATAATCCTTGTGGTTCCACACATCTTTCAACCTTATGTCCCATTCGTCGTCGTCTAGTTCGCGGCGGTCCCATAGGTCGCGATAAATCCCAGTGGTCCGGGTTAGCTCCTCAGGGTCAACACGCACCAGGTTGTTGCGATCAATCAAGATCGGGAGGGAAATGTCAAGGGGTGGTGGTGTATCGCCGAGACAGAAGTCAAACAGGGCCTGACGTTGTTTGGGCAGGAGTTGAACGATCCGATATGTTTGATCCTTACGATCCGGATGGAAGTAGACGGCCTCTGGGTCGACTCCGGATTCCACATCTGGATTACGGCGATCAAAGAGCACAACACCCCCAAAGATGCGCGATTCGGCCCAGTACCCCGCCATGTCGGCCGCGCCTCTCGGGTATTGCTTGTGATTTGTGTACCAGGGGTGGCGGAAAATGGTGGGGGGCGGTCCATCTGGGTAGAACCCCCAGTACCTTTCGTTGGATTTCGGCGGGGCCCAATTCGCAATGCCGTCGTTCTTGTGAATGCTGATGTCAAGGTCGAAAAGGATTGCAGCGATCTGATGCACTGCAACGGCAACCATCTCGAGAAACCGAATCTTGAAGCCCCTCGAACCGGGAGAACAAATACGGTATCCGTGGTGAAGCTATAGAAATAAGCGTTAATAATGATCTGTCAAGAAACCTTTCGATCACAAGGCTGCAACACGTCGTTGTCTTTACAGCTGTCTGTTCCGCTTACCTTAGCCTCAAAGACAAGGGTACCAAGGTCAAACGAGTCGCGAAGCTCTCTTGTTTTCTCAAGAATGCCTGGGCAAATATCTTCATGCACCCCGTCGTTGAGAATCGGGTGACCTCCGTAGGGCGGGACGCGGGAGTCCCATATCACGTTCGCTATCGGCAGGCCGTCAACGATCTGCGCATAGGTGACCTCGGCGATCTCAGTAGAAAGAATCCGGCCAAGGGCGCGGACGAGTAGCCGCCGATGTTCTCCAGCGAGTTCTGCGAGGGAGACCTGCTTGAGCGGTTCAGACGGCAACTCGGTGCGCTGTGTCGGCGTCGATTCTTGTGGCGACGGCGGAACTGGTGATGGTGATTGCCCCATTGTTGAGAAAGATCAGATAATTACGAAACCCGAATAAGTCGGGCGTCGCGTTGAACGGAAGAGTCAAATTTGAACGTATTGCAAAGGGATCCAGAAAGGTGAGAAATCGAAGAAGCGTAAAACTCAAGCAATTACAGCGGAAGCGCGAGCTGTTGCAGGTAGGGGACGTGAGGTGCTGGGTCGGCCTGGTCGGCCAGGGGCGCCCTGAACCCCGCTTGCCGCCCTTGGAGTATTCTGGGCGCCTGAGAACTTGGTTGCAAAGCCTCAACTGTAACCGCGGAGAGGCCGCAGCAAGCTCGCCATGGGCCTTGAAAAACCGGCCGATCCACAATGAATTAGTGTATAACGGTCGCAATCCCCATTCACACAGTGTTGACGGGATTCCGTCCAGACAAAAATGTATTCGCGATCTTTTGTTTAGCGCTTCGAACGTGGATCCTAGCCCCTTTTGGTTTGCGGCGGCAAAATCCTGTGCTATGCACGGGCTTTACAAGGTGGGTCTCCATTTGGCGTGTGTGCCTATGTGATGCCGGTTTGAGCAAAGAAAGAAAAGAAAGAAAAGAAAGAAAAGAAAGAAAAGAAAGAAAAGAAAGAAAAGAAAACTATATTCCAATCAGTCGTATATTATATATAGCTAAACTGTTGTCCGTTCGTTAGAATCTAGGTAGGAGGAACAATCAATAGCTATAAGGGATTAATGTACTCTAGTGAGAGCCTTCATATCGTTAAATGTCATAGTAGTTGTCGAAGTGCAGCTCTAATTCTATATTTCTAAGACACGATTAATCACTATATATATTGGAGAAGTGACGAAGAAACGCTTGGTTTCATTTACAAGGGTAAACCTTCAAAATTTCTCGAGGAGCAATTGGATGACAGACGCAAAACTACATGCTGTGGGCGCCATTGTGACAAAAATAAGGTATGTACAAGATCAAAAAAGGCACAAGATCGCCAGTGCTCCTTCTTTTGGGGGCCGATGGCGCTTCCCTTTTTCGTGTTGCGTGCCCGGTGTATTACAACGCGTTCGCCCTTCCAAACTTTCGTTCCAGTCACAATCTCGCAACCACCAACCTCACAACCGCCAACCTTGTAACTCTCAGCCCCGCAACTACCCACTTTCCCTTTCCACTTACTGGGGCGGGTCGGAAGCGGTGGCACAGCTAGGGATATCTGAGCAACACGTCGTTACCGCCGTATGGTCCTCGGTGGTGGCATCATGCACTCCATCACGACCTGGCCGTAAGGCTATCGTGGCCCGATCTTTCGGGCGGTTCAAATCCCATCACGAAAAAATTGATGTGGTTGGGTTAGGAAGCGCTTCGACCGTGGTTGTTTTCACGCCGGGACTAGCGGTAAGGCAAAAGCTGAAAGTCTGAAACCGTTCATAGGCTTGCATCCTCTCACTATGCTAAGAATATCCCATCGTCAAACTCCATGGTTGGGGTCTTGATCCGTTAGCGCCCGGTAAGGCCAGGAAACTGGCAAGAATCCGTGAATCCGTGATGTCCAAGGGTGAAATTGCCGCTGAATTTTACATGCATCGGGCACGGTGCGAATTGTGAGGAGTCCGTCGATCTGACTGCGCCGGAAATGTGACGATATGATTTGCCCAGACTTTTCTTCGAGTGGGGCCATCGGTCTTGATCCTTAACTAAGGCGCCTTCACGATTCTAATGATTCCTCTTAGACGCCAGGAGAACTCTGTTGGCACCAGGTTGCGCCAAAACCGAGCCCTTGTTATGGCGTGTCCAATGGATTATGCCATCATTGATCAAGGGGCCTTGACGAGTAACTTATCCAGATTCCAAATGGCCTCTCTAGCCGGTTTTAGCAGCCGCGGGGGTGGGCTCCCTGTTCTGCGACCGAGGCGCCTAGCGTACCGCTGGCGCAGCTGTAGTTGGACTCGTGTATCTAGGGGAAATCAATGGACTCGAGATGCAAGAGTCTAGTATCGTCAAAGGCCGACGGGGGGTCTGGACTTCCTCGAGTATAAGAATCCTGGAGGGGGCACAAATAATGGAAGCAACTATTGAAGCATCAGCCCATCGCAACCTCCTCACACCTTCAAACATCCTAGCACTGCTGCTCATCCGCGCCTGCGTCACCTGCGTCGCCTGCGTGTGCCCATTATATTACCATTCCCATCTTTAATCCAAATACCGTTTGTCACTATTAGCCTTCACCATGGCTGCGCCCCCACCACCTCGTGTTGGAAACCTCAAAGTGGTTAAGGAAGAACGACAGGGCCGAGACTTCATCACTGTCGAACTTCCGATACACTCGACGCGGTATCGCATAATCGAAGCATTCATCCATTCGTCACTTTGTTTACTCGAAACCACAAAAGGCAGACAGAGCCTGGCCCACGTCGCCGAACGGATCATTGAAGAGCGCAACAGGTTGAATTTGACATTGTCAAGGTTCCGACAGCACACTCACCTGTACCGGTACCCGCTCAAAGACATGCCAATGTGGATTGACAGGTTCTTGATCAGCATGAGAAATACCTTCCCCCCCGTTTGGGTCTCAACCAGGTGTGAAGGCGAAGCGATGGCGGTTAAGGACGATCAAGACTGGGGCGATGATATGAGCACCTTCATTGCCAGCGACGCCGGCACCCTGTGGTTAAACGAAGTGCTCATTGACAACATGACAGAAGCTTTTTCACTGGCTACCCCGGTTGGCCGGGAGAGTTACGAGCTCTTCAAGTTTCAGCTGATCATCAGTGTGGCACACGAAATTGTGCACTTCCTCACCAGCTTCCTTACAGGAAGCTGTGAGCCAAGCACGCCGCCGGGCGTCGAAGCCTTGCCATACAAGGTGGATGGAGTTGGGGAGGCTGGGAGGTACTGGGAAGACGTTTTCTTAGGTGGGTTCCTCGAGTGCTGGTCAGATCCCAAGCACCCTCTAGACCTTCGACAACCCGGCCGGCCATATTTATTTGAGAGTGGGCCGCGGACCACCGCGCGCGGCATAAAGGTCTGCCCGACATATATTGCAGAGATTTTGAGCGGACGTGAGTGAGCCCCAAGTCCACTGCTCTTTTTAGCAATGTCAAACTAACCCTTCTCGACAAAGGATTTTCCTTCCCGATCCAGACCGTTCCCCAAAGTCCCGCCATGACCCGAAGGCAATTGGAACTCCAAGAAAAAGCACGGGAAACCACCGACCTCCGGAAGAAGATCTTGTCCAAAAAGCAAACCCGACCGTCGTCGCCAATGCGTGGGCTCGACTCGGCTGACACCGCTCGCTTCCGCGCCATTTGGAGGGGAAATAATCCTTTGTACGGTGGTTCTTATGGGCGTAGTGGCCCGTCTCAGCCACCTTTTCCTCGCCAGCCTTGGCCTCGTGGTTGAGTATGGTCTGGCATAACACTGTTGGTGTGGAGGATGTAAAATAAACAGGCCGCCCTGGGTTTTGAGGAGGATGTGGATTAGGATTGATAGTTTTGCATAGTTGGTACTTGTATTGCATTTATGTTCTCCTTTCCATTCTTGGTGCCATTGTAATTTATGTTGGGAGATCATACGCTGCAGTGTTCAACATTGACATGAGCAAGGGTGGGAAAGATCCTAACGTGAAGATAACCAACGCAGCGGTACATTCATTGACATGATACTCAGCCGACTATATCCACAATGGCTTAACAGTTTTACTATAACTACCGAAAGGAGTAACTAATTATATGTAACAGGGTGTTTAGATTGTACGATGATCCTTAACCAGGATTGTTTTTAGATACAAGGTAGACAAGAGGACAGGATACTCATGAAGATACTAGGAAAAAGAGTTGTTAAGTTATAGTTATAGAAATCCTATAACTAAGTTTCTGTTTGACATTTATTTAGCTTAACAATAATGTACATTATCTTACTTTGTACTGTTTCCTTTCTTTTCTTTCTTTTCTTTCAACGCAAAAAAGGAAAGATAACCCACTTGAAGAAAGTCTAAAGTACCTACCTAATCATGTCACATTTCTAACACAGTCAAATCGACCGACTACGCTACCTCGCAAGATGTACAACGCCGCTAGCAAGGGCTATACTGCAGCAACGATGTGTTGGCTGTAACTTCATTGTGAATGCTAGGGCGTCTGGTTTGCCCTCGGCGTTGAGTGAGAGTCATACGATGTTGTTGTGGTTATTGCTGTTTATGTTTAACATCCAGGGGGGCAGGGGGGGTTCGACGGTATGATACCTAGGGGTAGATACTTATTACAGTTGGGTGAAACCGTCTTTGGAGCACAACCTCAATCTTCTTGGCGGCCATTTCGCCGCCTTTCAGCACATCGTTTACTTCCTTGCGCAGCATGGACATGGCCATCGGGTTTTCCAACGCGAACAACTTGCCCTTTACCCAACTGATGTGTTTGGAGACGAGGAGCATGTTCTACATGTTGACCTAGCCCCCAGTTGCGGTCATGAGTCAATCGGCGGGGATGTCCAGTAGAGGCACAGTGTTAAGTCCAGCGGGAATTAGCCCTCGGTGAGACTGTCGAACTTATTGACTAGGTAGAGAAAAGAAAAGTTAGTTATAATATAAATCAAAACGAACGGCTAATGTTTCAGTGACATGTGACATCCGACTCATCGGAATGTGACCAAGTTGGGAGATGATTATTGCCACCGGAAAGTTCTTTCAACATTCATTCCCTGCCTTCATTCTCCGAATCAGAAGCCTCTGAGATGATTCCATACTTGCGACGCTGCGCCCGTCCCCTCGAAGCAATGTAATCCTCCGTGGTTGGATACTCTAGCCGATCCCATACCGTTATATACCTCCCGTCGCCCTGGTCTCGCCCGAGCTCCGCCCGCTCCCATGGATCTCGATAAATTCCCGTTTCCCGAATGGGCTCTTCCGGGTCTACACGGATGCGGTTGTTCTCATCGGGGAGGATTGAGAAGGGTGAGGCTGGGGCCGGGTCGTCGGCTAGCAAGAAATCCACAAACGCGCTCCGTTGATCGGGTAGTAGCTGGAAAATACGGTAGGTTATCTTTTGCCGATTTGGGTGTAAATAAATCGCGTTAGGATCAACCTCTGGGCCACCACCAGTTGGACTGCGCCGGTAGAACAACACAACGCCGCCGAAAATACGGGACTCGGCCCAATAGCCCACCATATCCGCAATTCCTCGGGGGTACTGCTGGTAATCTTTGTACTACGGGTGGTGGAATAGGGTGGGAAGGGGTCCGTTGGATTGGTGCCGCCAGTAACACTCGTCGGACTTGGGTGGCACCCAGTCAGTCACACCGTCGTCCTTATGCAAGCTGCTGTCTAGCTCGAAGAGAAGTGCGGCAATTTGATGAACAGCCACGGCTACTAACTCAACGAGGCGGGTTTGAAAGTCGCTTGAGTTTGGAGAAGAAGCCCGGTACGCCAGGATCAGCTATGGTATCCGCTGGTCAATTACACACACATCGCTGGAAGGGAGGGGCGAAGTCGGTACTGGACATACTTAGGAATTAAATCCTAGAGTGTCGAGTTGAAACTGACTTCGAAACTCGCGAACCTTGTCCACCATACCCGGGCACAGTTCGTCATGGACGGTACCAATAGGGTGGTCCCCATACGGTATTGCGAGGGAATCGTAAGCGACCTCCCCTGTGGGAAGGCCATCGAGAATTTGGGCAAAGGTAAATTCCGCAAGCTCCGTCGAAAGAAGACGGTTGATGGCACGGACTAGGAGGCGCTGATATTCGCCATCAAGGTCCGCCACGCCACACTCTCTTGAGGGAGGTGACTCGTCCGATCTAGGCCCTGGGTTCATTAAAGTCTTATCGGGTCCTTTTTCGTGATCCGCGGGTTGCGCCATAATGCTTGACCAAGACCGTGGTTCAGGGTAAGGAGTTGTACGAGAGTAAAGAAGGGTACAGTTAAGAATGGAGAATGTCAATTTAGGTAAGTTAATGAGAAGTTTCAATTATACATTCGCCCCCAAGGTTCCGCATACCACCTTGCTGCTGCTGTTCTTTCGTTTATTTCTTTTTTTTTCTTTCTCCCGATAGTAGATAACGACTAGAACAGCGAAGACAAGTTAACGCAACAAAAGAAAGATAACCCACTTGAAGAAAGTTTAAAGTACCTACGTAATCATGTCGTCACATTTCTAACACAGTTAAATCGACCGACTCTTCGACTTCGCACAGTGTACGACGCATCTTTGAGGTTGAAGCGCCCATATTACTCCGAATCTTCAGCTGCAATTTCACCCTTGGACATCACATATCCCACCTCAGCAATGGGGTTGGACGGTTAGGTAACTATTCTTAGCATACAGGATGCAAGTCTACCTACAGACTGTTTCAGGTTTTGCATTGCCGCCCGAGTCGGTGTTAAAACGACCAGCTGAACGCTTGAAGCGCTCGCTAACACAACCACTTCAATCTTTTTTTGACGGGATTTAACCGCCCAAGAGGTCGGGTCAACGATGGCCTTAACGACCGCCCGGTCGCAGCGGAGTGCATGAGGCCGCTATCAAGGACCATACCGCGGCACCCGGGCTGCCATGAATTTACTGTCAGTGCCGAACCGACCGATTTGTCTCGACTCTCGAGGCTCTGGAAGTCATGCCCACGAATCCCACCCGCGAACCAGCATATTAGCCAATTACTCCGACTCCTGTGAGTTTTGGCCCCCAACTCGATTGACGTCCAATTAAGATGGTGGAAAGGCTATTTTTGGCCCCCACATCGGGGCGGCGCACCGAAACAGTGAGGGCCTAATTTCGATCGAAATCCCAAGGCCGTTTGGATCACACAAAGTGGCTGGTTCGAAGCTTCATGATGTTACCGGGCGGGACACCTGGTCAACTTTCAAGTGCGTGGGAAGTCAAAAAGTTGAAGCATGGTCGAAAATAAATACCGGAATGAATGCCCGAATTTTAACTCCATAACCGGCAATCGACCCAGTTTTCCGGCTTCGGTGGGGGCGGCCGGCGTGGTCGATCCTCCCGGCCGAGGTAGGAGACGTCTAGTTCAGCTCGAGGAGCGGACTTCCCAATAAAAGCCAGAGGCCGCGAGGGATTGTGAAATGGATTTGTGGAAGGATTGTTCTGGGCGTCCTCCCACCACAGCCCCCTTTTCCTGAGATCAGGCCGTCTGAAGGGGGGCCGTCTGAAGTTCGGGCGACCGTACCATATGGGATAATTATAAGTTATGGTCGCTTCTTAAAAGTCGTTCCCGTTTCCGTAAAACTGAATCGTTGATCCACGGGCCGCTGGCCTTGGTTCAAACACCATGGCCGGCCGGTCTGTACGCTCTCGCAATGTAACCTATTAAAGGCTTTTCATGGGAGCTCCGAGAAGAGTTGCCGGGAACCGAAAAGAGGAATCAAGAATTGAGTTAATTAATTAGATCAGTTGGGTAATTATGATCAACTTCCCATCCGCATCGAGACTAATAACGGGAGAGACCAAGCACTCTTCCGGATTGCTTTGTGCTTGGTAGCAACTCGAGACGCAGGTCGTCTCTCACCACGTGAGCCTATCCAATCTTCCATCCTTATATTTCTTACCTATCCTCCTCAGGATCAATGTTCCGCCGCCAACAACATCCGGTGTTCTCCAACGCCCGTCACAGGCCGTCGGGCAGGACTTTCAATGGTTCCGCAGCCGTCCACCTTCCGCCGGCCCCGCACACTTACACCGTAACCGAGTTAAACTTCCTCGACGAAGCCAGCCATCAACATGTCACCCAGCAACATCTGTTCTACGCCCTCGAGCATGTCGTTGAAGTGCTACAACATCATGGGATCACATACGGCGTCATGGGCGGTATGAGCTTGGTCTTGCTCGGCAACGAACACCGCATCACTAGAGACGTGGATATTGGCGTTGACGTGGGAGTCCCGGATATGTTGAATGCGTTCTCACGGGATCATCGGTATGGATATGCGCACATGACTTTTGCTCAGGGGTAGCTGATGGTAAATTTCTGCTAACATTCGGGGTCCCATTAATTTCTTCCATCTAGTGTTTACCGGCCCAGCCCCACGGCCGCCACTACAAGCCATGTTGCTAGGATATTCGTCCTGGTTGGAGGCACTCATCGAGAGCCTGTCCGCCGGTTGCCCGTGGAGGTTGACCTAATTCGACCTGGTACAGATCATCACCTCTCCTGATCTCACGATTGATAGGGCAGCGCTAATATAGACCCATCTCTACGCAGGGCACCCAAGCATGCCGCGGTCACTCGAGGCCGAAACCGAGGTCATCACCGGGCGCACAGCATTAGGCCCGCGCAGATGGAACACCCTGTCGCTGCGCTACCTCTTCCTCTCCAAGTTGCGCGTTTTCCACTGCCTCGAGCGTGACCAGGACTTCAGGGACCTCGTCTGGCTGTGCTACCGGTTTCCAGACGACATTGGCGGGTTTTCGCCGCAGCTGGACGAAAATCTGCGCAGAACTTTCTTCGAAGCGTATAAGCGGACTCGCCCGCCGAAGCAGAAACTGGGATTCATCTACGGTGTGTTGGGTCGGCCCCGGTTAGCTAATAGCTCGTCGTCGTCTAGGTCGGGTCAGAGATCTTGGTGGCGGGCTTTAACCAATTAGCACACGATGGAGGAACTACGGTAGTCATATTTCTCTGGGCGAGAAATATATATGAAAAAGGAAAATTCTGAAGGTTGCGCAGCCGGCCAAGACAAGGCTGTGATGATCATGTGAAAGGATTTGAAACTGGGGATCCGAGCAAGCTTTGGTGTTCAATGCTTGGCTTTTGCTGTGCCAACCTCGATAATGCAACGCAGAAAAATGCGGATTCATCGTTTCGCCGGGCTTATGTCTCAGCTGGCTTTGGATGGATCGAAGTGGGTGTTGGAGAAACGCAGGACAAGGCATTTTTCCACGTTGATCAGAGGCAGTGCTAGACTTGGCACTCGGTGACCCCAAAATCTCCAAAACACAACCAACCAGCGAGGCTGAGGTTTGACTAGCTCGACTAACTAGATACTACCCTCCTTGTACGTTGATAATTATAGTGCCATTCATCAATGTGACATAAACCCCCGTAATTCTCCAAACCGATGTTGTAGGAGTTTCCCATCTCTCTCATGTCCCTATTAGACAACGCCTAATTAACAAAATGTTCACCACCAAAGCATATTCCCTCCTCCTCCTCCTCCTCACCACCCACACAACCCTCACCTCCCAAACCAACCACCCAGACCCGTCCGACCCCGACCCCGGCATTTTCCAACCCCACTACGACCCCTCCCCCCTCGCAGACCTCACCTTCAACCACAGCTCCCTCCCCGAACCCTTCACCAACCCCTCCCTCGACTCCCTCTCCACCCTCGACATCCTCCTCAACCGCCGCCAACAGCGAAAATGCCCAGACCCAGGCGGACCCATTTGCTCAGCCACGCAATGCTGTCGCACGGGACAGCAGTGTTGTCCGCGGGGCTGCTGCAGCCTTGAAGAGAACTGTTACCCGGCCGGGAAGGGGTGCTGTCCGAAGAATGCGCAGACCTGTGGCGGGTCGATGTGTGTCCAGCCCGGATCGGTGTGTTGCGGTACGACGTTTGCGTGTAAGCCCGGGTGGGTGTGTAATGTCCAGGCCGGGGGGTGTTGTCCCACGGAGTGGAGGTTGTGTCCGACGACTTGTAGGTTTTTTTTGTTGCTATGCTATCGGGTTGCGTTGGAGTTTTAGAGGCTAACAAGCTTAAGGCTGTCCTCCCGGGTCGACATGCGCCAGACAAAGCGGGTACTGCTCGCGACTCAGCTGGTCCACAAGCCAAAGGACGTCGACTATTCGAAGCACGTCCACTCGCGTCTCAACGTACTTGTCGACAGCCACGTCGTCTAGGAAACTTACCTCCGTTGTCACGTCTGTCTCTCAAATAACCTCTCGCTCCACCCAAATCAGCACGATCAAGAGCACGCGCACAAGCATCAGGACCAGCACCAGTACCAGCACCAGTATCAGCACCAGTACTGATGCTTGCAAGGCCACTTCCAATGCAAACTCGCGACAGTTACAAGGCCGTCAGGCTCCAGACCATCCCAAAATGACAGAATGTGTTCGAGTCTGCCATTCATCCGGCCAGAACCTCCCCGTCGTGGAGTTCCACAACATCCCCGGCCAAACGGACCAGTTGTTTAGAAGCATGTGTGAAGGTAGGTAACTCGGCGTTTTTTTTTTTCACAATTTATTCTGTTGCTGGATATTAAGCTAAGCATACGAGCGCAGGAATGAACGGTTGGTTGAGACGCCAACAGTCCAGCAGTGGAGGACCCGGACCGATCCACACCGATCTGGATCTTGGCGAGGACATCTTTACTTTCGGCGGGAAGACGGCAAACAACCCTGAGAAACAGAAACGACGAGATCAAGTGAATTGCCCGGGCTATTGCAAAAGGATGTTCCCCGGTAGTGTCGGGTTGGAATGTGATGAGTATCCTCCTGGTACGTCATGACTCTGGTCCCTCAGCTCCCTCAGCTTATCTCTTTTCCGGATAGGGCTGCTTGTACATACCTGATGAAATCGAGCAAACTAACACACCCACACAGCAATGTTCCTGGAAGGTGGCAGCCTTGCGACGAGAGTATGCGTGCCAAGAAAACAGAACTCCGGGTTCCAAGGCCCGCTGCTCGGCAACCTTGTCAAAAAATGTGACCTGAAAAAGGGGGAGAAGGTGCTCGTCCGCCTGAAGGGAGGGTGCAAGCAGTTCTCATTCACGCCTCGTCGGGACCTACACGATGAAGACTTCATTCTAGATTCTGACGAAGGTACTCATGAGCTGAGCGGTCCGGTGCAAGCCCGTGACGTTACTGAAGGCCCGAATTTCGGGGACTCGAGCTCAGAGCTGCTAGACCCCTATCAGGATGGGTCGCTGACATATGTGGCGGTTCCGTTGGGGGAGCTTGCGGATGGGCATTACGATATGGAAGCCAAGTTCCTGGGGAAGACCGTTGTGCGCGCTGAGGTGCTGAATTTGTATGGGGATTCGTATGCAGCGTGAGTTTTGCCCCTTTCATTGTTTTTTTTTCCCCTTTTTCTTTTTTTTCTTTCCTTGCTTTTCATTTTTTTTCTTTAGTTTTCTCTTCTTCTGTTTTTTCTTTTTCTCTTTTCTTTATTTTCTTCTCTTCCCTTTCTTTTCCTTTTTCTTTTTGAGGCGCTATCGTCACTATGAGAGTTGTTCCATCAAAAAAAAAAAAAAAAGGCAGATACTGACCGCACGTTTTCCTTAGGATTGATAATCCGGCATCATCGGAGCGCTTGATCTTTGATGTTACGGACAACCTCACAATTTCGGCTTCACTGGTTGCTTACACGAAGGAGAAAGTCGACTTGTCATTCTCGGGCACCATAAGTAAGGCCAATGAAGGCCAGGTCATACGGTCAGCTATTTTACCGACGGTGGTGTTCGTCACCTGTGTTGCATTGTTTTTGGGACTGGTTTAGACTTCATACTGTGTATTTTATTTCATCGCGGTCTCGGCATACAATGTCGGCGTTCTTAGCGGAAGCGACATTTAGAGCCCAAATGTCCATTCCCGCTTCCATTTACCCGCACACATCGAACAGGGCAACACTCGGGTCATGGTCCGATACAACATCGTCAAACGAGGCCCACGAGTTGAGGTGGAGGTGGTGGAAGGTGGTGCTCTGGCTTTCCGCCAGCGACGGGCTGACAAAGATGTGATCCAACGCTTGGGAGTTCATGTCGTAGGCGCTGCTCATACTTAGACGCGGTTCATCTGACTTGCCACACCGTATTTTGGGTAACTTACTAGGTGTAACGCTCGTTCTGAGGGGTGTTGACCGCCTCGTCGAGCTCAATCAACCCCGAGATAGCCGAGAAGTCCTTGAGGGGTTGCACAAAGGTGAACTCGTTGAAGTCGCCAGCCGTGATGACGTTCGCGGTAGGGTCGAGTGCCAGGAGTTCGGCGATGAAGGACTAATTACTCTTGTCAGCATTTTTCCAGTGGCCGCGTAGACACAAAATGATGGCTACTTACGCCCGTAACGTTGGCCTGTGCGAGTCTAGAGTCCAACGCGCCGTTGATCGGGGGCCTGATATCGCCATGGAGCGAGGTACCGCCACCCTTGCTTGACCAGTGCACATTGATGGTGTAGAAGGGTTTGTCGGCTCCCTTGGCCAGCCACGCAGCGGCCAGAGGCTTCCGGCTGCTCGTCCACGCCGCATTGGTCGGGTCAATACGGCCGGGGTTGAACGACAAAGATGGGGAGGAACCAGCAGCCCGCTTGCTCTTGCAGGGGCTGGTGCTGCCGGTCTCCCCAGGCACGATTTCAGTCGCATCGGTTGGTCCACCCTGGTTGGGCTTGTAAAGGCTCAGGATCTCCGGGCGATACAGGTACGCCACGCGGATGTTACCACCGGGCTGGCCGCCGTCCTGGTCGGAGACGGGCTCGACGGAAGCAAAAGCGTAGGTGACGTTGCTAAGGGACGCGATGGCACCAGTGAGGGCCGTGAGGGTCTTGTTGGCCGAGACAACGCCGTCGTCGGTCGGGCCGCTGTCGTCCTGGATTTCTTGGATAAAGAGGAGATCTGGGGTCTTGAGGTAGTCGACAATGTGCGCCGCGATCTTAGGCATGTGGGCAGAGGTCGGGGCCATGTTCTCGACGTTGTAATCGCCGACGGTCAGGCCCTTGCAGGTGCCTTCGCTGACGAAACCGACGGGAGAGACAGTGGTGGACGCATTGGTGGTGGCTTTGAGGGCGGTAAGGGGCAAGATGGTGTAAAACCCAAAAGCCTGCTGAACAACGCCTGCAATATCCTCGAATTGATCCCCCATGCGGGAATCCGGGGAGTTCTTGGTTCCATCAAGGGGCGAGCCGATGATGATGGCCTCGGGGTTGGAATCTAGATGTGTGTGAGCTTTCACAGTCTCAGAACCTGGGGGTTGTGATGGAATTTACCCTTATCAGTCATGGTCAAACCGCCATGCTCATTCTCTCCAGTGACGGCCCAGTTTCCCACAACCCAAGTATCGCCATACTTGTTCGGGGTCTTGATGGCGCGGGGCGACTTGACCGTGACAAGTTCGCCGCTGAGGCTCTCCCAGAAGTCCAGGCCGTACTTGGTCGGCTCAAGTACCGGGTTCTTGGCGGAAATGTTGGCAACACCGTTCGGGACGGCGTAAATGTCACCGCCATCGAGGCTCGTGTATTGCACGGTCGGGGGAGCTACGGTGTCCTTGCCAATGACGAGGGGCGTGACGGTGTTCTTGGACGACACCACCTTCACGTTGGTGGGGGAAGTGATTTCGGTCAAGTAAATGTAGTTCGCGTTAGACCGGTACTCAGAAACTTTGCCATCGAGGGAAACGATGTCCCCAACAACGAGGTTGCTTGTAGCATTAGCGCCGTAAACATAAACGGCCTCCGATGTGGCGTCGTTGTCGTCAGGGGTCGTAGAACGGATCCAGATCCCGTTGGGGCCCTTCGCAATCACCAGGCCGCTTACGCCAGTGACGGCCTTACCGGAGTAGGGTGAGAGAAACTTGTTTCCATTGATCTCAGCAATGGTCACGGCCTGGGCCAGTGACTGCAGGCTGGCAAACGCCCAAAACGCCGCAGCGGATTTCATGGTGAGCTGGTGGGTAAAAAAAGGCTTGGCGGACAGAGTGACACACCGAGAAGCTCTCTGGTCACCACTGAGCCCATTGGCCCGAGGGCGCACACTATGTTATACAAAAACAAGCCGCGATCTTGAATTTCATGGAGTTGCACCCCACGTGCTTGGTGACGCTGCTGGGACAGGGCCGGCCCCCGCAATCGGTCGAATGCTATAAACGGTTACACTCGCCATCGCCCGTCGGTGACCGCGATAGGCGATTTTCAGGGGTTCAGCGGCCTGATTGGTCCGAGCCCCCAGCACGTTGCTGCCAAACACCTGCCTGAATGGACAGGTGCGAAGAACTGTCTTTGACGCTAACGTGCGCCTCAGGTCTTCAGCTCGCTGATGGGTCCCTCGGACAGGCTCGCTTCGCTCCTCCCATTTCCATGCAAACAAGAACTGACGGTGTTCAGGACGTTGAATGGATGTGCGCCAAAGTCGTCAATATCCCCCGATATGCAAAGCGACAGACCAACGTAGAATCCGGTGATGGGACGGGTTTTAAAGTACAGACAGGTTCGTAAGAGACAACGAAAAAGTGCTCGACGCGCTGATGCACGCGGCCCGTGTCGCGACCGCAACCTCGGTTGTTCGGCGACGGCTTCCGGCGATATCGGCGGATTCCGCCACGAACGCGTCGGCGATACCTCCGTGCTCTGTGGCTCACCCCGACCGCGCAACCCCGTGGGAAAAACGGAGTCCCCCGCTTCCTACCCGGGGCCTTGGCCGGCCGACGTCATGCGGCACAACGAGCACAGCGCGTCGGTTTCTCTAAACAAGGTGGATATTATTATTATTATCCGCAACAATTGAACCGTCTCCAATACCGCACACGTGTCGTCGCAGGTTCATGAGCATTGTCCATGGCCAATGGAGCAACGACCACACGGTCTTGGTTAATTACCACCCCTGAGGCTCCGACGAAAGACTCAACCTGATGCATCTTCGGCTCGCTTCACAGCGGCAATGGGAAATATTCAAAGCCCTCCGCAAAAGTTGGGTCACACAGATTTTGACCGGTGTTAAGACGAATAAAGAGAGAAGGTGCGATGAGTGCTGGTCATCACCAACCGGGGATGGCAAACCCCATTGAAGGAAGGCGCAACCCTCGCCCATATTCTGCCTAATGTTAAGAATTTGATAACCGTGTCCAGAAGTGCCATCGGTCATGGAGGCTTCGTGAGGAAAGAGCAACCCGGGGCCTCTACCGTTCCATGGGGCTACCGACTCCACCGCTCTTCGAGTCATGATCTTCCCCCAACCTGACGGCGAGCCACTGTGTTAACCTCCTACTCTCAAGTTGATTACCACCATGGCGAACTTGTATAGCGATGGCCTTGATGACTTCGGTATGCAATGCCCCACTCCACTTTGTGAGGCGTGAGGCGATGCCACTAACACGAGTGAGACCGAGATGTCCTAGGACACGCACCGCTCCCTGCCCAGGTTTCAAGTAACACTTTCCATGCCGCGACACCATACCGGTACTTCCCTACGCCCACGCCGTCTCATTTTTCGAGCATACAGGGGAGACATGGCCAGTACTTTGAGCCCTCCCTCTTGCTGAGCCCTAACTTCCGGCCCTCTCCGACGACGGCCGTACCCGGGAACGGCCGGCGATGTCCAGCCCCAAATGATAGCCTTGATTTAGGACCTGCACCTCTTAGGAGGAGCCAGCCCAATGTAACGAATGGATTCTCGGGATTCGGTAAGCACATCAAGGTGTCTTCGCTTCCCGTCGCCGAAACTGACTATTTCCAGCCCAGTACGAACAAACCTCGGACGCCACCCGATACAATACAGCAAAGGCCCAAGAAGCGGGCAGCTCTAGTCCCACCGCAATATTTACTGCCCGCCGAGGTAACAAGCCATCCGCATCGCAAGATCCGTTTACTATCGGCTCGGACCCGTTTTTACCGGTTCAAAATAGGAACGCAGGACCTCGGGCAACAAACGGTCACTCCGCAACTCCCGTCGTGCACGGTATTCCGCTCGTGAGCCTTCGCCAGGCCTTACCAGACCGATTCCGCACCATTTTCCCGTATGAGCTTTTAAACGCCGTGCAATCCAAATGCTTCGAAGCTGTCTACCATACGAATGACAACGTCATAGTTTCTGCCCCCACCGGAAGCGGGAAGACGGCAATATTGGAGCTGGGCATTTGCAAATTAGCCCTTGACCGAGGAAACGAAAACTTCAAGATTGTGTACCAAGCACCCACGAAAGCGCTCTGTTCCGAACGGGCTCGGGACTGGGAAAAGAAATTCAACCACATGAACCTGAAGTGCGCGGAGCTGACCGGCGATACGTCCCAAGCTGAGATGCGCCGGGTCGGTGATGCTGCTATCATTGTCACAACCCCAGAAAAGTGGGATTCGATTACCCGCAAGTGGCAAGATCACAGACGACTGTTGCAAATGGTGGAACTGTTTCTCATCGACGAGGTTCATATCTTGAAGGACGGCCGTGGTGCTACGCTTGAAGCCGTAGTGTCCCGCATGAAAACGATCGGGGCAAACGTTCGGTTTCTTGCCCTCAGCGCAACTGTGCCTAATTCTGACGATATTGCACGTTGGCTAGGCCGTGACCACACCAATCAGCAGCTACCTGCTCACCGTGAAACTTTCGGCGAGGAGTTCCGCCCGGTCAAGCTTCAAAAGTTTGTCTACGGATTCGAGAGCAAAGGCAACGACTACATCTTTGACAAATTTCTCGACCAGAAGCTCCCCGGTTTAGTTCACAAACACTCTCAGCGCAAGCCGACCCTCGTTTTTTGTTTCACCAGAAAGTCCTGCGAGAGCACAGCGGCCATGCTGGCAGAATTTGCCTCTGCCCGGCCGGATGGTGATCGGGTGTGGCCGACGCCTTCTCAGCGCGTCCCGGTCATCAGCAGGGAGCTCCAGGAAATTGTCCGATTTGGGGTTGCTTTTCACCACGCCGGTCTCGATGCCCAAGATCGAGCGGCCGTTGAACAGAACTTTTTGAAAGGACAACTGGGTGTTATTTGCTGCACCTCAACACTCGCAGTCGGCATCAACCTTCCCTGCCATACTGTTGTGTTGAAGGGCACAGTTGGATTCGCCAGTGATAAGCTTGAAGAATACTCTGACCTCGAGGTCATGCAAATGCTGGGCCGTGCCGGTCGTCCGCAATTCGATGACAGTGCAACCGCCATAATCCTCACCCGGGCCGCTCACAAGGAACGGTATCAGAAAATGGTCTCTGGCCAGCAGATCCTCGAAAGCACCTTGCACCTTAACCTGATTGAGCACCTCAATTCTGAAATTTGTTTGGGGACAATCACCGACGTCTCATCCGCGAAAGCCTGGCTTGGGGGCACCTTTTTGAGTGTCAGGCTTAGGCGGAATCCCAATTATTACCAGCTCACCGGAACCACGACGAGCCCCGCTCTCGTGGATGACAAACTTGAAGAGATTTGCGAACGTGATATCAAACACCTTCAGGAAGCCGAGCTCGTTACCGGCGATTCTTCATTTCGATGTACCGAATACGGGCGGGCAATGTCCAAATACATGGTACAGTTCCAGACGATGAAGTTGCTCCTACAAATCCCACGCGGGGTGGGAATGGAAACATTGGTACAGTTTCTCGACCCTTCTTTTGGGGAGTGAATGCTAACGAGATAATTAGATTACCATCTTGTCCCAAGCTTCTGAATTCAAGGAGTTCCGGTTTAAGCCAGCCGAAAGACAGCTGTTCCGCGAGGTCAACCAGTCTCCGTTGATTATGTATCCGGTCAAAGAAGTCGTCACCCAGACCTGGCACAAGGTTTCGCTCATGGTCCAAGTCCAGCTAGGTTGTGCACAATACCCAGATACCAGCGAGGCAGCCAAAGCCAAACGCCAATTAATGATGGAGCGCAAGTTGGTGTTTGAGAGATTGAACCGCCTAGTACGTGCTGTTATCGATTGCAAGGGCCACGATCGTGATGCCATCGGTACCAAAACTGCCCTCGAGCTCGCAAGGGCTCTTGCCGCCGAGTCGTGGGAAGGGCGGGCTACTCAGCTAACCCAAGTCCCAAATATTGGGCCTGTCGGAATGAGAAAGCTTGTGAGTAAAGACATTCGAACAGTATTGCAGCTGTCAGAGAGGAGCTACGACGAAATTGAGCGCTTGATGTCACGTCAACCCCCTTTCGGTAAAACCATCCAGGCCCACCTCGACAAGTTCCCTCGCCTAACGGTGAGAGCGGAAGTTGTTGGTCATCGAGTGTATCCGAAAGCAGAGGCCCCGGTTGTCATTCAGGTCAACGCAACCATCGGGTATACGAACCAAAAGGCCGCTCCACACTGGCTCAACCGCCCGCCAGCGCTGACATTCCTCGCCGAAACAAAAGAAGGTACGCTTGTGTACTTTTGGCGGGGAAGCATCAGGAAGCTAGACAGCCAGGCCGGCTTTGATTTGAAGTTTTCCGTCGATTTGTGCAGCTCTGAGGATGTTGTCACTTGCCATTTTACCTGTGAGGAAATAGTCGGCACAATAGTATCAACAACCGTGGACCATAACATACCGGCTTCTGTTTTTCCCACGCGGCCGCCCTCGAAGCCAACCCTAGTAAACCGTACTAGCTCAGCCCCCAAGGTTAAGGAAACGGCTCAAAGCTACCTAGAAGTGGACGACATTGATGATTTGGATCTTATTCTCGCCGCGGAACAAGCTGTAGCTAAATTTTCAAAAGAACACCCTAAGACTGATGAAATTGGGTACCCACCTGTTGAGGAGCTCGTTGATAGGGATAGGTCACGACGCGATGAGTTCGATAACCATCTGGCGGGCCATGACGTGGAAGAACGCACGCGATCAGCACAAATCGGGATCGCAGAGTCGGAACCAGTCCGGTTGCCAAATGGGAAATGGCAATGCAACCACCCATGCACAGGCGGTACCGTCACGCGATCTGGCAAGCCTTGCACTCATCGGTGTTGTAGAGACGGCCTCGACAAACCGCCCAAAAGGGCTGCCCAGCGGCGGAAGCGACAGGCGGAAGAAACAACGGACGCGTTTGAGGGTCTCGAGCGACCACGAACTTCGCCACAACCCCAATCGCCAACATTACCACAGTCTCAACAAGCAACTCAAAGCAAACGCAAAAGATTACATGACGCTCAGCCTCTGACCAAGTCCTCATCATTCATGCCGATCAATGCTGTGAAAACGCAACATAGTAGCTGGGATGCGTTGGACATCGATGATCTTGACTGTATCGACCTCTCCTTTACCGACGATGAGAGCGACCTGATCGTCAAACGTCCAGTTACTGTTTCTTCATCTGGAGACGGTAATCTCAAGCATTCCCCACAGGGTGCTAGGGGCGCTGGCTCGGAGACTGGGAACAACCCTTCCTCAACGCAAGTAAGGGAGACAGTACCCCCCGAGCGCAAGGGGCTGTATGAGACACATTTTCCAACCCAAGGAGAAGAATTCAAAGATGACGATTTAGACGACTACTTGGAGGCCGAGAACTTCCCCGAGGTCCAACGCATCAACCCTCGACGTCAGCTTTCCACATCATCAAGCACCATGAAAGCCGATGAACCGCCAGCCGGAAAGGGAACCGCTGAACTCCCTGGCACCCTCATAGGCGATACACGCGCTGCTGACGGTGACATGACGGTTGCTACCAGGAACGACACAGATAGTACTATACCCTCGACAACTATTACCCTTGACAACACAACGGGAATCAGTTCGACTTCTCTACCGTTGAGCCCAGATGTAGTTGAGCTTCCTGGGCCACCGAACAAGAGCCAGGATGATCCAAGCGTTGACAAATCACGGGCACAAGCGGGATCAGATCCAGCCTATGATGAGCCGGCGTGGGTCGCGGAGTTTGATCCCGAATTCGTTGATATGTTTAGGGGGTATGTAACGTTTGTGTGAAGATTGTGGGAGATTACAGGAGATTTTGAAACTGGTCGCTTTGCTGATACAATATCTGTGGTGGACTTGAGATATGATTCACGGCTGATGTATATTGCTCATATTTGCTCCATAAGGTTTCACATTTTCATGTGGACTATTTGTAATATCACTCAATGTAACCGGCTTGTTCCCTTTGCGGTCGACCGGGTCGATGTGGACAATGCCCCTTCTGTTGGGGTTTCAACACAGAGGCTTTACTGATGCGTCGCCTACAATACCTGGGTATCTCTTGTCCATAATGACGATGCGGGCACGCTGGTGTCCTCGGCTTCCCCGCCACTCATCACTACTTCGACGAAGCCCTGGGCAGCCAAGACCGGACCGCTGTGCGTCAGGCCGCCCATTGTTGGGCGTCGTGATTCACATCCACGGTTGTGCCGATCCCGCCACTCAACTCCACCAACAACCATGTCTTGAATGTTTCTTGATGTTGGGACTTTCGTGTCCATCACCGGAGGAGGGTCTGCACTTCCGTTTGACGCTGAGTGGTTAAATGATTAATCACACATGTCCGGCCGGTCAACAATCCGACGTATGCCAACCGTCAATGGGTGCCTGGGACATGCAGGATGTGGCGTTGTGTAACCGTGGGTTTTTTTGCCCAGGAAGGGTTTAGGCGGGCGGGCTGCTGAGGCGAGTTACACAACATTAGCTGCCTTTAAGCTGTTGTGTACAAATGTACGGGTTCGCAAGGCTGCCGGGGCGTGGGGGTTCTATGTTACTTTACTGATTCTTGTGCCGGATCTTGATTTGTGGTGTTAGTGGTACGGTGCTGTTGTGTCACATCGTGCGTGGGTTGTTGGCTGCAGTTAGGAGCTGCTGTGCGTTTTTGGGGTGTGTCTTAGGAGCTGAGCCTGCTGAGGCTGTTGGTGGTTGCCGAGGTGTGTTACGGGTGCGGGATCCGAAGCCGGTGTGTAGATCTGCGCGATTGCGCGATTTCTGAGGTCTCGAAAGGAGTTCTATCCGCGGTATCGTTCGTGATTGCATGTCGAGCCTCATGTGGAGGTGACCGGCGTGGATGTTCGGTCCGGGGTCCGACGTAAGGTGTAACGAGGGTTGTGAGACCGGAGATTCGGAGCCTTATGACATTGTTAACCGGAGGAGCCTGGGCATGAATGGCGCATTGGTTTAGGGGCTACAACATTATCCCAAATTGTCTGTTTGAGGACTGCACGCTGAGGTCTCAAGATAGTGTCATTAAGTGATTGATAATTCTCGAAAACGGAAACAATGACTTGTCTCAATGTTGAACTTCATAACCCTAACCCTTACCATAATTACTGGGAAACGGCAGGCCCGAGGCAGGTGCCTACATAGTAGGTATGTACAGGGAGGTGTCATGCAGCCCTAGCTCCTGCTGCAAATACCATAGTATCTACAGTATCACCTTAGCCAGACGTGGCAGAGTCCAGACAAGTTTGCCGCCTTCATCATCGCCAACCCCTCTCCCCAGATCTTCGCTTATCATAACCCTAACGACATGGAGGCAACGGATCTCGAGTACTTTCTGCGTCTGGAGGGCTCAGGCCCGATTCCATTCCCGCTCCAGCCAAGATGTGGGATGTGCTGGAAGAAGTCAGTTTTGGGGACCTGCAGTAATTGCTTGGTTGTGTCCTCCTGCAGCCCCGCGCATCAGGCACTTCACGAAGACGAAGGAGAAATGTGCGCTAAGATCAAGACCACCCGCGAGGCGCTCGAGCGTCGGGTGAAGGCCGCCCGCCAAGCCAACCCCGGCATTGGACCACAAGAATTCCAGATGCTGATACCGCCCAGTGTTGCCCTCGACCATAATCCAAGTGCATCAGTTCTGGGCCCGGGCGAAGCGGCCGCGGTCGCTTTGATGCACGTTGGCACCAGCCAAGCTGCGGAAACGGCGCTCGAATATCTCCTCGAGATCCTGCAGAGCCGTCGCAGCAGCTCCCTGTCAGCCGATGCTGTTCCCGCCCTCCTTCTCCGGATGGGCATGGAGCAGGAATGCTACGATTTCATCAAGTGGTTTGCAACGCTGGAGAGGGAGAGGTATGATTGGGAAAACAAGAATTTGCCGTTCCTCGATATTCGCTTCGCCGACGTCTTCGAGCCGGTCGGTGTCTTTTGCAAGGGAACCGACGTAACTCTTTCCCATCTCGCCGTTCTTGCGCTTTTGAAACTCCGCATACGCTTCGACCTGGAGGCGGGCAAGGCAGCTGATCGGCGTCCCGGAATCACTGCAAGGGCAATGCTTCGAGTTTGGAATCGACACCAAGTGTCTGAGGCGATTATCAATCTAACGGAGCAATACCATACTCTGTTCCAAGCCATTCAGGACCGGAATCCGTACTTCTGGGAGGAACTCCTCGATGAAATGAAAGAGGATCCACGTCTCCCGGCATCATACAGCTGTGGCTCTGAGCTAGAAGCGCGAGTAGCAGTTTTCATGTGCAAACAAGCCTGGCAGGAGAGTGAGGGTGCGCTTGGAACTGTCAAGTCCGATATCCTCACGACTGTTTCCGTCTATCAAACTCCAGCTACGGTATCCCCTTCGTCCACAAGTGAGAGGAACGGTTCATCCGCCGGAGGTACTTTGATCAAAAGAAGGGGGACGGGCAAGGTCTTTCCGTCCCGATTTATTCCCGATTCGGCAACTCACTCACCTGCGGACCTTTTTGCAGGTTCCCGGGCAAGTCCTAGCGGCGATGTGTACCGCTTCGTGGCGATCAATGACCCCAATACCTGTCTGGCATTTGTGGATGGGGCGTGCCTGAATAACGGACAACCCGATGCACGGGCAGGGTGGGCGGTGATATAGGGCCCCGCCCACAAAACATCCGCTCGGCTAGAAAACGCTAGTGTTTTCGACGATGGGGATTACCATATCGCCACAAGTAACCGCGCCGAGTTGCGGGCCGCCATTGCCGCGCTACGATTGTGCAACTGGCGCCTTGAAGGGTGGGATCGCCTGCTGATCGCCACGGATTCCACGTATGTTGCCGATGGGGCCATCAGTTGGGCTAAGAGCTGGGTTCGGAGGGGTTGGACGACACGCGCGTCAAAAAAAGTCGAAAACCGTGATCTATGGGAGATGCTTCTGGGCGAGGTGGAACGATGGAAAGAGCTGGGTTTGCAGGTCGCGATCTGGAAGGTCCCCAGGGGTTGGAATACCTAAACAGACAACGCTGCGAAGGATGCTGCTGGACGAGGGGCCGTGCAAGACAGGTTTAGGGATATTACCATCCGCTATGGCGTCACCCCAACGGGTGGCGTCGCTCGCGTGGGTGGGGACCTTATTCTGCATCTCGGAGAAGACAGAGTGATCAAGCAGGCATTCCCAAACGCCTACGCCCAGATTCGTAGCTCTCTGCCTAACGCCAAATACGTCACCACATATCACGACGCCTTAACCCTGCTTGACTCCACGCCATCTCCACGCAGAATCCTCCTTGCCGACGCTACGGTATCCCGATGCAAGAAACTTTGGGAACGGGTTATTGACCGCTTGCGGGGGGGCGCCGCCGTTGTTCTAGCAGGCTTTTTCAGCTGCAACTTGTCACAGAGCGATTTTGATCGTATGTTCATCAAACTCGGGCTTCCATGGCGCTACAGAACCCACGATCATGATATGTTCACATTGGGTGCGGGCATGGCTGTGGGCTTGCAGAAATCTTATAGCATGTACGCTCAATGCATCAGCGTTATCTCCACAAACCAAGCACTTTACCGATCCGATTACCTGCCCGGCGAAGCCGCTGTGGCGACGGCAAAGGTCGGTGCCGGCCGTTTGGCGTATATTGGGGATGCCAGTGGCGAGGAGGGAACTGGTGCCGTTCTCAAGGCTATTTTTCAGGGCGAGTTTTGAGGTTACTTGCTGCTGTCTACTAAAGGCAAGCAAGGAATCTCCAACGTTAACTTAATTAACATACACCACCGTTTGGATTTGCTTAGCTGCTGCCCGGCTGTCATTTAACCTCGCTTTCTTCAACGTTTGCGCTAGAATAAATTAATTAATTAAGTAATTAACGGAACATCCCCATCACAATGAACCAACGGATCTTCAGGGTGGATCACCGTACCTACTAATAGGTATAATTAAGACAGCGAAAGCACCCCAACGCCAGGAAGCCATAGCATTGGGATTCCGGAACCCCAATATCCTCCACGCATCATGCCATCCAACGCCTAGGGGCTCACTCGCGTCGGAAATCCATCGTATTCTGTCTTGTGGCATATCTTCCTGGAGATATCTGGGACAACACATTTGGGGCTTTGTGGGCCAGTTACTCCTACATCGTCCCCCAAAAGCATAACTATGTAGCCCAGCTTACAGCCAGGGTAGGTACGTACACAGCCATATCTAAAGACACCATCGCGAAGACAGTTGCTCGTTTGGGAAGACAAGATTCTCATTAAATTCCTCTTGGTCATTGTTCCAACGCAAACGGGACCGACATCTTAGTGTGAGGGGCGTATTAGATTAGTACAATTTGGTTCCGAATGTGGTAAAAGCTAGATACAAATCATACAAAGAGCGGGCTGAAACTAAGAGAAACCTAGAATGAAAGTATCGCGCACTGAAAATATACATACCTAATTACCCCTTGGCCCAATGCCCCGTCCCGTTGACACTAAATCCAAAGCCCATCCGCCCGCACCTTTACTCCTTCCTGCAAAAGCAACAAAAATGCTACCGCCAAAAACATGCCCGGGGGGGGAGAGAATGCCCGTAAAATAGACACTAAGACTTTCCACTCTTCTCCGCTAGGGACCGGCAGCCCCTTCCGCTCCCTAACAATAACCTCGCCCGATCCAATCGGCTTCCCAGGCATCCCACCGTCCATAACTCCAAACGCTTGCGTAGCCACTTCTTGATATTCGTCTGGCTTCGACATCTCTAGTTCCTCCACCACATCTTGTTCACCTTCCCCGGCTAGTCACGCCTCAAACTTCTCAGTGGTGGGGGCCGGCACTAGGCGAAGGCGTGCGAGAGCCCGCAACGAGTCGAAAATTGACTCATACGAATCCACCGTCCCAAAGAAGCCGCAATCGCGCGCTTTACGCACGCTGGTAGTCATAGGCGCGTCGCCGATGACTGCTGAGTCCGAAAATGAAAAGATCCTCGCCCGGTACCGGTCATCAAAGGGGTCCAAAACCAGTTGGTGCCTATCGGCGAGCCTCCTCCACGCCGCTTCCACGTGTGGCTGGAACGACCACTCCAACAACGAGAATGTCGACCGCATGGTGAGCTGAGGGCCGTACCTGTTGGTTGGGGTAAATCCTTGAGTTAGTTGAGATTCTACAAGAAGCAATGAAACGCTCGTGATGTTTAGGAATGTAGACTTACCCCCTCGGCGTCGTGGGGTACGGCAACTGCATGACACGGTACTTGCCCTCCTCGGTTGACGGTGGCTCCCACTGCACACCGTACCACCGGGCAAGGTACGGCCAAAGACGACCCCAGGTAAACGACTGTCCATCATGAATGTTGAAGGCCTCATTGGCCGTCTTATCCCCAGCGAGAACCAGCCACTCCTCAAAGTACGCGTTGAGCAACCCACTGCTCTGTACCTGCTCGCGATCCCAGGCGCTGTAGTCCCCTGGAAAGCAAATTGGCTGCCCAAGCTCGGCCTGGACCGCGGCGTAAATACCAAAACCAATGAGATGGTTGAGCGTACCGTCACGGACCGCCCCAACAATGTACGATGGGCGAGCCACGCTCCACGTCGCGCCGACCGCGCTGCAGTACCCGACGAGGGTATCTTCTTGCTCGTAGTAAAAGTTCCGATCCAGCGTTACACGGGGGTCAGTTTCAAAGGCAGGAATAGAGGCGGGGCCGAGATAGAAGCTGTAGTGCTTCGACCCAGTCTGAAGCATGAACCGGCGGGGCGTGAGAGTTGTCTGTCGGAGGGCACCGACAAAGTTTTCAAAGAGCTCGACTAGAAAAAAATGGCGTTTTAGTACTGATCGGGGAGGATTGAAGACAATAGTAAAGATCCCATACCATTCACCCTCGCAAGCTCGTCGGCATTTGCCCACAAATCCATTACGTCTCCTTTCGGGGCCGGCTGCACGTATGAGAAGTAGAATATGTGGTCACTACAATGGTCAGCGTTGATTTTTCAATACGGGAGATGAGCAGTATTATACTCAAGCATCTGAGAGGGGCCATCTTTGGCCGCCGCTTTGTATGCTCGTCAAGCCTCCACCCGTGGGATTTCCGGCTTGCGGGAGGCCTGACAAGCAGCGGTGCGTAAAAAGATGGCCCCTCTCAGAATAGTAGACACTGAAAGAAATGGGGTAAAAATAATAATAAAACAATTAAAACAATATTGGCGCAACTTCTTTGTGGATAGATGGAAACCAAATGGTTTGTGGTTCAGAAGAGGGAATGGAGCAGATATGAGAGCACCTTGCTTCTCAAAAGATGAGTGGGCATAAATAGGGCACGTAAATCTGACTCACACATGATCGATCTTGCCTTGAAGATGCTTTGCAATTTCGGAAGGTTCGCTCAAGAAGTCGACGGCCAAATGCTCAACCCGCCTTGCGCCTTCCCCAAGATCTTCGAAGAAGTTGTCAGGCGGAGGCCTGGAGCTCAGGCAGTAAATCTTCTTCCACCGATGGGGGGCTGCGGCTAAGACCTTGACCATATGATAGCCGGAGAGTCCAGTTGCGCCGGTGACAATGGCGGTCAATCCTGTGGTCTCAACGGACTTGGGGAACGACGGAAGGCCGTGGACGATGCCCTTAGAGTGCACGACCGAGGTGCTGGACTCCTGCAACGCCTCCGATTGCTCAACTTCACTCGTCTTCAACGCCTGTTTCTGCTGCTCCCCCGATCGTATCCCAATGCCGTCCAGGTTTGCCCGGAGACCAGAATCAGAGGAACGCACGGGCTGCATGGTTTCTTCTGTTTTGGGAGGCAACTCGGAAAAGGCGCCATGTGTCAGGACTGGTGACGGGAGGGTGCTGCATACCGACTCCGGGGGTGTTGCGATATGCCCGTTCACGCCGACTTCCAGACGGTACCGTTTGGACGAGGAGCACCACCGCAAATGCGTCTCGCACATCATGATGATATGCCGGGCTACACGTTCAACTCGTGCAACCGCCGAGCCTGGGGACGTCTCAGCAACGCGATGAAGATGGGACATATGCTGTATGCATCGGTCGGCGCTTCGGTTGTGCTCTGCATTGACCATCGCGAGACAGCGAGAGAGGATGCTGTGGTTGACCTCGCCATTCTGGTGCCCCTTGAAACCCTTCATCAGCACCATCACGGCATTGAGCTGTTCGCCGTCCTCAATGTCGCGCACTAGACCAATCATGTCGTTCTGGAGCCCGGCTACTCGCGAAACATCGGCCTGGAGTTTCAGCCAAGCGTCGTTGAATGCCCAGTCCGCTTCCTCCAAGTATTCGGTCTTGATGACTTCGAAGAAGGGACTCAGAGCGATGGTCCGGCCACGAATACTGAGATATTCCGCCAAGCTGTCGCGGTTCTCGGATTGGAGAAAATGAATCTCGGCGACATGGGCTCGGAGAACCTCGCAGACGGCTGTGAAGAACGCCTGAGAGCTTTTTGTAGGGAGGTATCGTGTTACATGCTCAAGGAGCGCCCTGGCAAAGGTCGGGACTCTATGATCCTGAGCTGATGATGTGCGTGCTTTGGTGTTGGTGGTTTCGCTATGTGCAGCTACGCGACTGTTAGCTGAAATCGCTTAGCAAAATGTGCTGATAAAGGCATAACTCACCATTTGAAAGAACGTCAATACTGTCAAGCAGTGCCAGCTCGCGCTCACTGGCCTCTAGCATCTCCAGTATGTCGTCCATGACGCACGCAAAGGAGAGCCAGGCTGTGAAGACAATGCGGATCGCATCGGCCTTGATGTCGGGGAAGAAAAGGCTGATGACATTGACCTCGGATGTGCAAGTTTTAAAAAACTTCTCTGTGGCCACGGTCTCGGGCTGCATGGAAGCTTTGAAAGCTGCATGGGCTAGCACCACACGGGTCAAGGGTCCTTGGGTCTCGGGGCTTTGGTCATCGTCGGCCTCTACACCAAAGTTGGGAACCTCGAGCTGGGCGTGAACCCATGTTAGCAGCGATGAAGTGCAAGGGGCGGAATTCAGACTAGTAATTATCGCGAGCGATCAAACGTCGTACCTTTACACCGAGGCCATGTTTGAACTGAATAAAAATTGGACCATTCTCTGGCCATGGGCTAGAGCGGGTGTACTCCCGCAGGGCTTGGAAGAAGACCATTGTATAAGACAGACTTGGTGGAACTTATCAAGGAATGGGGTTTGTATGATGTCTTCGATAAGAAAGAAAAGGCTTGCACGTCTCTTGGCCGTGGTTGCCGTGGTAGTAAAGATGTAAATGGGAGTTGTCGGTGTTATGGAGGCCCGGTCGTTTGAAAAGAAAAGGGCTTCCTCCTGCTTCAGGATGCCCGTTAAATATACAACCACTTGGAACTTTCATGAGACCAAGAAGGAGGGATAAACGGCTAATGTTCGGCCCCCAAAGGGTCCCCAATGGGCCCGTCTTCCCGCGTTGTGACTGCTCGGCGCCAACTTCAGGTGTTGGTGATAATGTTGAGCGTGACCTCTGGCCACCCAACCACAACCACGCGTTCCGATTCCTTTCGGCCATAATGGAGCCTGTGACGACATGGAAATGTCCCCATATCGGGTCAGAATGGGTCTGAATGGGTCTGGACATATTGGCATGTCACGAGTTCGGGCTTCAGACAGAACGTCCTTTCCCTTGGAGCATGTTCCCTTGAAGCATGCAGTGAGCAGTCACGCCGAGCCTTCCAGACGTCACTCATGAGTGGATAACTAGAATCAGGCGCTAATAAGCGGCTCATGACGGCTTGCTGCTGTCCCTCCCTCCGACATGTCGTTGTTCGCGTGGCGGCAAACGCGAATGTAAGAATCCCGGACTCCCGGAGTTGCAATGTTCTTTGTGGATATTTCTCACCACCACACCTCATGCACCTCATGCCCCATCGGGTGGTCGTATCAAGACCCCAATCGTCTCCTCTCACTGTGCATGCCGCAAGGCGAGTGCCATGTTTCAGCCAACCGGATGCTAGCGCCTTATGCCCATGTCGGCACCGTTTGGGGTCTGAAAGATGCATGTTCCTAATTGGGTCGTCTCTTCCCGAAGCGGCGTGCAACCAAGACATCCCTCGGGCATAGTGGGAACAAGTCAACACCATCCCACACCACCCCCATTCTTTGTTCTCGGCCAGGAACTCGGTCGACATCACGCATCGGAGGTCCTCACTCCCCAGCGATCGTCATCCCCGGTCACAAACCTCGTTCGTGCCGGTTCGCGTAGATGCATGCGACGCGGGGTTCTTGTGCCCGAGGTAGCATCCATGATCCAAAATCCAAGAGGCACTACCCCGCAGGCCGAGTGGTGGCCGACAACATGTAGGACAACCGGGCTCTTGGCAGCTTTTGTCTGGACACTGGACAGGTTAATTATTAGACTCCTGCCCTCAATGAGCCGCTCCCTACATGCATTACTCTCTATACCGCCCCGCAACTTTCTCCTCTTGCAAATCCGAAAACATCAAATCAACACCAAAACTATCCAAATTCCAAACTCCAAGATGGCCCCCGTCGCCGTTTTTTTGTCGCCCCTGCTTTCTGCGGCCAGTGGCGTCCTTGCCCATGTCGCTGTCTTTCGCCGGGGAGAGTGGGACATAAGCTCTCCGTCAATCTTCGTTTTCTATGCCACTGTGTTTACTGCGGCCGCCGTCGCGAGCCATGTTGATCTTATCGCGCTTCCCCTAGCGGCGGTTGCACAGATCGCTGCCTATCACGTCGTGGCGCTATACACCAGCATGCTAGTCTATCGGGGGTTCTGCCACCGGCTAGCCGGGTACCCCGGGCCGTTCCTGGCGCGTCTCACCACTTTTTACATCACCGCACGGTCCATGAAAAAGATGCACCTTTTTGAGGAGGTTCAAACCCTCCACGCACAGTACGGAGATTATGTCCGTGTCGGTAAGTGTGAAATCTGGCCCCCAATGCTTTTCTATATCACCAACAGAGGCAAACAAAACACCAAACCCTGAAAACTGGAAACTGGAACTCAATTATTTACAATCCTACTAGGCCCCCGGGAACTTTCCATCGCAGACCCCAATGCCGTCAAAGCACTGTACAGCAGCCAATCTCCCGTCACCAAAGGACCATGGTACACACTGCTAGAGCCTCGGGTGCCCCTTTTTATGGCCCGCGATAAGCAAGAGCATGCTCGCCGTCGCAAGGTCTGGGACCAGGGATTTACCACAAAAGGTAACCCAACAGCCACTACTTTCACCTTGTTGATGATGCTCATCTCGAGTTCTTGACCGTTTATGCTGACAATTTGGAAGCCATCCAAGGATACGATCCACGCATCACCAAAGCCATCAACCAGCTGCTCGAGGCCGTCGACCGCAGCAAGGGCGTGCCATTTGACGTGTCGCAATGGTTTTCGTACTTTGTGTTCGATGTGATGGAGGACTTGGCCTTCAACAAGTCGTCCAACATGCTGGCTGAGGGCAAGGAGGCTTACGTTTTTAAGACGATCCGTACCGACATGTTCAACATTGCCCTCTTCACGCACATGCCCTGGCTGTTGCCATTCCTAAAGCGCACCCCAGTTCTCAACTGGAGCTACCATGAGTTCCTCGGCTGGATCCAGAAGTTGGTGGACGAGCGCAAGAAGGTATGCCCCTACGCCCGTGAACGCCGGCCTCTCCCCCGATTCCTACCTGCATTGTGCAAGTCACTGATACGCCCCAGATGGAGCCTGAGCACCCCGATATCTTCTCTTGGATTCTCGAGGCCTTTGAAAAGAGCCCCAAATCCAAGCGCGACCACCTCAACCTGCATGGCGATGCCCAACTCATTGTCATTGCCGGTAGCGACAGCGTGGCCGCTGCGCTAACCCACATCTTCTTCCATCTCGCTTGGGACCCCGTCCTGACCAAGCGCCTGCAAACGGAGTTCGACGCCCTCCCGGATATTTCACACGACAACTTGATGACGGTTCCTCTTCTTGACGCAGTTATCAACGAAACGATGCGTCTGCATCCACCCGTCCCGTCCGGGACCCAACGTGTCACGCCGTCCGAGGGCATGTGGATTGGGGAGAACTTTATTCCGGGCGACACCATCGTGCAAGTGCCTAGCTACACACTCTTCCGGGATTCGCGCGCATTCCAATACCCCAATGAGTTTATTCCGGAGCGCTGGACCTCGCGGCCTGAGCTAGTGCTCGACAAGTCGGTCTACATTCCGTTTAATGCCGGTGAGCTCCGACCTTACCCCAACATTTCCCTTCCTGTTCCCAAAGTGCTGATAGATTCATTAATTAGGTCGCTACGCTTGCGTCGGCAAACGCCTCGCCATGTTGGAACTCCGTCGCGTGGTGGGCGAGATTCTACTCCGGTACGACTTGACTATTGCGCCAGGCCAGACCAAGCAGGCGTTCTTGGATGGCAAACAAGACACATTTACCACTGTGTCGGCATCGCTACCCATCATCTTCACAGAGCGCGCCGAAGTGGTGTAAGCAGTGAGTAGGGTTAGGGTTGGAGGTAGTGCGGTTACGTGAGAAGGGGCGTTTGTGGGTGGCAGGATGAATCTTACCGATGCCAGGATTCATGGTTCCAGTTTTCCAATTACTTTATATTTAGCTCACAAATGAATTTGCGATCAGATGCTTCTCTTCCTACTTCAACATATTATCATCCCTTTTGCCTCCTCGTTCATTCCGCTACCTAGGGTTAGGGTAACGTCTGCCACTTGCCCCTTTCAGCCATCAAGACTTGCCAACCAACAAAAACCACGATAATCTTCGGGCACTGTCCTAGTCACTGTGTTCCAAGCACGACCAGAGCGGGGTCCTAAATCACCCCATCTCGCACATGGTTTCGCAGCCCGGCGGCCACGGAGAAAAACGACCGCCCCCATGGGCCCATCAGCCTTGCGATCTTCACACGGGCCGAAGCCGCTGTTTCCAGCTGGGCACGCCACTTCGAGCCGGGGGTTCGCATCGTAGGACGTAACTTCAACATTAACTAGCCAACTGAGACACTGGGGGGGGGGGGGGGGGGGTGAAGGTCGCACCTTGCATCTGTTGCCGCAGTATGTTGGAACTGAATAGTAATGGAAGGCAGGACCTAATGCGTAGTGGTGGAAAGTTGGGGGGTTCCATCTCGGTTCCTCAGAATCACTCAATGGATGTTCGTTCCCTCGGCCGTATTGAGAGGGGTTGCATGTCGCATTTCCTCGCTCACTTTTTTACACACTTCCGATGAACAGCACAACTCAAGGGGCAGTTGCGGCTCACACTCTCAACATTTTTTCCCTTGCGGCGAGTGGAGTTCTCGTTGACCTGGCTCCCTAGGGAAGGCATGTCTAGGCGGTTTATTCATGTCCTCTTTCGGCCGTGCATGATGCTTCCAAATCGAAAACATGGTCTGGAGTGGATCACTAAGGCCCGTTCACCTACACGTAAGGCAGGAACTAGTGGACGCGACTACCAGATAATTGAAGGCGAAGGGAGAAAAATGTGAGCGATTCAAGCGAGTGGTGGGAACTTGGGAAGTCGAGAGCGAGTCCGGGCCTCCTTTTCGCCCCTCTGTTGAGCCTTCTTCCTACATTTGCTGCGCGCTTGTCTCGTTCCCTCTTTCCGTCCCATCCCTTCCCACGCAGAATTACGCCGAGAAACCCGACATGCGGGGCCGTAGGTGGCGAGCAGTTGGGACTTTCAAGTTGAAGAGTAGGTAGGCCTCGCCAGGTCGCACATGACGCTGATGTTACCAACTGAATCGACTCGCCGGTCTTCCATCTAATAGTAGTGTGGGAATTCGCGACCGGGTACCGTCCCAAAGCTGAGCGCTGACACGTGGGGGTGGAAGGGAGCATGGTCGCACAAGCTGCGCAAGCCTATCGCACAAGCGCGGGGGCAGTACACTAGCGCCCTCCAATCGCCCTGCCGATTGGCGATGGCGGGGCCCGGCCTCAAAGCCTTGCCGGCCTGTCTTTCTTCCACTTCGTCTTCGTCGAGGGTTTCACCGTTGGCCGTCGGGAATTGGAGAGCCTCGGGAGCGAGCAAGTCATTCGCAATATCGTCACAGAGTGATCACGGCCGGGGACAAGGCATTTGACACCGCTAAACCCGTTCCGTCAGGTTTTTTCCCTGATACAACGGCGCCGTTCGTTGGTCCCCGGCCTAGCCTTCGGCAGGCGGGATTGTTTCGGGACTGGATCGTCTGGAATTGCGAAAACCCGACCGGGGATCGCCGCGCCGTTGCCGCCCCCCGGTCCCCGGTGTCCACTCCGACATGGAGCCACGCCGGAGGTTGATCTAGCCGTCGTCTTTCCCATTTGCGAATAATAAGCGCAGGAGAATGACTTGCACAAGCACAGTGCACTGCGGCATCTGTCGAACGCATGATGCAACCCCGCCGGACCTGCCGCGACAGCTTGCAGAATGCAGGACCAAAAAAGGGTTGAATAAACACCCCCCAAGGAGATGAATAGGGAATGGTTGCGCACCCGAACAGGTCCGGAAACCGGGCATTACCTCATTGGGAAATAACGAAGCGGCCGAGGATGCCTAGAGGTGAGCGAGCCTAGCGGAGGAAACTCGTAAAGGTGCAAGCCGAAGGAAGTGGAAAGAACGTGGGTGCCCAACCCCGCGCTTACACACACCCATGACCCAAGAAACCGGGTTGAGTGGTGCGTTTTTGGCCTAGGTCTCGGGTCTTCACATCCACCCTGCATGTCTACACTACCGAGCCCGGATGCAGGCAGTCCACCTTGTCCTCCCTAGCAACTCGCGATGCCGCCTTGGCTCCAAGGCTGTCGAAGGCGGCAGGCTCGCCGGCTTCCAGGTAGTACAAATCGCTCATCCCTTCGGCGATCCGCACCAGGGCACCGCGGCCGGGTGTGACCTCCGGTAGGCTCGGGATCGCAGTGGCTGGGACTTATTCCCTAAAATGGTAATCAGCTCAAGACACGGGTGCGCTGCGGCAAGTACGTCTAGTGGCGGGGTTCGCCGGTTCGGGTTATCGGCCGCATTATCAACTCATCAACACAGGAAAGTGCAACTTCCTTCCTCGTCGAGGGGCATTTTAGCCCTTGACAACTTTGCAGGGTGCCCCTGTTAGCGGGGTCAACAGACGGGAAGTTGCCCTCTTGACCTGTCAACCTCCCACGCGGCCGCGAACTACATCAACACGATAGGTATCCGGGCCGCCCGATCAGGGCTTCCATCCATTTTTCAACATCAACAGCCGAGTCCTCAGCTCCACTAAGACACCAGTCTTCCCGCTCGTCCGATAACACATCGTCTCGTATTCACCAACCATGGGTAAAATCACCATTCTTGGCGCCGGGTACTCCTTCCTCCCCGAGAATAACCTCAATCACTATCGGGTTGCTGACCACACCAACTGCCAGAATCATCGGCCTCGCCACAGCCACCGTCCTCTCTGAGACTGACCCGTCTCACACCATCACTATCGTCGCTCGCGACCTTCCAGGTGACGCCCCATCCCAAGCCTGGGCGAGCCCTTGGTGCGTAAACCCTGACCTTTCACGTCATCACCATCCCCTCTTTATCAGCGCTAGACCGGCCTAGTGGCTCATCCCCCGCGTTCCCCTCACCGTTCACCTCTCACCTTGATCTTCCTCGTCAACTATCGCCACACTAGAATCTCACGAGCACATCATCCCCGCTAGCATAGCCCACCTCACTCATCCCAGACCAGACCAATTAACACCCGCACTAACACCGGCGTGTCGTCACAGGGCCTGCGCCGGATGGGTCGCCCTCGGTGGCTCACCCTCGGAGGAAGCCATGCAGCTGGCTGCTTTGGATTATCTGCGGAATACGCTAGTCGCTGATCACCCAGAATCTGAAACTGGTGTGCGCTCCGTCACCCTAACAGACGTGTTCGGCACCATCCCAGCTAGTGCTGGTGCCTCTCGCGGGGTGGGGGTCTGGTTCACCGGCCGTGTGCCCGGATACGAGGTTCTCTCCAGCCAGGGAGACGATGGGCCACTGAAAGTGAGATACGGCAGCGCGGTGATCAATCCGGATGTGTTCTTGGGTTGGATCCGGAAACAGTTAGAGGCCCGTGGTGTCAGATTTGAGAGGGTCGCCGAGATCAAGGCGCTGGGGGACTTGAAGGGCCGCGGGCATGACGTGCTGGTGAATGCCTCCGGTCTAGCGAGCCGGACACTTGAGGATGTGAAAGACGAGGCGGTGATCATGGACCGAACATATGTGACCGTGGTCAAGGGCCATTTTGACGGAGCGTTTGTGCACCGCGGTGAGGGTGTGTACACGTACATGTTTGGACGGGGAGACGGTACAGTCGTGGTTGGCGGCGTATCGGAGCCGGTGAGTGGGTCGGTTAAGAACGCGGCAGAGATCCATCAAGATGTAAGTTTACAGCCCTCCGCTTCTCTCTCCAACTACGGTGCGATACTAACAGTTCATTGTTCAGATGTTCCGCCGGGCCCATGAGTATCTCCCAGAGCATTTCCCATCACCCAAGCCGGAACACTACGAGGTTGTGAAGGACCTGGTAGGCATTCGCCCTCTGCGGCCGGCCGGCGTCAGAGCCGAGAGAGAGGAACTCGACGGTCAGAAGGTGGTGCATGCTTATGGGACCACCATCGGCGGGTATATTCATAGCTTTGGATTGGCGAAGGAGGCTGCTCGGTTGGTAACGGAGAGTTTGTAATTCTGGGCAATCTTGCGTCGTTGATCATCTGTCTTGTTTTAAGGATATTACGTTCGAGGATCTCAATGAATCTAATTACTTCCATCGCCCGTTTCCCGCCATTTCCTATGAAGATTCCAGTTTGTGTATTTATTCGGTATTTCTTCAAGGAAATTTCTGTCGGAGCAGAGCACCCGATTAACACCAGGATGCGCCGCGGTTCGGCCAAAATCTTAGTCTTGCATCCTTGTAAGCCAAACCCTTAACTGACGAAACTTGATGGCTTGATCGACGGTGTGGCTAATTTGTCACCATTAGCCTAACCTGTATATGATTACCACAGCAGAAGCAAAAACATAAAGGGTTGGATGGTGTAATTGGTTATCAGGTTAGGACAACACTCAAGCCTGGGTTCCATCCATGTTCTTTTTTGTTCTTTGCCTCTGTGCTTTGAACATCGTTTTACACTATCTTCTTCAGAACACATCTGACAAAAAACGGTCCTTTATCCGTTAGCTAATGTAATTCTTTATGGGTTCTCTGCTGCAATTTGGGCCCCGTAATGCTAGATCTCAGTGTTTGCGACACAACAAAGCCTAAGGCACAACGAAGCGTAAGACACAACAAAGCGTAGGCTCGCCCAACAGGAAAATGAAAGAATGGAGGTCCCCGCGCTGGAGACGGAACTCAGCGTCTGCAGAGCCAGCCCTCCATTGTTGTCGGCGGTGACTTTTCATCTCAACTACGCCCAATCTTTCCTGCAACCTCCCAAGGAACAGCATTCAGCGACCCACATCAGCAACCATGTTAAAACGTCCCGATTCTAGTCCGCAAAATGTCGTGGGACGGCAGCCCTTGGGCCCGGTCTCATGGCTTGTCCTTTCATACCGTCGAAGCCCTCGAATTGTGCCCAAAAATAATAAAGGTGCCGAGTCCCAGAAACGCACCAGAACCAAAGGATCGGCAGCCAAAAGGGACGGTTACAAGAGCGCCCTCAAGATCATCGCGGCCGCCGTGTGGTTAGCCAGTATCGTCCTGGGAGTCGCAAAGATCCTCACTCTCCAAAGAGACATCGACCAGGCCACCAAGGTTCTGTGGCCCCAGGCAACAGAAAGTCAACCATTTCAGCTCTGGGACGAAGCATGGAAGGCGATGGAACTCTGGGCCAATGTGACAGAGCCCCTACTGCCACCTGCCCCTGACGAAACACCCACAACAGTAACAACATCTACGCTACTTTCCACGACCTCTCCAAGTCACCTAGAATGATCGGAGAGCTGTGCGGCCAGCTCTCATTCATTTCCTCAAGTACGTCAGCCGACACGCCCGTTGGTAAAGAATATTTGCAACTTATGCCGACGCCGCCGAGGCAATTCTCGAAACCAAGATTTCAGCATGTAACACCGCCGAAAGAAGCCTACGTGACTTCAACAGAGACTGGGCTGATCTCCTATCCTACTCTTCACGCAACTAGCTCCAACACCCAGGTTGGAAACTCTATTCGGCTGCATACAATACCAGCCGCTTCCAACACCACAAGCAACAGGAGGAAGAATCGGAGTCACCAACCGCAACAGAAGCGCGTGGCCCCAGCCCGGGCAACGCGCCCCTCATTAGACAATCCCCCTTCCACAACCAAACCGCACTACGCCTCTTAGGCGTCGCCGACCCCTCCTTCCCCAAGCTACGCCCCGTAGCCGCCAACATGACCGGTCGACTCCGCAGTCTCTAAACACGCGCCAGGGCCACAGCAGAATCCATCGTCGCAGTTTCCGAACTTGTACCCCACGAATTACGTATACACCAAGACGGCGAAAAGCCAGATGACACATCTGCTTTCGCGCAACAATGGACGAACTTCGACTTCCACAGCTGGTGGGCCGGCGACAAGAAAGCCACCAAATTCAGTGCGGCCTCGACGCGACGTGCAGCGAAGGATGTGGCGAGACTATATGAGGTCGTCAAGGCCTTTGACAATCATGCGGCGGAGAGCGTGCGGCGTGCTGAGGCTGTTGAGGCTGCTTTGGATGTGTTGGCGCGGAAGGTCACGGCACTGGTGGAGCGGCCCAAGAAAGAAAAGGGAGGATTAGACGGGGCGTGGTCGGAGTTGGGATGGAGAGCAGACTGTGCGTGCGACTAGAGAGAGGCGGGCTCCAACATCAGAGCGGTTGCTACGCCGGTTGTTGTGGAATACTTTGTGCCGTCCGCCGAGGAGCTGGTGCATGGTATGGAGAGAACGTGTGGGATGCTGGTGGAGAGGAAAGTGGAGGAGGTGAGGAGACGGGGCGCTGCGTTTGCAGAGCGGCGAGGGGTGAGGCAGAGGAGTTGGGATGAGTTTTCTAGAGAGTACGGAGCTGGTGAGGTTGGCGACGAGGAGGGTTGCGTTGATATGTCAGTTGATGAGAATGGGAAGAGGAATTGCTTGACACCTAGCGAGATCACGTCTTGCATGAGAAGCAGATTCCGAGCAGAATGGGAACTCGGGGCGAACCCACTCATTGCTATGCTCGAGGGGTAATTAGGTACCGTACAGCGAAGGTTGGTGCTACGTTTGGCAACTCCTGGCGGCGTTGGTACCTGGTTTTCATTTAGGTACTGGGGAGACGATTAGAATGCAACAGAGACAGAGTACGTTAAGGGTATTATTATTTCCGTAGGTCCAACAAACTACATATGGTGTCCAATTTGCAGGTAATTTTCCTCTGTGGCTTTGAATCAATCTGTTACCCACCTCGAGCAAATCCTTCGCTGCGTCTTCCACCCCAACCTCGCTACGCGACACCTTCCCCGACAAAAGAGCCACATGAACCTCCAGGAAACTCAGTTTTGAGAGCTCCAAACTGCAAGCGGTGAAAACGCCATCCGCACGGGCTCTTCTCGCTTTTATCTCAGTGTGTTGCAACCAGATTTGCACGGCAAGATCTTCGATGCGTTCAAGAAGCTCTTGACTTGGTTCTTTGGCCGTTGTGGTGACGCTTCCCCCAATCTTACTACCTCCCGCATCGATCAAATATCCCTGGGCGATCTCGTTAGTTTCCTCGACGGCAAGCTGCAGTTCTTCCTTAGGTCCTCCCCGCATCCCCAGCCGACATTTCTATCTCCATTGCGTCTTCTCGGACTTCTTTGCGGTGATTCACCGTTTCGATAAGCGGTTTCTCCGGATCCCTGAGATGTTTCCTCAGCGTCTTGTGGTGCTTCTTCTCTTTGCCTCCTGGGCTACTGCCTGCGTCGTGTTGTGGTGAGAGGTCGCGAATCATGTGCGCAATTGTTGCCCGAATGTTATAAAACCGCACAAGCTCCCTGGGGACGAAGTCCTCCAGCCCCTTCTGTAGCTTCTCAATGGCCTGCTCGACCTCGGCCACTTCGGCGGTGGGGACGGCCATGGGAGTAAAGAGAGTCACGCCATCTACAGTGGCCAGCGAGTGGCGCTGCAAGGACCCAATCTCGTGGACGAAGTACGTCGCTGCGTTCCCCGCGGCCGATGTCGTGGCAATGGCATTGCGGAGGACCACGGTAGGGACTACCTCCTCGGGCCCAGCCCAGCGCATCTGAAGGTTAGCTGAGAAGGCGTAGAAAGGGGCGACGAGGCCAGACCAGAAGCAGCTCTGGGCTGTTAAGATCCGCTCAATAGCGTGCCATACCTTAATAAAGGTGACAAAAAGGAGTATGGAGGGGACGATGACGGTAGCGGCGAGTGACAGGCCGCCACAGTCACGGACTGTTGTGCGTAGCGCGCCGAGCATGATGGATGACTGACAGGGAGTTGAGATGGAGTGAAGTGTTCAAAAGGCTGCAAGAAATTTGTCCGTGTACATGTATGCGGGATAATTGGGCTCGCTCGAGCTGCGTTTGCGTCCAGTCCGCCCAGTAAGTAACCCGTGGCGTCCAAAGAAAAACCAGCCACGGCGTTTGCTGCAACTCCATCCATCGAAAATCACAACTCCCGCACAAAAAAAGTTTCCATTGCGATCCAGAATCAGCCTTGTCAAGGAAACTTCCAGACAGAACCTCTACCTCCACCCGAGATGATAGAACCGAAAACAATAGGCCTAGGGGTCCTACTCGCCGCTAGTGCTGGCGGAATAAGTTGGATGTGGGCCTCAGGCAAGTCTTTTTGATCCAGTGGACATTGATCGGCGCGTAACGATACCTGTCCAAGCTGACTACTAACTCCAATGCAGACTCGACACAGGCCCAAGCAAAGATTGAGCTTGCCAAAGATGAGCTGTGTCAACTCCATGAGCGCCTCGTCAAGCTGCATCCGATGGCCGAGCCCCCGGCACTATTCGAATTCCTCGACCTCGACGCATACGGTCCGCATTTCCACCCCCCGGAAGTAAGCCTCCATCCCGAAAGCAAGGGCTACGAAGAGGCCAAGAGGTTTATAGTACAGAAGGCGAGCGAGAAGGCTTCGCTGTGGTACGAGGAGCAAAACTTGATGTGGGGCATGGAGAGTGAGAGGGTGAACAAAGGGGGGGTGTCGTCGGCGCAGAGCAGGCGCGCGGCCTTTATTTCAGCGGTTGCGGAAGCGCTTTACGATGACGACAAGCGAGGCGTGTACATCAAGAAGTTTCTTCCCATTCTCACGAGCTATAGGTGGAATGTCCCGTGGGTGGGTAAATGGGGCCGCCGAGAGTGGAACGACGAAACAGAAGGCCGGATGAAGAACTTGGCCGTGTTTTGCAAATGGAATTCTCGAGCCTGAAGACGACAACACGAGAAGTTTACCTTAGTTCTTCCCTCTGGTGGCCGGAGTGCCCTCAAGACAATGCAATGTAAGAACATCAATTTGAAGCAATGATCTTTGTGGCCGCAGGTTCTAGAAGCATGGTTAGCACCCTGCAACATGTGGATGTATCACTTTGACCTTAGCAGTTCTTTGGAAAGGGTAAGTAAGTTGAGATTATTGTCTGACAAATTACCTTGTACTTGCACATTCTAACTCTTCCTTAGATCCAGCAAACAAAACAAGTCAATCCAGCGGCAAGGCCAACAAGAAGACGCATCCCATCCTCCCGCAACATCCTACGCAACAGCTTAACCCCTCCAACACTAGGTATTGGATGCGATGAGACTTTAATAAACCCGCGCAAAATATCCATCTTTCATAGTAAAACTGATGATGAACCCCGCCTTTGCCCCCCCGAGTTCCCATCGGACGACGACGCTCCACCGGTCCGTAACCGGTTGAATCGGCAGGTTCCATCCCACTTGGGCAGTTGTCGGCTCCATATTTCGCTGGGCGACGGCCCGATTCACCTAGCTTTTTATTTCCATTGGCAAACGATGTTGACGAAAGACCCCGCGTGGCGGGCGCTTTATAAGCACGTCAATGGCCCCTCTGGCATCGTGACGACTGCGCTTTCCTTCTATTTAATTCATTAATTAATTCCACTTAAATATCAGGGCGTGAAACACAACACACTATCCGACCAACTAAAATAACAACAAACAACACCCGATAAAATCAGCATGGCTAGCATCGCCTTACTCGGAGCAGGTATCTTTGCGCGGGAGGGTAAGTTTCCATCTCCCCTCACATCTTCCCCCATAATATCTCCTCAACAACACATCACCCATCCCCCACATATCCCAAACAACAAGAAAGACATCACCCATCAACTAAAACACCTCCAGAACACCTCCCCGCCATCGAAGCCGCCCCCACCCTCTCCCTCAAAGCAGTCTACTCCCGCTCCCGATCCTCCGCCGAAGCCCTCGCCTCAGCCTCCCGTTCCCCCTCCACCGTCGCCATCTACTTCGATTCCCCCGCCATCCCGGGCAAGTCCCTCGACGACCTGCTCCAGCGCACCGACATCGCTGCTGTGGACGTGGTCTTGCCCATTTTGCAGCAGCCCGATGTTATTCGGAAGGCGCTGCAGGCCGGGAAGCATGTGCTGTCGGAGAAGCCCGTGGCCGGGGATGTGAAGGGGGCGAGGGAGTTGATTGCGTGGTATGGAGGGTTGCAGTTGCAGCAGGGTGGGAGGCCGTTGTGGGGGGTGGCGGAGAATTGGCGGTATATGGAGTCGTTGAGGTATGCGGGGGAGAAGGTGAAGGAGATTGGGGGGGAGTTGGTTACCTTTAGCTTGTCCAAGTATGGGTCCATTGCGGTCGGTAACAAGTACCTGGAAACTGCGTGTAAGTTCCGTTCCTTGTTTCGCTCCATCAATCATGAGGATAACATAGTTCTGACTCACTGCCAGGGCGCAAAACCCCCTCGCACCAAGGCGGTTTCCTCCTCGACGGCGGCGTGCATTTCGTCGCTGGCCTGCGCTACCTCCTCGCGGCCGCAGGTGATGAGCTCGTGCAGGTATCCGGCTACAGCACGCTGCTGGACCCGAAACTCGTCCCTGTCGACACGGTGCACGCAGCAGCGACTACGAAGGGCGGCCGTAGCGGGACGGTCGCCATCTCGTTTGGCACGGCGCACAAAAATGAGACGGAGCTGGAGATCGTCATGACGAAGGGGGTGGTTGGGTGGAACCCGACGGAGGCTCGGATTCGGACGGGGACGGGGGAGGAAGAGAAGAAGGCGTTTGCGTACAGTTCGGGGGTTGTGGCGGAGGTGGCTGCTTTTGCGAAGGCGATTGAGGAGGGGAAGTTGAAGGCTTTGCAGTCGCCGGAAGAGGCGCTGGGGGATTTGTTGGTGTTGCAGGGGTTGTTGGAGTCCGGGGCGGGTGGTGCGGCGGTCACGGCGGTTGGGCTGTGAAGGAGATCATGGGATGCTATTTGTATCTATATTTACCGTAGGGAGATTTTGTGTTCGGTAGCTGAAGTTAAATTTTACTCGAACCTACATCTGGTACATCTTGTACATAGCGGAAGAGCACTAAGTAGTCCTGAGTGTCCTGCGCAGAGGAAAGAGTGGCACACACCCCGGAATTGGTATCCTATGACCATCCATGCATTGCTACCACGAGGATATCCCGTGGACTCGGTAATGAATAGTTAAGTGTTGTTATGATGAGTTCACTCCAGATGTTGCCCACCCATGGGTACCCATCGGTGGGTAGTTTTCCAATGGGTATGGGTGGGTAATACCCACATCATATGGGTTATGGGTAGAGATGAGTAGGAACCGATTCTTTGGGTTCAGGTTGGGTTGGACCCAGTTATAGTATTGAATGTTGATTCGGCTGAACGGTTACACATAGCCACCTACGCAGCGGTAATCCAGCGGTGGTGGTCGACTATATGTAACCGAGAGCAATTATATACAAGGTGACATCACGATGGTTACAATTCGGTGACCTTCATAATCAGCAGCTCCTCCCTTAGGCCAAACCCACACACGACAACCCGACCCTGTCCTATATTTCTGGGTATCTCTTGACCCAACCCATATCAACCCAAACACACATGGGTACCCAAATGGGTTATGGGTTGTATTTGGGTCCTACCCGCGCGAGTACCTACCCATAGGTAATTTTATGCTACGTTGTAGGCAGAAAATGCCGCGGACCGAAGAGAGCGTTAATGAGGATTCATTGTTGGGGGCGTCGGGTCAACCCCCGACAACAATGGGTATGGAAACGCTGAAGAAACAAAACGAAACAGTGCTATACTAACAGGCCAGCAAGAATAGTGTGATATCAAAATAACAAAATTAATGTGGCTCATCTCGTTTATCTTCCCAAACTAGGAGGACGATGCGGCAATATAAAACAGCCTCGCTTGCTCTTTCCTTCGTGCTAGCATCATATCAATAGCTACCTCCAATTGTCCTTTGGGCATCGTACGATTTTGGGACAGCGCAGTTGTTGAAAAGGAAGGGACATGGAGGTTACACGGGAAGTATGTGGCAGAAACCCGGGAGGTTTAAAAGGGAAACTGCGGTGAGGAATTGTGGGGTCCATAACGTCTGGCCGGGCCCACAAGCAGCTTGAGCTCAGCCCAAGGCGGCTCTCGCAACAGAAGCTTTTTTGAGCACTGATCAACAACGCTACGGCTGAGACAGGAGAAGTCAGACGGCATCGCGTTCCCCCAGGCGTGCAGAGCCTCCTCGGGGGACATGCGTCGTCGCATCTCAACATTTAACGTTGCCGTGTAATTATATCTACATAGTCCTAGGTGTATGGGCCTCTGGCGCCTCGAGGCGAAGAAACTCTCAGTTCTCCCCATCTTCATCGCCCGGCCAGCTGCGAGGTGCGTGGTGGACAAACGCCCGCCATGGCTATCCCAACACCGACGGCTTCCCTTTCCACGACTTGTCTTGTCGTGACACAGCCCGCATCGTACGACACGATAACTTACACCAGCGGGGAAACACCATTTTTCGGTGACACTACCTACACGGCCCCGACCGCCGTCGTTAACACGTTTGAAGCAACCATCGAGGCGCGCTGCTTCACCCTCTTACCAGGCCAGACCCCCCCAGCCGCCGTCCCCTACTGGGGCGCGTCCTGCTCGACCGAATACTCCCCCGCCAGCACCGAGACCACCACCATCACATACACCCCGGGCGAGGTCTTCACAATCGGCCACGCAACTATAGGCTCCTACAGGGGCACGACCACGAGCTACGCGACCGAAACCTACACCTATCCCGCCAGCACCGATGTCTATTGCAAACCCGTGCCCGATGTGCAGAACCAAGCCACCTGCGACCGCATCAGCCCGCTTACCTGGGCCTCGCTGGTCATCACGTTCATCACCGTGCACCTGACCTGGTGGCTATTCGACGTGCCACTGCTGTGGAAGAAGCGCGCCCCAAACGAGATCCCCTCGTCAACGTTGTATGGCACGCAGCGGGCGGCGGCGGCAGCCGATGCCAACGACCGGATAGGCCTGGCCGGGTTCCTGTGGTCGATTGCGTGGGCGTGTCTACGGGCGAATGCGCCCGGCTGTGCGGCGCTGTACGTGCTCTTCGCGGGGCGGGACACGGGCGAGTATGCAGCGCTATATTATCTGGGCGTGCGGCGGCTGCGAAACGGACGGGTGCCAGACTTTACCACCTGGAAACTGCTGACCTCGATCGGCAGCGACGTGCTGACACTGATCGTCGTGGCCGTGACGGTCTACCAGGCGTGTACCCTGCCGGAGTCTGCGCCGCGCCGTTTCGGCGCGGGTATGTGGGCGTATCCGACGCTGCCGAACGCGCTGATCGGGTTATGTTTGATGGTTGGGCAGCGCTATTTTCCCCGAACGCGGCGGGCTGCGGTCGGGCTGGTGGCGATGGTAGTAGGGGTTGTGGTGGTCGTGGGCGCGGTGTTGGGGGTGTTGCTGTGGCGGTTTGACCGGCCGAACTCGGAATGGTTCATACCGATCATCTTCTACGGCATCATGGCCTTCCCGGCGATCTTGATGTCGGGGATGTTTGTTCTGCTCGCCATTGCCTATGGTTGCTTTGGCCGCATCGGCGGTGTCACGATTGCCGCGTGGGGCCATTACGCCGGCGGCCAGGTGTACTGCAAGATGGCCGGCCCCGGGTTCGCCATCGTCTACCTCATTCTGGGGATCATATCGGCGCTGCTCGCCCTCCTTGCACTCGCTTTGAATCGCCAGGACATCCGTTGGCGGACATGGTACAAGTCTGCGGGATCGCAATCACGGGCGTTGGGGATCTCGGATGACGGGCACAGAACTGAAGGACCAAAGGAATGGAGAACACAGGCGGAGTATTAGGAGATTTTTCAGGATGACTTTACGAGCTAGATACCCAATACCGATGAAGCGTCATGTTTTACGCATAGTTTGAGACTGACAAGACACGTGATTCCTAGGTAACATTCCTCAAGTCATAAGTTGGTGTTCGTATTGACCACATATGTTGCGGAAGAAGGTTCGAGAGACCGTGTCAGGGATGTCAGTGGGTTCAAAGTTTACCATGTTAGGCACATCACGCAAGGTGGAACTTTTGTTTCATGAACACATGATTGTGGGTATTGTTTGTTATCCCCATTGTTCCCAATCCGTTCCTTTCCATCCCCTTGGTATTTTACACACAAACCCTAACCGCAAAACCGAAAGAAAAAGAACCCTCTAAAACCCTAACCCTAAAGAAGGTCGAAAAAAAGGTCTCCACGAAGCGAAGTACAAAGGTCTAAAAAGAAAAAAAGAAGAAAAAAGATTGTCGAAAGTAAGGACCAGAAAAAGGTCAAAACCAGTAGTTGGGCAAAAAAACGAGCCTCCTCTACCAGAAAAAGAACTTCGCGCTCCGGCGCATGATCGCACCGTTTTGGCAGGTCGTGCCGGCCGCGACGGCTTGCGGGATGGCCGCGCCGTTGGCACACAGCCCGAAGCTGGTTGAGCTGAAGCAGATGAGCTCGCCGTTGGTTGAGCAGGGCTGTGCGCCGCTGACGACGGTGCCGGAGCCGGAGCCGGAGCCAGAGCCCGAACCAGAGCCCGAACCAGAACCGCTACCGGAACCAGAACCGGAACCCTCACCACTGCCCGGGTTGCCCGTCACAGCCGGGGGGTTGGCGGTGGCAGTCTGGGTGAAGAAGCCGCTCGAGGGGAAGACGATAGGCGGCACCTTGGACGAGACCTGAGCGCCATCAGCCGTGGTCGTGGGGGCTGGGTTTCCGGTGCCACTTCCACTGCCAGAACCACTGCCGCTGCCGCTGCCGGAGCCGGAACCGGAACCACTGCCCGAACCGCCTTCAAACTTGGGGATCCCATCCGCCTTGGCACAGGCACCCTCGCTGTTCGCCGCCGGCTGCTCGAGCACCTTGCCATACTTGCCCGGGTTCGGGATATTGAGCACGCCCTGGCCGGTGGTACACTCGCCCTCAACATTGGCCACAAACATAGTCGGCAAGTCATCGAAGAACTTGGTATCCGACGCGCCGTCAGTGATGGTAATCGGCGCGCAGTTCATGTACATCTCGCGGTTACCGATCTTGTTGAACCAGGTCCAGGCAAAAGTCGCGTTACCCGAGGGCAAGTCCTTGGGAACGGGAACCTCAAACTGGCGGAGACACTCCTTCCCGGAGTCGTTACCGCAGTGCGGGGAGTCGGCGCGGTGGTCCGGATCGACCTGGGCCGCGACGAGGTTGCCTTCGGCTTCGACGGGACAGCCGCCGATGAGGGTGTAGATGGTCTTCCATTTGGACTTGTCGGCCGGCGGGGGGTTCTCGTAGGTGACGGAGAACTGGCAGGAGCCGCCGCCGTGCTGGGCGCCACCGGTGAAGTTGACGAGTTGGGAGGTTCCCGCTTGGATGGTGGTTGTTGAGACGATGGTGTCGGTGTGGCCTTGGCAGGGGAAAGGGAAGCCTGCGCCGAGGGGATTGACTTGGACTAGTTGGTTGCCATTGACATTCTTGTAGTTGTAGGGAGTCGGGGTGTTCATGATCGCGTGGCCTTGGGCGGTGCTGACGAGGAGGCCGAGGGCCGCGGTGGCCGCGGTCTTGAGGGTGTAAGGCAGCATCTTGGTTGTTTGCCTGGGTTGTATGGCGATGTTTGTTGGTGGGGTAACAAAATCGTGTCTGGTTGGAAGTGAAGCTGAAGGAAGGTATGAAGATACTGCTACTCTCTCTTGGCTAGCAAGAAGATGATGAGGGAAGAGAACTGAGTTGGTCTGTCCGAAAGGAAGGTGATGGAGCTCGTCAAGAGTCGTCCGTCTGTCTAATCTTGGTCAACAAGAAGAGAAGAGAAGAGGAAAAAAGGTGGTTGATGGAAAAGTGAAGATGGCTTGGCGGAAGTTGAGGGCCGGCGAGAGGAAATCCACGGCCTTCTTATACCAACCTCGAGGCGGGCCTTTTTTCCCGCCCGCCATGTGCTCCGGCTCGGGCATGAACAGTATCGCTGTTCAGCATCCAGTCACCAGTCCTGCCTCATTCCATCATTCACACCCCCCTCCTCTGGCAATGTGAATGGTAAACAATGCTATTGGCCTGTGACACACCGTTCATCCCGTTCCTTCATTATGGGCCCGCCCCGCGGCCCCACGGACAGCCCGAGGAACAAAGCACACATTCAACTGTTCAAGGAACAACCTTTGATCTGTCATTCGGAGCAAACACTGTCTTCCGCCCAGTCATTGGTGGTTGTCCCGCGCCAACGTGGAAAATTCGACATTTCGGCCGTCCTCGACTCACTCGACCTCCTTGATGTGGAGTGTGTCCCGATGCCCCTGTTTCAGAGCCAAGCGTGGACAGAGCCGCCTGTCGAAGATCGTGGTGGCGGCCCAGTGGTTCTTGGCAATGGGTGGCCAGGAACGCTCGAAAGGCAAACCTCCGACCAGGGGTCGAGTGCCTTTTGGTGCAGCTGAGGGTGGGGCGACTTTTCAGGGGGACAGCTGACAGCCAGTGAGCCCGTCCGCCTGTCAGCAAGCGAACCAATCATCGGTCACCGACGTTTTGAAACACGCTCAACGGAAACCAATCTGGGGGACCAGACGGGACGAATCGTGAAGTTGAACCGGGTTTCTTTTTTTTTTCTCGATCAAAATCGCAGGGTTTTCCCAGCGTGTTTAGTGTAGTTAGTGCTCCCAAGGGTCCCCAACTCCAAAGTCCCGGCGGCCACCATTCCTGATTCAAGCTTTACCGCCTTTCTTGTCTCGATCTCTTTCAGATGGTGTCCGCCTGGGCGCTTGATGGGATCTTGGGGTTCGCGAGTGATGCGCCAAAGACTCCCGTCACTAACGTTACCGCCGGTGCTCACGCGCAGGTCGATCACACTAAGCGCGCGTAATAATTCCACCCACCAGGAATCACGACAATGCTGTAGTTAATGCTAAACGCTGTCGCAATAACCCCGATTACCTTCATAGTGTTAACATCCCCCCTTTCGTTTCCAGAGATGGGACATCAATCCGGTCGAGGCCACCTGCACCAAGGGAGGAACCCGCTCTGCGGCCTGTTTCTTGGCCTGCTTGCCACCATCTTGGATGAATGACACATCTTTGATGGAGGCCTCGGTGGTGAACCTGGAAGGACGAGGGGGTTGTTCATGCACATTGCGGGGAACAAAGAATCCCTCAACCAGCGAAGCACTGAAGGCTTGTTCACCTGCTTTTCTGAGCAGAAGCGGGCAGAGGGGCAGACGGCCACAAAGGCGAACAAGAACGAATTTGAGCGCAGGACTCGGGGGCCGACTTTGGGAAAGATCCACCTCAAAAAGGTAAAAAATACCGGACAACTGCCAAGTAGCCTGCCGGAAGTTGGATGCTCCAACAACACTGCAACCTACGGGCATTTCCAGGTTGGAGTGTAGAAGGGACCATTAAGGTTGTGCGTGCCATTTGTCTTTGTTCCATTACAGAGTTACTTTAACGTTAGTTCCCCTGCCTCCGCCCTTGACGCCTCAGACACTGGCGTTCCGCCATCAAAGCCACAAAGACAAAGAAAAAAAGGAACGGGGAAACAATCGTCCTTCGGCAACTCGATCTTTGACATGGACTCAAGTCACTCAACCCTGTGGCTCCAGGTTCCCCCCGCAAAATTGCCCTCGGTTGGGTCGTTTAGGGCCCGTGACCAGCGAGGCCGGTGTGCAGGCCCCTGTCCATCGCATCGCATTGACCACTGGGCTGCGCCGCAGCACCACCACAACCCCCTTCGGTCTGGCTGGCGCCCTCCAAAAGCGCCCCCCTGAAGCCCTCGACAATGACGGCCCGAAAAGACTGGGTGCCCGGCCGATTGGCGGGATCGTTCCGATCCTGACCCAAAAACACACAGCAGAAACTCGCAATTGCTGCGCGCATCAAGCGCATCAAGGCCACCCGGGATGAGCACCCGGTTACGCCGGCGTGTCAATACGCCTTCCT